CAGCAAAACTGATATCCGGTCGAGAAATTATGGCCAGGTACAACAGGCTTCCAATCGCTTCTCTGTATGGGATAGATGGCGATATGGGTTGATCGTTCATCTTGTCCTCTTCTCCTGTTACCATGCCTTTCTCAATGGGAGTTGACTTTGCATTGCACGTATCGAATTTAAAGCGTCGAATGATCTTCTCTGTATATTTTGGTTGACCTACAAAGATGCTTTCTTTGTCAATGTGAATTTCCATTTCGAGGTATGAGACCTTGTTTTGAACTTGACGGCTGTATGTGATTTCGAATTTTGAGTTGATGATGTCGAGTATCTTGTAGATTTTCTTTTCATCATAGCCAGCGATAAGTCCGTCGTCGACGAACAAAGTTATTAGGATAGTCTTATCCTTATTATAATACAAACACGGATCATCATCGGTGTTCATTAATCCTATTTTCTTCTCAAGAAATTTTGAAATCATATCGTGCCAGTTCCTCGGAGCCTGTTTTAGTCCATATAATCCTTTCTGTAATTTGCAGACATAGTTGGTGCCATCTTCAAATCCTTCCGGTTGATGCATGTAAATTTCCTCCTCCAGGTTACCATATAGGAAAGTTGTCTTGACATCAAAGGAAACAAGTTTCATCTTCTGGGTAGCTGCATGATTCAGCATAAGACGAACTGAAGTATGGCGAGCTACTGGACTGAACGTTTCCATATAATCAATCCCTTCTTCATGTTCAAAACCGCGTGCTACCAAACGTGCTTTCAATCTTCTCACGTAACACCCATCTGCATGTCAACGGCTGAACTCCTTCAGGGCATTTCACAAGTCTCCAAGTTTTCATTTGTGTCAAAGAATTAAGTTCTTCTTGCATCGCACGTTTCCATCTATCATCCTTCAGTGCCCCATTGACAGTGATATCCTGGATTTCTCCTATCAAAGCTACATTTGCACTTCTGTTCGGTGTGAGACCGTCGAATACATAATCTTTCAGTCGGTGTGGCATTGTTATCGCTGATCGATCACGAAGTCCTCGCCTTGTCTGAGGTGCTGTCTCTTCATCTTCATCTTCAGTAATTTCGCCTTCAAGATTTTCTTGTTCTTGATCTTCATCCTTCAGACTTGTATCAGACTCGCATTCTTCATCTTCATGACCTAGATCAGTCTTTTCAGATATTATTGGCACACTTCCTATAATGTCTCGGTATCTCGTTTTCTCTTCATCAAAAATCACATTATCAGAGCAAATGACTTCTCTTTCTCCAGGTATGTATATTCGATAGCTTGATGACTCGGTGTCATATCCAACAAAGATTCCCTTCCTAGACTTTTTGTCGAGTTTCTTCCTTCTATGATCAGTTTTCAGAACGTAGCAGTCACATCCGAAACTCCTCAGTTTGTTGATATCAATACGACGACCGAACCATAAGTCTACTGGACTCTTGGCGTTGACTGAGCTGGTGCCAGTCTGATTCAAGGTGAACACGACATAGTTGATAGCTTCTGTCCATAGATGTTCTTTCAAATTTCGCGCATGTATGACCGACCTCGCAGATTCCACCACGGTTCGCATTTCCCTTTCAACTCTGCCATTCTGTTGTGGTGTGTGAACGTTTGAGAACGTATGCCTGATTCCTCGCTCCTCCAAAAGTTGACATGTGGTTTTGTTCTTTATTTCAGTTCCATGATCCGACCTCGGTTCTTTCACCTTCCTTCCAAATTGATTTTCAACTTGTGTCAGAAATATCTTCAGCTTGTCTGGAGCTTCATCTTTCGACTTCAGATAGTAAACAGTTCGAAAGTGCGAATAATCATCTTTAAAGATCAGGAAATACTTCGCTCCTCCGATCGATTTCCCCGAGATCTACATGAACTAGATCCAATAATTGAGCTGCTACCTTCTCATTTTTGGGATGTGAAATTCGATGTTGTTTCCCATAAATGCATCCTTCACAGACTCGATTGTTCCAGTCGTCTATGTACTTGATGTTATTCCTGTCTAGGATGTCCTTGACGTATTTCAGGTTCTGATGTGCAAGTCTCTCATGCCAGGTGACAATTGAAGTTGCAATTAGGCTGGTGTTCATACTGGGTAGTCGGAGCATCACTCTATACAAATTTTCTTCTCGTTGAGCCATGGTAAGAACAGTCTGGTTGTCACTTGACTTGATATTTGATACATCTTTGTTGCACGTCTCAATGTGTCCTCTGTCCATCACTTGACTGAGTGAAATCAAGTTAAAGTTCAAACCTGGTACATAGAGTACGTCTTCCAGAATGACTAGTCTCCAGTTGTTACCACTGTAGGCTTCAAGTTCTATGTTTCCAACCGCTGAGGTCTTGAGTTGATTTGAGTCTCCCATAATGACTGTTACAGGTTGCTTCAGTTGTCTCAAATTCACAAACCAGCTTTTGTTGGAAGTCATATGTTGTGTGGCTCCACTGTCTTGAGACCAGTTAGCATTGACATCTTCTACTCGTTGTTGTTTTGGGGGCTCAGTACTCGACAAACCGACGGCTACATAAAGTTTGTTCGAACGACCTCCGAATCTTCTCTCATTCCTTTCCGACCTCTCATTATCCAATTTGTCTTTACAGTAGACCAAATACTTTCCACAAGGTTTGTTTCTGCAGTACTTTTTTATATGTTCCTTCTGTCCACATTTGAAACAAATGCTGGCAGCACTTCCACCTTGCTTGTTTTGTTTTTGATTGTCTTTTGTTGGCTTCTCTTCTTGTGCTGCATCACGAGTGCGTTGTTGCTTGTAGGTTCACTTGATCCTTCAGCTGCTTTAATTCTGTCCTCTTCTAATCTCAACTTCTCAATCAGGTTTGAAATGGTTCTCTGATTTCCAGTGACATTGTCTCATGATGTGCGAAAATGGTAGAGACGTTGTGGCAATATGGTGAGCATTCGAGTCATTGCCCACTGTTCATAGTCGTTTCCATCATGTGCACTGAGATCTTGAGCTAGTTGTTGTATATCATAGCAGTTTTCAACAGCTGATTTTGTGCTGTCAAACAGAAAGCCGAAAAATTTTCGCTGCAGACCTTCAATTTCATAATCTGACTTTTTGCCATACAAATTCTCTAACTTTTCGAACATTTGTTGCGACGTTTTACGACACATGATGTGTTTCGCGATTTTCTTACTACCATTTAAACCAATAATTGTCTGAGCCTCTACGTCTTTATCTAACCACTCTTTTACTTCTTTTTGGTTTGGATCACCAGATGGTTTTGGCTCTGCACCAATTACATAATCAAAACATTTCTCCGACTTTAAAATTAAAATAATTTTAAAACGCCAGGCTTCATAATCTACTTCACCATTTTGATCTTCTGACAACATTTCAATATTCGACTTTGTTGTGTCCATTTTGCAATGACATTTTTACGTTATGCTGTTGACAAATGATGGTTTCGTTGGGCAGGTCTCGACTGAAGGCGACTTGGTTGTTTTCTACTGGACTACACTCTGCTGAGTTCGACAACGTTTCTGACACTCAAGACTTGACAACAATAACAGAGGCTGAACTGATTTAACTGACTTTTATTGCTTGTCTGACTTGTCCAGCGTCTCTGGGCCAATAACCTGTTAAGCTTTCTTTGTATTTCAAGTCAGACAATGTTAAGTTTTCTTTGGGTTTCTTTATTGAACAAAAAAGGCGCCTTGTAACTAAAGAAACATCCCTGGCAATTCACATACTAATATTAAAATGACGGACCCTTACAGACTTTGCTTTCAATACCTTCAATAAATATCAAGACTACACCGCCATTTTTATTACTCATTTCTATCTGGTCCTCTCACTCACCTACAAACATACTAACCACTAGATGTATAAAATAATTAATTTCAACATTTAGCGAACGCCGCTCGGCCGCCGTCATCGACGATGAGTTCATGAGATCATTTCTGTGCATAGTAGAAAGCTCTCGACGTCCTATAGGCGTCGTAGGGGGGTGGCGTATGAGTTTATTTCGTAACAATATAAACATGGCACAGCATAACCCAGTTAAAACGTAACGAGTACCCTATCGTGAATTTAGAATTTCCGATCAAATTTCTGGGAGGACATGATGAAAACTGATTTGATAAATAATGTCATCTAAAACTTCTGTTAAGTGAATCCTATATAAATAGTAATGGGATGTTATAATTGCTTTTGTACGGCTGGTTACCGGCTCAAGCACAGCTCAAGGATTTGTACTAATATTTTGCCCCATCAATATCTACTGCTGGGTAATCCACTTAAACATTTTTGGTACATTAAACCAAATATAATTTGTCTGTTCATGTTTTGAAAACATGCTCAATCTTCTCAACCGTCTCTGGAATGGATGACTCGCGGAGTCGCAAAGATTTACAACTGTGGGTTTGCGTTGTTAACTGCTCCAGTTTCGTCTTCACGATACGCTAATTTTACAGCAGCCATATAACCTTGTAGTATTTGAGAGACTATACTTCTGTACAAGTGATTTATTAACCCACAACTATTTTCAAATTTATTCAAGTGGGTTATCGACAAAAATTCTAAGTAAAAAAATAAAACAAAATTTTACGATCTGCTTTAAAAGCTATGCATGGCTTGTTTAACACATTATTAACTTTCATTTCAAAACGAAATTTGAAATTAAAATTTGTTGACCAGTGTAACGTCATGACAATGTTGCATTATACTATGTGTTAAAATGTGTATTCTTGCAAAAAATTAATAACTAAATGCTTGTCAAAGAATGCGTTTTAATATACATGCAGAATTGATTCTTCTTCAGAGTAATGAAAGTTCTAAGTTTATATCAACTTAGATTTATTCAAATGTTTCTTTAAAAAACTGAGATTGTATTTTTGAAATCTTGGACTCAAGTTTTTCTGCCATAAAATTTGTACGGACTAAATAAAATGAATTTGAGTATATTATGAAGAAATCTAAATTAAAAAAAAAACTAAGAAGCTTAATCTTCACTTTTATTTAAAACATATACATCATTTATCTAAGTTGGTAATCAATTCTTAACATCACTGTGATTGTTGATAAAGATGGAACTGCCTCATTTTTGCACCTCTTCTAATCTATTTAGAATACGGCGGCTTACTATTAGTGTCAAGATAAAAATTCCCACTTTCCTTGGTTTTTAAATCTCCAATATCTACATATTCCTTACCACATGAAACGAATGGTAAAAACATATGTTTATATTTAAAATAATTATCGCATTTTCTTGCTCTAAATTCTTTGGGGTTAAGAACGGCTTCAATAAAAATTTCATAACTTCTTGCATGATAACATGCAACTAAAAAAAAGTTAATTTAAATAAAATAATATACCACCACAATTTGAAACTGATGTGTTCTTTTTTATTATTGCTTACATATTTAGTTAGGATTATTCTTATTGTGCAAAGATTTAAATTAATTACTTGATATCAATTTTTAAACAAATTACTATCGTTTTTTGACAATTGTGCATTTTCCTTATAGAGAACCTCTGTATGTATGTACCGCAAAAACACCATTTAGTAATAAACTACATACCAGTTTAGACTGTTTCACTAACGGAACAGTTTTTTTAACATAAAATAAATCTATTTTTACCTATTTTAGCTGGATTTAGTGAATCAGCTACGCATCCAGGTTGAATGCTTCCACCATTTGGAAAAAAATCAATTCTACCGCAAGGTTCCAAAAATCCAGCAGTGCCTCCACTCGTATGGATAACCTCTACATACTCAGCATCGTCTTCACTTAATCTTTCATTAGCTGGTCTAGTATTAAATAAAACACCAGCAGGATCGAGAGCTATAATTCTAGATAACTGATCTAATTTCTTAACCTCTTCGCTTATGTAACTGCAAATTTGTGCTCCCAATGAATGGCCAACAAATAAAAACTTCGACATTTGAACGGAATATTTTTTACACAAATTTAAGACGAAGCCTCCAAAAATTGTTCCTAAAAAAAATTAATCAGTTTTTTTTTCTGAAAACGTATGCAGTATGATTATACATTAGGCCAAATTATTGACCGTGTTATCACAAAAAAAAAGATTTTGGGTTAACCTTGTTTTTAAAGTTTGCAACGAAGGTTATGTACTGATTTTAACACGTTTTTAGATTGAAATTGTTATGTTGATGTGCCCCTGTAAAATGTGTGTTAACAATACTACTTACAAATCTAGTTGAAATTATTTTTTCGAAACATGTACTTGAATATTTTTTACTCAGTAAATACTAACTCACCAACATTTTTAATGCCATATGTGGCTGTAAGATAGCCGCTTTTCGAAAGAAACGACCAATCAACTTCGAGAATACAATAATTAGGATACATTTTTAAAAATGCATTTTTTAAGTCTTGATACCATTGTACGTTAACATCTTCACCCCATCCGTGTACTATAACAGCGATTCTTTTACATTTATCAATAGGATAAGAAAAATTGGTTGTGGAATAATTTTTGGAAGTTTCTTCAGTGAATAAATACAGTTTTATTTGTTCCTCTGTAACTGATATATTTTTTTCGTCTCTTTGACTGAGAGGCCCACCGGAGTAAATAGCAGATAAATCTTCCTTAATATCGTCACGATCCCAAAAATCCGATATTAAGACTGAAACCAAGTAGAATTTAGATAATATATTTTTTATTTAAAAAAATAAGCAGTATCATTCAGAATATTGTACGAAGCACTAATACTGATCGATGTTAACAACTAAGCGTACGAACGTTCTTCAATTTTGAAAATGAAAAAAAAAGTTAGGTTGGTTTGAGTTTAACAGTAAAATATCACTTATACTCACTTATACTTTGTATTTTTAAGACACTTATAAAAAGTAATATTCGAAAAATTTTTGCTAGCATGTTTTGTTAATATTATATTATTTTCAAAATATTCTTCCTTGGCACGGATACGTTTGTTCTATTTTTGCCAAAAGTCACAGTTTTTATGTGCTTCCAAAAATTAATTTGTTTAACAAATGAAAACGTTTATGCATCCATAAATAAAAGTTGTGATAAAAATAGTCGTTAGATATTTTAAGTATTTTGCATAAATAAATATAAATTATTTAAACCAACAGAAAAAATTGTGTTTAAGTTGCACTCCCACTGAATTCAAAATAAAAGAATCTAAACAGTTTATATCAAAAACAAGTTGACTGAAGGACAAAAATCAGAAAGTAGCGATTCAAAATGAGTTGCTCAAAACATTAAACTCTAGCTTATCATTGTAAAAAAAACGCTGGCGAAACTCTTCACCATATTTTACAATTGTTCAGAGGAGATCATTTACTCACTTCATTAATAAAAACTATTCTATGTCTTGGCCAACTAGAGCAGACATTGAAAAAATCACACGATATTAATAACTGTTTTCCAAAAGTTGTAACGGTAAGTTGCAATAACAACCTTGTTTAAGGTCAGTTTAAGGCCACTTATTATAAAATTTTGTTGTGTAACTGTAATTTTTTTGTTATTACACTAAAAAGCAACAGAAAATTAATTCCGTTAAAATACAGTAGACGCCGCTTAATATGATCACGGTTAATGTTATCAACCGCTTAGTGTGATCAAAATGGCTTGGGACGGACCCACGCAATACCTATGTATTACAGTTTTTCCGTTTATTGTGATCAATATTTCGCTTATTGTGATCAATCTCGCAATTCTTATACAAACGGGAATTGCTTTTTTGGAGAAGCGAGACGACTGAAACTAGTAGGTATTGTGTTTTAATGAACATTCATTGCTCTCAAAAGGTATATTCGCTTATACCACTTACTTTATACAACCACAATCAGTGGTCAAAAACAGGCTTAAGTAATCAGTGTGTTTTCGACTTTTGAACGAACGAATTCTTTCTGTTTTAAATTTGAGTAGTATTTATGTAAAAATTAGCACGTCGAAACGACGAAATCTTAGTTTATCAGAGAAAAAAAAATTCCCAGCCCTTACTTAACAAATTTCTACAACAACCAAAGGAAATCAAGGGTTCCTTTCTCAGAATGGTAACCAAAATTTAAAATAAATTCTAATGTTTATGTACCTTCATCTGTCAGCATAATAAACACTGTCTTGTTCATGATTTTGTTTTGTTTCGAGTTCTACTGTCTTTGATGGTGGAGTTCGCTTATTATTATCAGTCGGTTAGTGTGATCAATTTGTCTGAGTCCCAAAGTGATCACATTAAGCGGCGTCCACTGTATATTCTTTTTCCAATAAACAAAGTTAAAAACGAAACATTTGAAATCTATTTTTTTTTTCACATATATTTATTGGCTTATGTTTCAAGGCAGTAAACATTTGCTGACGTCTTTTGTTAAAATGTTATCTTAACATATTATAATTACCTGCAGTAAATGCAGGTTAAAAAAATAAGTTTCGATGACTGCTTTAATAGCAACTTAGCGTCTATTTTTATGCTTAGTATGAGCTGAGTGTTATAGTTCAGGATGATTTTGTTGGATGAGTAACAAACTGTATAGAGTATATTGATGAATGTTAACATGGATACTGAAGTGGAAACTGCTACCTGAGGTCGGAAGAAATGCAACCCCGATTCTTGGTACTCAACAGTATGCAACCATTTTTACACCGCCCTGTCCGCACTATGGTACACTTTTAATCCATGACCGAATTGTGGTACAAAATTTTGTAATTACTTGGTAGGTAACATATAATCTCTGATAGACCTGCGGTAAAATTTTTTCTCAGGGGTTAATCTGTCTCGCTTTAATTAGATACCTAAGTCATAAATAAAATTATTTAATTCTCAAAATTTCTGAATCGGACTTTTAATAAAAATTTAGTAAATTTACTGTCAGTAAATTTATTCTACATAATTTTCGATCCTGTTTGTGACACCAGCACATTGATAGCACATTTTACAAAATTATACCTAGAAATTTCGTTATTTTGTATTACTGGACAGTATTTTAGGTTCTATGAAAATCAGTCTACGAACTAAACCCTTTTCAATGTATAATTTTTCGTTTTTATGTAAAAATTTTGATTCATACTAAATGCTGTTTCTATTCTCCTAATTAAAGCAACTAAAGCTTTAAGCAAACTATTACAACCCCGTAACCCCTACGGTTAGTGAACGGACCTCTTATTCGGTCAGAGTATCCATGCAAAAAGGTGCTACAGAAAATACATTTGACAGAATAGTTTTAAAACAACGTTTAACGAACCTTTTCAAGAAACAAGTTTGGATTTACTACTACTACGCATATCAATTAAGTGGCTCTTAATTAGACACTTTCTTGTGAAGGTACAAGGATAATTTCTGTTGCAATGTTTTCTTGTTGACTAGCAAACATACTCTTCCTATAAGTCAGTTTTGAGTTTTGTTACAAAAAGAACATTTCTTACGCAGATCAAACGTCATATGTGTTGTTTACAAGAACCGCAATATGACAAAACCCTGTAGATATCACTATTTTTTAACAATAATTACTCCTATTGCTAACCAATCTAATACATGTCCAAATATGTAAACTAAGCGGAAAAATTCTCGTTTAATTAGAATTTGATACATGTCAGGACAAAAAACACGTTATAATTAAAATCAAGGTGAAACGTTAAGAAAATTTTCCATTAAACTAGACACGTACTATTTTACATGTATTTTATGTATGTATATTTGTAAAAAACAAAGTAAGCGACTGCGCAATATATAACATTCGGTATATTTACCGAGAAATTTAATTGTTAGAATTTCTATTTATAAATTTTTCCAAGAAGGCGACCGGTTCTTAGCCAACATTCAAAATTTTTTTATAATAGCAATTTTAGAAGAGCGTTATACCAGTACAGTAAGTAAAACAAACAATTTAAATTATTGTATTTTATTGAAAAAGCTGGAACGAATACAAAAAAGTAATTTTCCACACGTTATAAAAGTACTAACTCCTCACACATCTACTTTTGACTAATTTTGGTGGCCAATCTAAAACCGCGTGGACTTCACTCAAACGTTGATAATTAAAAATCGTTTAAACTATATTAACCTGCATTATTTTTTTCTTCTAAAGTTGAAGACTGTTCTAGTACTATCTTGTATGTATTAAATTAATACTGAAATATGTATATACCTGCTTAATTTTATGTAACAGCAAGTAAGCAATCTTATAAAAATATTAATTTTAACCTATTGGTAACACATTTAGTTATTTATCGAGCAATATAAACCATGTTAAAAAGACTAAAACGAACTACAACACAATTACAGTAATCAAGTCCTAAAACATAACACAAAACACCTACACCAAAAATTCTAACATTAATATTACGCCGTTGTACATATGTTTGTGAGAATAAATTAAAACAGTTTTGATGGAACAGACGACAACACATCACTTACATTACGTAATCCAAAACCACCAATTTTTCTTCCATAAGGTTTATCCTTGTTTGTTTCTAAATAAAAATCTCCTGTTTCAGTAGTTTCTAAATCTCCCATAGCCACCTCCGCCTTATCGCAGATATTGGTTTTAAATTGGGCCCATCCACCACATTTGCTGCCCAAAAATTCCTTAGGATTCAAAACTGCCTCAATAAAGTATTGCCAACTTCTGTGATGGTCGCACCATACTGAAATAGAATTGTTTATTTAAAAAATCAAAAATATATTTCATCTCTAACTCGGTTCCGCAACACTCGTTATGTCCAGTAAATCGATTCTAGCGCAACCCGGTTGTGAATTTCCACCGTTTGGGAAAAAGTCGACAGTGCCACAAGAATCTTTAAAACCAAAAGTACCACCATCAGTATGGATAACATGGACTACATCTGCGTCATCTTTGTTAAGCCTTTCCTCTTCTGGTCGAGTAGTAAACCAAGGACCGGCAGGATCCAGTGCGATTAAACGCGGCAGTTTGTTATTAGTTAGTTCTTTAACTTTTTTACCGATGAAACCCGAAACTTGACCACCTAACGAATGACCAACGATTAGGAAGTTCTTAAGCGGGAGTGAATAATTTTTATGTAAACCAACAATGAATTCCCCAATTATGGATCCTAAAATATACAATGTGTACATTTTTGTTACCTAGGTACCATTTTTTTTACATTACCAACATCCTTGGTATTCCAAGACGAAATAGTATACAGCTGATCAGCTGGCTCTGACCAATCTACTTGAATCACGTAAGATTCATTATTCCTAATTAAAAATGCATTTTTCAGGTCTTCATACCACTCTTTCTCACGGGTTTCAGTCCAACCGTGGATAATAAAAATAATGGGTGCGGTAGGATTGTTTAGTTCTTTTGGATTAGAAGGATCTATTTCTGTAAAATTGCCGCCGTTCTTGGTGGTAAATAAAAAATATTTTATTTTATTCGGGGTGACGTGGTCATTTTTAATTTCCTTTGCTTCAATAGCGATGTGTTTGTGGATGTTAAAAAGATCCTCTTTTAAACGATCTTCGATTTCTGATTTTACTTCTGAAATGGTTATAGTAATGTTAAATGAAACTGATTATCTGTATTTTCTGACTTACCTGAAAAACAAACAATTGAAAGCAAGAATAACAGCACGAAAATTGGTTCCTGCATTTTCTTCGAAATTTCTCACAAGAATGCCGATTTCAATTTAAGCACCCAATAAAAGATAGTTCGGAAGGTCGACAAGTTGCTCAACAACTAGTCGTTATTTGTTAATGGTATAGAAAATTAATTAGAGTAAATTAGGTGGATATTAGGATGAAACTAAACCCAGATAAATCTGAAATGGATTTGAGTTAATGAAATTATTATTGACAGCGTGAAAGAATGAGATATTACGCTGTTTTAAAAGTCACGGTTAAAGCAAAACTACTACTGTTGTATAAATAAACATCATCTTAGATTTAATATAACATTACAAGAATTTAAATCACTTACTTTGTTTAAAGATATACACCTGATACCTACAAACGAATGCTACTTCTTGGCGATAAAACAATTTTCTTATAGCAGACGCCAGTTTTTATAGTTTCCTAAAAACTAGTGTATAATTATTTACCGTCCTACGGCATTAAACCAATTTAATTCAACAATATTATAATGGCAATTAAGTATGTATCTACATTACCACCGAAAAATATTTGCCCACCAGCAATTTTTTCAATAATTCCCAGATAAACATTTTTTGTGGTTTTGTCCTGAATTCTTATTTTGATGTTTGTGAACGTACTTATTAATTAGTAGTTTCTCTTCTCCTAGATGTTCTTAAGTTTTAAGATAAACAATAGACATATTTCAATGGGCGATTCTGGAAAAACGGTTGGAGTTATCGAAGAAATGAGGAAAATTTCATTTTTGAAAGAGTCGTCTAAAAATTATGAAAAAATTCAAGATTATGGATATTGACGTGCTGATTCCAGAAATATAACGTGTTTAGGGTTATGGAGTAATATTTTCGAAAAATTAGGTGTGAAATTCGAATTTTTTGAAATTTTTAATAAAATTACGATATTTTACAGGGCATTTCTGGAAAAACGGTTGTAATTATCAAAAAAAGGAAACCGGGAGTGACTTCTGCGGCCCGAAATTTACAAGAAAATGTGTTTAGTTAAATTTCAAAAATCGTTGAAAATGGGTCGAAATCCATTTGCAACGATTCGAATTTTTTGAAATTTTTAAAAATCGCGATATTTCAGTGGGCGCTTTTAGAAGAACGTTTGGAATTATCAAAAAATGAGGCCTATCTCAATTGTGATGATTTTTTTATTCTTAGAAATGTAAAACACGTTTAAAATGGTAAGTTTTTCGTTAGAAAATATGAATTTTGCAATTAGGCTCCGCCCCGAGGTCTGCCAACAAATGAAGACTTCATTACTATGAGATCAGGGCTAGGTGGGGCTTAATCTTTGTTTTTAATTTTTTCTTAATTACATAGTATTTCTTGAATAATACGATACTCAAAACATGTCTTACATGGTAACTTCTTGTAGGGAAATAATAAGGATTTTGCAATTAAATTCCGCTCCTTTGGCTCTCGACAACAACAAAAAAACTCACTACATTGAGATAGAACAAGGACCTTAAAGTATGTTTAAAATGGTAAATTCTTGTAGACAAATGTGGATCTTGTAATTAAGCCCCACCCCTTGATCTGACAACGAATGAAAAATTCATCACAATTGAGAATTGAGATCGGGGCGGGTATGGGTGGGGCCTAATTTTTGGCTTTATTTTTTTCTTAATATATCTAATATTCTTTGAACAACACGATACTTAAAAACATGTTTTTAATTTCCTGTAGAGAAATAAGGATTTTGCATTTAAGCTCCGCCCCCTCGGCTCACGACGAATAAAAAAAATTATCACAATTGAGAAAGGGCGGGTGGACGGGGCTACATTTTGCTTTGCTTTTTAATTTTATTGATTATTTGAAGAAGCCAATAATACTGGAGATTGGTAATCTCTAATCTAGCATCAGTTTTCTATAAAATATTATCTTTTTCCGACTTCATCGTTTTTTGGAAAATTTTTGTAAATCGAAATCTCATTTTTTCGATTATTTAAAGAAGTGTCGCATAAAACATTTCAAATTCGTAACCGTGGAAAAGTGTTTACAGACAGATATTTTTCCGCCCAAATAGCACATTTACCTTTTTTTTGAAAATTAAAATCGAACTCTTTCAGTTTATTAAAGATTTAAAGAGGTGTCCTAAAAGAACTTCATACGATGAATTTAGGGTAATTTTTAAATACACCTAATTTTATTATTTTTTGAAAATTTTTGAAAATTTTATTTTATTCTGTTCTGCAATTTACGAGAGATGACAAATAGGATTACAAATTCGTAATCTAGGGTGAATTTTTCGCTTGGATAGAAACGCTAACCAAAATTTGTCTCATCATCCCCACCAATAATGTGACGAAAATTAAATATAGCAATATCCACGTTTCTTTGCAAAAATGTACCATTTTAACCATGTTTTAAGTTTCTTGCGAAAAGATGGCTGTGTATATTAAGAAAAAAAAAGGCAAAATATAAGCCCCGCCCGCCCGCCCAGTCTCAATTCTGATGAGTTTTTTTGTTCGTCGTAAGCCGAGGGGCGGAGACTAATTGCAAAATCCATATTTCCCTACAAAAATTTACCAATTGAAATGTGGTTTAAGTTTCTAAGAATAAAAAAATCATCACAATTGAGATAGGGTGGGTGGGCGGGGTTTATATTTTGCCTTTTTTTCTTAATATACATAGTATTCTTTGAACAACACGATACTTAAAAACATGTTTTTAATTTCTTATAAAGAAATCAGTATTTTGCAGTTCAGCTTCGCCCCCCTGGTTCAGGGCAAATAAAAAAAATCATCACAATTGAGACAGGGCGGGTGGGCGAGCTTACACTTTGCCTTTTTCTTTCAATATGTGTAGACTTCTTTCCACAACATGAAACATGGCGATGTATATTAAGAAAAAAAAGGTAAAATATAAGCCCCGCCCGCCCGCCCTGTCTCAATTCTGATGATTTTTTTTATTCGTCGTAAGCCGAGGGGCGGAGCGTAATTGCAAAATCCATATTTTCCTGTACAAATTTACCATTTTAAACATGTTTTTAATTTCTTGTTGTGAAAAGATGACTATACATATTAAAAAAAAAGGCAAAATATAAGCCCCGCCCACCCACCCTGTCTCAATTGTGATGATTTTTTTATTCATTATATTATATGCGTAGTAGAAAATTTTATTTTTGAAAAAACCGTCTAAAAATTCTCAAAAAATTCAGGGTTGTATATCTTGACGTGCTGATTCCAAAAATATAGCGTGTTTATGGTCACATAGTAATATTTTTTTCTAATGTATTTATTATCTATTGTTGCTTAAGAAAACTTTATTTTTGTTTAATAAAATTATGGTTTATTTTAAAGCTTGTTTTTAGCTATGAATAAAGTTGTTATTCAATTTCCTTTCAAATTTTTGGAAAATTCGCTGATCCGAATAAATCATTAATCCAAACACAGTTTTTCCCCAATTAATTCGGATTATCTATGTTATAATGTATAGGGGTACTGTAAATTTGTTTTCTCTGAAATGTCTACCTGTGTTTAAAATAACAAGCCGCCGAAACCAAAACAATCATGCAAGAGGATATAGCTTCAAATTAAAATTAAATTTCTAAAAATTGTCATATTTCAATGGGCGATTTTGAAAAAATGGTAGGTACAACAGAACGTCCTTAGGTAAATTTCGACGTCTACGGACGAATAAACCCACTTATATAGCCATACCTTGAGACTACTTTTGAAATATCTTCGAATATTAAAGACAACTCCAAGAGTAGGTTGTATCAAATTAACACTAAAACACATTCTTATGCATTTAGATATTTATTAGGTAATATAAACGATGTTAAAGAAGATTAAACTAAACTAAACTAAACTAAACCAATTTTGAACTTGTTAAAAGCGCTACAATATGATATCTACTAATAAAGCCCCAAAACATAATATAAAACCCCAACAAAAATGCTTACATTAATATTACGCCCTTGTAAATACGATACATGTTTACAGATTAAAATATTTTTGTCGGAACAGGTAACACATAAGGATTATCATCTACTCCGCTTTTTTTTCCAAAAGGTTTATCCTTGTTTGTTTCCAAATAAAAATCTCCTGTTTCAGTAGTTTCTAAATCTCCCATAGCTACTTCTTTCTTGTCGCAGAAATTGGTTTTATACTGCAACCATCCACCACATTTGACACCCATAAAACTCGTAGGATTTAAAACTGCTTCGATAAAGTATTTCCAACTTCTCTGATGATTGCACGCCACTGAAATTAAATTGTTTATTTAAAAACCAATAGATAGACAAAAATGTTTCATTTCTAACCAGGCTCCGCGACGCTCTTGATGTCCATTAAATCAATTGTAGCGCAACCCGGTTGTAAACTGCCACCATTTGGGAAAAAGTCGATAGTGCCACAAGATGCTTTAAAACCAAAAGTACCACCATTAGTGTGAATGACATGGACTACTTTTGCGTCGTTTTTATTCAGTCTTTCGTCTTCTGGTCGATTAGTAAATGCAGGACCGGCCGGATCCAATGCGATTATGCGCGGTAGTTGTTCGTTAGTTAGTTCTTTGACTTTTTTACCGATGAAACCAGAAACCTGACCACCTAATGAATGACCGACTATTAAGAAGTTCTTTAGGGGTACAGAATATTTTTTGTGTAAACCAACAACAAATTTTCCAATTGTTGCTCCTAAAATAATGAAATGTGTATGTTTCTACTATGTATCTAATTTTCTAATATTACCAACATCCTTGGTATTCCAAGACGAAACAGAGTACAATTGATGAGCTGGTTCTGACCAATCTACTTCAATAACGTAGGATTCAGGTTTCCTATTTAAAAATGCATTTTTCAGGTCTTTGTACCACTCTTTTTCGCGATTTTCAATCCAGCCGTGAATAATGAAAATAATGGGAACGTTGGGATTATTTAGTTCTTTTGGATCAGAAGAATCTACTTCTATAGATTTTTCTGGATTCTTATTAGTAAATAAAACATATTTTATCTTATCCGGGGTAACGTGTTCATTGGCAACTTCCTTTTCATCGATAGCGACATGTTTGTAGATGTTGTAAAAATCTTCTTTGAAACGGTCTTCGATTTCCGACTTTATTTCTTAAGTAATGGCAATAATGTTAAATGAAACTGATTATTTATAATTTTTTAACTTACCTGAGAAACAGACAGTTGAAATCAAAAATAGCAGCACTAAAATTTGTTCCTGCATTTTTCTCCAAATTTCTTACAAGAATGATATTTTGAATATATGCACCCGTAAAGTAAAGTTCAGAAGGTCAAGTTGCTCAACTAATCGTTATTTACTAAAAATACAGAAGATGAATTACAGTCAATTAGATACCAAAATCAAGCTGATGCTGACAAATCTAAAATGCAGTAAAATTATTATTGATTAATTATTATTTATGTCAAACGCAATTAGATACTCTTAACTTTGCTAAAAAAAAATCATTATTATTATTACAATTATCCTTTTTTTACTTTCGTAGTAATTGCCAGGCAGGATGAAAAAATATAAGAATAAAAACCCATAAGTTGAATGCTTTGTAATCAGCCCGTCATATTTTCAATAATTTTCATTTTTAAAAATTAAATAACTAAATGATTCTACGTGTTCATTAAGTCAGATGACAGACTTTTGTGTTTTTTTAAATCATTTGCTTTAAATATAAATAATTGTTAAAAATGTTAGTACTACTACCAAATTTTCTGAAAATCCGTTTATATGTTAAGACATCAATTTTACATAGGTTTTATTTTAATTCTTTTTATAGCTTTTCATAAGTTCTATTCTACTCCTGAAACTTAAAAAAACTGTGGAATATGATTAATCACGTCTTATAAGTGTTACTTTTAATGCAGTTCCATCCTGAAGTTAAAAATGAGAGTCGAGTATTATGGACAAGCAAACAAGCACGGACATTTCTGTTAAATTTGTTAAATTTTGTTTTCAAATGGCGTCACTTACTTTTCGAAAAAGACGAACAGCAAATTTTGATTATCGTTCTTCACGTTTTCGGTCCTCGCAAAGTCATTAAAATTTAAACTTGATGGTAAACTAGGATTTTCCTATTTTACGAGTTGTGAAAGCATGGAATCTCTTTGGAGAAAAAAATAATCAGGTTTATTTTTTAGAAACTTTGGGTGAAGAGTCTTAATGATAAAGGTAAGATTAATTTATTTATAATTCTACATGATAAAAGCAATAAAATAAAATATAAGATTTAAAACTTATATCCAAGCAAAATTTACTTTTACTGACGAGTCAGTTAAAGGAGATAAGATAATTTATGGGCAAAAAATAAAGCATTTGTTATCTTGCTCGCTGAGCTAACGGAAAATGTGTAGTTGAAGCCATTAATCAAAACATTGTGACAAAAATATACTGTAAAATTGCAAAACAGCACAAAAATAATCGTAATTCAGAACTTTTTGTAGATCTTTTTGCTTATTCCAACACATGAATTTAGAACAAAATAAAATTATAGGGGATCTCATATTGTATTACTATATGTTTAAAATATATTTTAATAATTTTAAGCGCATACATACACACATATCCATTTTGTGTTACAGACGGGCAATTCGATCCTCGTCGTTCACCCATTCAAGTCTTGAATCCGGGTAGCGCTAACCCGAGCTCGACCTGTGCATCCCTAGCTAACTACATACATACAGCTAAAATATTTCTTTTTGTAACTACAGACTAACGTATAACTCATCACATCTTTTTTTATTAAAAACTAAACAAATTTAAGAATGTTTATAAATTACGATAGTTACACACAACTCCCAATATAATAAATTCTACAAGTATATTTCTGCACTACAACTCATAAATTTTAATTTCGAAATACAAGGGTGTCACTATAACTATATAACTTTTGGTAGTGTACCACTTGATATTTAGTGAACGGTAAACTTCTAAGTTTAACTAATATATGGCCACAGTGGTCCAAATTACAGTCACCTTGTACCCTGGTAACAAAAATAAAAACATTTAGGAAGATTTTGTTATCATTAAGGCACTGTGTGTTTATATCCTCTGTTGTGTTAAACAGTCGTTTCTAAAAATTTCTTATTTCTGCTGATAATAACCTAACGGTCGTTTGTACCCCAATTTACAGTGGATACATATACATATCATTTAAATTTTTATTATCTTTGTGTTTTATTCTTGTGTAATTTTGGCAGGTATCTTTCTTGACAGGAAGTGTTCTGTATCACTACGATAACATTTCTGACCTATTATTATCTGTGATATGCGTACTTTGTAATTGTATGCACCGCTATTAGTGTGATGCTTATTCAATCACTGTTATCAAAAAGTCAAAAGTTATTAATTATTATTATTCTTACTTTATCTAGTACATTACATTTACAATTATGTTTCTAATTATTCATGTAAGCAATTTGCCACATCTTGAAAAAAAGTAATAATGTAGATACCTAAAAATCTTAGTCATTTTTTCAAATAAAATCTTCAATATCATTAGTATTACATATTTATATTATCTTTATCGAGCACACAATGTACATTCAATTTCTCAAATCGCCTCATCTCACCTCTCGGTTTTTTATTTGAAAAGAGCTGTTAGATTAGAACTCTATCATCTTCTACCTAGTCAATTTGTGAATGAGATGGTCAGGTATTACAGGTATAATTCCATATACATACATGACTGAGTGATTACACAGCGATTATGTACAAAATAAATCCGGCGCAACTTGATTGTACTCTCGCGGACTGAACTGACTGAACAATAATCGTTCCCGAAGGTGGCCTTTATTTAAAGCCATACTTCCCTTCTAGAAGTTACGCAGTCGAGGTCTTTCTGAATTGCCTATCGCGACTTCTGTCCTTCCATAGTTGAACGACGTTTCACGCTGCTCGATTTTGTCACAGTGTTTGGTTCTTACACGGTCTTCTCGACAAAAAGTCCGCATTATTGTGAAGCTTACCAGCCCTGTGTCGAATTTTGAAGTGATACTTTTGGAGTCGTTCAAGCCATATAGCCACTTATTCTTCAGGATTCGTCATCTGAAAGACCCATGTAAGCGCTGCGTGATCGGTTCTAATCAGAAATTCGCGTCCATGGAAATATTTATGGAAGTGTTCAATAGCTCTGAGAATCGTGAACAACTCCTTCCTAGTGGCACAGTAGTTCTTCTCGGGTTTTGAAAGTACGCTGCTGAGGTACTCGATGACTGCAAAGAGTTTGCAGAGTTTCGCCTCTGGTATGGTTGACATACTGAGTTACCGTGCTCTTTTATCTTATTCTTAACCCTGCTCCTGAAGATGCCACTTACGAAAGTGTGCTAAACGTTGAGCCCAAAAACTCAATTTACACAGTCCCAACACGGAAACCGATCATGTATTGATTCGGGCCGTGGAAGCCTCCGAAATTATCTATTTTTTCGTCCATCTTTTCCATTCTTGCATCTATCTTTCCGTTCATTTCGTCCAATCTTGAGCCCATTTTTCGCCCATTTCTTGATTTCTTGCATCCATTTTTTCATCTATTTTTTCCTTTTTTGTCCCCATTTCTTCTTTCATATCTTTATTTCTTGCGTCCATCTGTGCGAGCATAGCCATCATCTTGTTTACTCGTTCCTCCATTTTCGCAGCTTGAGTTCTACTCTCAACACGCATCAATCTTCAGAATTATTGTCCAATCTGCCCGGAAGTCGTCGTAAAACCAGTTATTATTGATCTCAAATCTCACTTTCGACACCAGTGTTGTTGAACGGGTATTTAAAAAGTCGGCGTAGGTAACACTCAACAATTTATTTCTCAATAACTCAAATTTACACCATTGATTACACAACGATTATGTACATAATAAATCCAGCGCAACTTGACTGTACTCTCGTGAACTAAATTGACTGAATACTAATCGTTCCCAAAGGTGGTGTCTATTTAAAGCCATACTTCCTTTCTAGAAGTTCAGCAGTCGAGGTCTTTCTGGATTGCCCATCGCGACTTCCGCTTTCGTACTAGAACCCATAGGCGTCGTACCGGGGCGGCGTATGGGTTTCTTTCGTAACGATGCTAATAAATTTTAGTATGAATAAAGTAATTAGTAAAATAAAAATGTAGTAAACTTTATTATTTTCCGAGCGTAAGCCGTAAACTAAAGTATGTAAATATTATGACACAATTTCAACAAATATCGCAATTCATCTTTTCTTATAGTATTTCACCGATTGTAGAAAACGAAAATGTTCCCGTTTCCGTCTGTCAGTTTTATTATAAAGAAAATCTCAGAAACTACTAAACTGATTACCTACTGTGAAATTTTAGGTGTACATTAATAAAAATGTATCACTTTATACCAACAAAGTTGACATATGCAGGTTTTTAAATTAAAATGTAAAACCTTCTCGAGGGAGCCAACTTTTTTTTGTGTGAAACCTTGTCCTGGGTCCCAATTGTCTTTTTTAAGATTGTGAAACCTTCTCGGGGACTCCAAGTGTCTTTTTTTAAGAATATTAAATCTACTCTGGACTCCCAACTGTGTTCTTTTAAGAAGGTGGAGCCTTCTTTTTTTCTATTACACTGTGACTAGTACCTTCTATATTCAGTGATATGGAAATCAGAACACCCAGTAATACTAAGCATATTTTAATCATTTTTGATATAAGTGGTTATTACGGCAATAATTATCAAAATTTTAAGTGATTTAAAAATATAACATGGTAATGGTCCCGGACCAAAATTTTCGAAAAATTCAGTTTGAAATGAAATTTTTCAAATCTACATCTTGAAAATGAAGCCCAAAAGTTGTAATCTACAAGAACCAGTTGAAATCTACAAGTGAATGTCTTTGAGTAATTTCCGATTCATGCTCGAAAAACGGTGAAAACATGTATACGGCGGAGGAGGGTATTAAAAATTTGAGATTTTTGAAAAGTTGGTTAAAAATACTCAAAGAATTTTTTTATTTAAAAAACAAAGTATTAATGCCTCCGGACTAAAATTTTCGAAAAATTTTGTTTGATCCTGAGTTTTTTGCCTCGAAAATTGACATTTTTTTATTTAATCATTTCTGGTAAAATTGTTGGAATTTTCGAAGAAATGGAACCGAAAATAACTTCTACAGATCTGAATTAATAAAAAATGGCTAATTTTCGAAGTGTTCGAAGGACAAAAAGCTGTTGTTTTTTAATTATTTTTTGATAGTTTCTGAGATCATCTTAATTATCGTAGCAGGTACTATTTATATTTGTACAGATTTGACGATACAAACTTAACAATCGGTTATAGGGAATTCAATTCTGTCCCTATCATAAAAGATTTGGCAGTAAAGATCTATCTCGCCTACAGACTGCCAGTAACAGTAACAAACTGTCAGTACCAGTTCAGTACTGTCAGGTCACCTGTCGGGTATTCCATCTGACATTTTAAGTAACTCAACATAACTAAAGTCCCTGGTAATCTAGGACCTTTAAACATAACCAAACATAACTGACATCTTGTAACGTAACCTAAAAACAGTAGTGGAAATAACCCTAAGATTGTTACGCACTTCAAAGCAAAGCCAAGTGAAACCCATACATAGCCCACATTATCAAATTGATCGTATTAATGTATTTAGTCGTTTTCTGAAGTCAGGTCAAATATCTGGAATGTCTGATTCTGAAGATGATTACATGTCCGACAAGCTTCTACAAACCTGGTAACATATGTGATTTGATCTTACTACCACCACTAACAACAAATCTATTTAAGCCAAGAAGATGTTCGTCCCGGATTAGTCTTTAATCGTACAACAAAGCGAAAACATGAATTAGAAAAAAAGAAAAAAGAACTACAAGCTAAAAAACCTAAAAACAGCAGAGAACGAGAAGAAGAACTTCGACAGAATGCTTTAAACACGGCTATTTCAGATGACAATAAGGGATTTAAATTATTAACAAAAATGGGTTTCAAGCCTGGTGAAGGTTTAGGAAAAGCGAAAACTGGCATTACAGAACCCATAAAAATTGAAGTAAGAAACAGTAAGTCAGGCATAGGAATGGAAAACCACTTCAAAGAAAAAATTAAAAAGAAAGTAGAATTGAAAACTCAAGATCTAGCAAAGACGTTAGATGAATTTCAAAAAAGTAATAAAATGAAACAAATGCAGCGATATTTATACAAGGATTTTGTGACAGCACAGAGAGCATGTGAAGATCTGGATACACGAAAGGTTTGTATTTTTTTATATATATAAAATTAGATTGAAAAATGTACTCGTAGGAAATCAATGAACCAGTACAAGAATTCTTTTGGACACGAGAAACAATAAAAAAGAAGAAAGGAATTGAAGATGAAGAGGAGGAAGAAGAGTTCAATGAAGAATTTAATTCCTATTGTTCAGATGAAAACTTATTTCAGGTTATTAACTATCTTAGAGAAACGCACTTATATTGCATGTTCTGCGCATTCGTTGCTACAGATGAAGATGATTTAAAAATGAATTGTCCAGGACCATCTCGAAGTGATCATGATGATGGTTAAAAAATAGTTTTATTTTTTAATACATCCTTTTAACAAATAAATAGCTAATATTAAATACAAACATAAAGATTACTTTGTTACAAAAAAACTTTCTGCACACACTACAACCTAATAAATAATCACAAAAGCTTAAAATTAAAATTAAACTTGTAACTTATGTCCAAATATCTTCAGATCTACCAAATTTGAATATCAGAGAAGCAATGAATATAAAAACATTCTGTAAGAATAATCCTACACCAGGCCAGTAATGGGCATTTTCTGAAAATAAATTTATTAGTACAAGAAAAATAATGTTTTAACACTTACTTTTGCCTGCAAAGTTAGCAAATAAAATACCACATGACGCAATTACTGATGCAAAACCCATAACAAAACCCACAAACAACCAAACTTTGGCGCCTCTGGGACCCAAACAGCCACCTTCATAAGCATCACCTCTCATTTGAGCATTTGACACAGAATTTATCATTATAAGTGAAAGAGTTCCGACAACTCCACACATATGGTAACCCGCGACAACTGTTCCGGGGTAGACACTTGCGGCATCGATTATTATCCACCATCCTACAAAAAACTAAAACCAAGATGAATCATAACCATTTTTAGTGATACAAAATCCTTACCAGAAATCCGGAAATTATAGAAGCATAGGCGTTCCGTTTGTCACCGCCCTCAAACCAAATACATGGTGGCAGATTTATATTTTCGAAACAATCACCAATTCCCATATTTATCAAGAAAACGCACTGTGTAAAACGTAAATGTGTATATTACTTTTGTCACAATGTTGACATCCAACCATCTGACAAATCTGTCAGGCGTGTCATTTACCTAGTGGTTTTATTTTTATTACTACTGTCAACGAACATTAAAAGGATGTCAAAATAGCATTTATTTCAATATTTATCAATATAAATTTTAAGTTTTTAGAAGTAAAACAGATTGCATATTGCGTATATTAAATATTAATTTATAAAATTCACTGTTAGAGGTAATAAGGCAAGTTGACAGTCTTCCAATGCTTTCATTCAAAACATTTTAAAAATGTAATACACACTTTGTCAACGTCACTCAACAATACACCCCTTAACAGGAAAAACAGTTCATATTATTCGTTCAAAATGATGCAACAATATATGAAAGAACTGGAACAAGTATGAACAATTTTCTCATATTTTGAAGTATTAACAGAATTTGTCTTAGGAACCATTTGATGCAGAGGAATTTGTCGAGAGACTAGCATGGAGAACCATAGCTGAAACTAAGACTGATGACGACGAAAATTTTAATCCTAGTCTGTTGCATGATTCCTTTGTACAAGCTATAAAGTAAGTACATAATAGATACAGCTGATAATTAATATCATTTTTATTATTATTAGAGATTTAACATTGTTGCAAGAACGCCAGAAAAAGAAATGTGAACGGCTTGAGGCTGCAGTTCGCGAAGATGAGGCTCAATTCTTTCAAGAAATCCATAATCTGTTAGAACAGAATAAGGTAACAAATTTTCAGTTGAAACTAAAATGCACTGAATGTATTGTAGAAAGCGATTGATACATTCCAAGAATTGGATGGCAAAATTAACCATGTTGCTACTAAAGTTTTACATTTGGGTGATCAGTTGGACAGTGTGAATGGTCCTCGTGCAAGGGTAGTAGATGCCCAAAACTTGATGACACATTTGAATGAGTTTTTAACCACTGGACCACTCACATCTGGAATATTTACAGATCCTACTAAGGTATATGATTAATAATATTAACATGAAAGTAATTTTATCCTACATAGGTTGATAAAGCGGCAGAAATTGTACAAAAGCTGTATTTAATTTCACAAGATTTACCATCACCAAAGTAATTCTATTCTATAGTTATTTTGTATAATACTCAATGTGACATTATTCAGGTTTGAAGGTTTAAAGCGCAAAATTGAAAGGAAATATGATGAAACCGAAAGAGCTTTAATTGAAGAATTTTCAGCTGCACAGAGGAGAGATGATTTCAAAAGAATGAAGGAAATAGCTAACGTTTTGTCACAGTTTAAAGGGTATCCTCAGTGTATTGATGCCTACATTGAAAAAAGCCAAGCTGTAAAATACTAAAATTTAAAAATCTTGATAATACATTAATTGTTTTAGGGGTGCCTGTTGAGCAAAGATGTTTTTGCACACTTGGTGCCATTATGTCAACTCAACTATGAAGTTATTAAGAAAGTCTTTAACAATCCAGAACAAGTAATGGCAAAGTTTGTTCTCAACATTTACCATTTAAAAATACAAGAATATATAGCTTCGAAGCTGTCTTCAAAATTAGACAGTTATAATTATTTGAAAACTTTATATGAATTATATTTCAGGACAAACCAGTTGTCTCAAGAACTGTCCGTTTTTAACATGGGCAGTGACAAGAATTATTTAAATAAGTTAACCAGTAATATATTTAATAAATACATAGATAATTACATAGCGTAAATTACCAGTAAGTTTTATCTGACAATTTTTTACTTGTCTGTATTCTAGACTAGAACTTAAATGTTTAAAAGAACGCAGTTCTGCAAATTTGCAAAGATACTATGAATCTAAAAATCACCAGAAAAAACAAATCCAATCAGGAGGGTATTTTAGTTCTTACGGGTTTTTCACAAAAAAATAATAAATAATTTTAGTTTTCAAGATTTGCGTCGCGATTTGCAAGCGGTTATAGGAACGAGAGCTAATATAAATATTGCGCAAATAGAAAACTACGGAGGAGAAACATTTTTATCAGAAGAATTAGCCATCACTATTCTACAGGACACGAAAAATGCTTTCCAGCGTTGTCAATTGGTAATGGGTTCTTTTTAAGTACGTAGTTATATTTTAATTATTACCGCACCTTTAGCTTTCAAAATCTGAAGATAAGGCCTCTAATGCCACACAAATTTTGGACCGTTTATTGAATTCTTTAATGATAGAACACGTAGATTATGCTTTGGAATTAGGACTTCAAGCGATACCTGTCGTTGAAGGTTCAAAGACCCCACCTACCTTATATTTTTTCATTGTCGTTCATCAGAGCAATAATATTACTCACTTGCTAGAAAAACAGTTTACTGATTTGGCGGTACCCTTGATTATGTGAGTGTAACAAACGGTATTAGTATTTGTTATAAACAATCAATATTTTAGTAACACACCAAAATACAACGATTGCATCCAAAAGAAAAAGTTTGTCTTAGAAGACATTGAAAAGAAAGTGAACACTGGACTGGACAGGTAATTTAACGATTCAGTGCTTGATGCACTTTGGTATCTATATTTTTCTAGGACTTTGAATGCAATCGCCAGTTGGGTGAAACTTTATCTACAGTCAGAACAGAAAAAGACAGATTTCAAGCCAGAGACTGATGACTTTGATACTGTCGCTTCGCCAGTACTCAACCTTGTTTTATTATAAATTTATATTTTAACACTATATGATTTCAGGCTTGCAAGGCAGTTTCTCAGTATATAACTAATGTTATTAAAGAAATTCAAACAAATTTAGATGGTAATAATGTATCAGCTTTGCTGCAAGAATTAGGCGTGCGACTACACAGAGTTATTTATGATCACTTATTACAATTTCAGTTCAACACTGCAGGTAAAGTTACTGTTATAAATATGTGGACTGAAGTCTTATTGTTATGTTTCATAGGAGCGATGGTTGCAATTTGCGATTTAAATGAGTACAGATCATGTACAAAGCGTCTAGGACCATTGGTGGCTGAATTGTTTGAAACTCTGCATGCTCTATGTAATCTGCTTTTAGTAAAACCAGAAAATTTGCAGCAAGTTTGTTCAGAAGACTCTCTGGTATTTTTTCTTTGAGTGGCTTAAAACACTGGTAATTCTTTTTTTTTTTTAGGTTAATTTGGACAGATCGGTGCTTCATAATTTTATTCAATTGCGCAGTGATTTTAAGACACAAAAACAAAATTTCTTGAAGGTGTAAATTTATATATGTACTATGTAACACTGAAGTATATAAGAGTTTGTTTTATAACAATTTGTTTTTTAGAAATAAAAAAAATATTAAACTCTTCTGTTGTGTTTATTTCCTAAGTACATATATGCAACTGGAACTGTTTTTATTAAATTTCCCCAACATCTAAATTTCATAAGCTCCAATTTTTGTGATTTTCAAAATGATTTTTTCCCGAATGGAAGGCGAGTATTGAAAGCTGTTTACATTTACAACACGTTAAAATTTTATATATATTTTTTGCAGTATTAAAAAAAACACCAAAGAATGCCACAATATTTATTGGTTCCACATCACATCTGTAGAACTGCCATGAAGTGGGGAAAAAAATGAATGATTGAAAATGCAGCCAATTTATTAACATGTTTGTCATAAGGTACAAAAAAAACTATTAAAGGACTTCCTTTTATTATTATATTGTTTACAATGTAAACTTGCAAGAATTACATACTTAATCCATAATAGTAATAGGTACTGAAACTAATTATTCACTTAAATCTTTTCTTTTAATATTGATAGTAAGTATTCATTGTTGTTATCCTACAATAATCAGCTGCTTTCAAAGTATTTTAAAAATTTACACCGGCAAAACAATTACAACATGTACCAAGATGTACAACTAATAAAAAAAAATGTTACAACTTATTATCTGCCTAATTTTAAAATGCACAGGGAGATTCATGATGGGGGATACTGAAAACAGCAATTTAAAACAAGCAAAACTGATAAAAAAAGAACTGTACATTATAAACACACTGGCTTCTCATGAGGGAATAATAAAACTGTTAGACTAGCCTCAAAAATCAAGATGTCTGAAAAAAGTTGTGAAAATATCATTTGGGAAGTTGAAAAATAAGCACTTGTATTTCCAATTGAATGTTTTAACGCATACGGTATCTATTGTTTTCATGAACTTCGCACAGTTCGCCTTTAAAATTAAGTTCGATAACGAAGTCCAAGTCTCGATTGTTTCTTGGGTTAGGTTTCATTGTAAAAGTTCCACTAATTTCTTCACCTTTTTTAACAGTCATGTAGTCTTCAAAATAAAACACTGTTTGCTTCCAGTGTGTGTAAGGTGCATCTGGGGCAGTTGTAAATCCAATCCTCTTGTGGCATTTAGTGAACTCCACTGTGAAGAAAGTGACAAGAGCTTGGACGTAGTCATTTCGACGAACTATTAAACTAAATGGTGCTGCAAATTCCAAGTCCTGCTTCTTTACAGTGTACAAATCAACCTCTTTCACTAAGCATGAATTGGTAACAATTTGTTTTGGATCCACGACATCCACCAATGGTTCACTGATGGCCACCTTACGGATGGAGCTCATGTCAAAGCCATACACGTCATCCCACCAATTAATTTTTTCATCTTTGTATTGTCTATCCTCAATCGCGGTAATAAACAGAGAGCAACGATCGGGGAATAATAGGCCGTCAGGTTTAAGCCACTTATCGCGCGCAAATAATACTGTATCCAACATACTTTCGTAGAATAAGCAATAGCCCATCCACTCGGAGATAATTATATCCACATTCTGGACTCCATCGGGTAATTCAACTTCTTCAACCTTGCCTTTAATTATGGTAATAACGTGATCCAGCTTATTCATTTCAACGATTTTTCGTGCATAATCAACGATATTGGAGCATTCAATTGCAAAAACACGCTTAGCACCAGCTTTGGCAGCAAACATACTTAAAATTCCCGTTCCACACCCAATATCCATCACAGTTTTACCCGCGAATAAGTGTTTATTATGGTGCATTGAGTTACGGTACGTCAAAGTCCTTACTTCATCTTTTAACATTTCTTCATGTATTCCAAAATGAGCATACGAGTCGAAGTAATAGTCCCGGGAGGTCATTTCTTCAGCCGGAATATCTTCCATTTTTTCTTCCTTGTGCACATGGTTATTTGTTGTGGCAATATCCGTCGTGTCCATCTTACTGAGATTATCCTGCAGAACAGATAATTGCAATTGATACAAAGCATTTTCTGGTTACCGCTCCACGCGGTAAATATACTACGCAAAAATCAAATCTAAGCAACAGAATAGACGAACAAAACTTCTAAGAACAGTTTGGTGATAATTTTACCTGCAATATTTCCGATTTTACTCAAGTTCTCTAATTTTTTGGCGCCGAACGTGCACGCTTTTTGTCACGCTACAGTCGGAATGACAATTGACGACTTAGGGAAATTTGATATTAAACCGCTTCCAATTTTAGTGCTTTTTACAAAATGCCGAAAACCAAGAAGTTTACAAGTACGCAATTAAAATTTCGGCCATTATTGTTACAATACAAATTACTAGATAATTAATGTGTACGAACATTTGATCCCACGGTTCCTGTGCTGTTGTTAAACACCAACGTTTCTTTTATTTCACAAGACGCCATTCCTGTCAACTTACAAACAACTGAAGCTGGTCGAAAAGAGGGAGGCAGGGGAGAGGTGCGCCCTTGACGTTTATTTTGTTGCAGCCAATCGCATTCGCGATTAATAGCATATGCGCACAAGTTGGCGTAATTGCACAGAACTGGATTAAATATATTCCTTGAACCGACGCCAGGCATGTATTCATGACCAAAATCACAAACAATTTAGGCATTTCATTATTGAAGTCTTATAAATAATTTACTAAGTGACTTGATAGATCGCTAAATAACCAAAATTAAAATTTGTTTATTCATCGTCGGAAAAATTTAGATGACGTCATTTCAAAATTTTGCGAACAGATCAAGGAAACAACAACCATGGACAATATGTATTATTTAAAGTATTTGACGACTTTAATTAAATTTCGTTTTGCCGCAAAAGTGTTTGGGAAAAAACATACAATATGCAACTCGCATGAAAAAATACTCACTCTTTATTCGTACGAACTGCAACATTCGCCTTTGCCTCATGCCCCAAGCTTTCACATTCGTGACAAATGAGTAACTTTCAAGTTTTAATGCATAATATACATTCTCTTACTTATTATAAGTTAAAACTCTGTTTGTTGGTCTAAAAATCGATCGATTTTTTGTTGGTCACATACAAGAATAATTGATTGTTGGAATATTATGTATTTATCTAATAAAACTGATAGAACGTTTATTTAGAATAATTATAGCGTGACTTTTGATATACATTAAATGTTACCTTAGCAACGCCCCTGTCAACATTGCCACATGATGATTTCTTGTTATAAAATAACTTTAGACGTAAAATGCCTGAGGAGATAAAACACGAAGTAGTGCTGAAAACACAGAAATCTTTGGGAAAATATGTGAAAAAACCGCCACTAAGTGATAAATTGCTAAAGAAACCGCCATTTCGTTTTTTACATGATGTGATCAATACAGTGATAAAAGAAACAGGATTTTTAAAAGGACTTTTCTCAGAAGAAGAGTTAAATTCCGAAAAAGTGAAAGAAAAAGATGCCAAATTGGCCTTTTTGAGCAAATTAATTGATGCCGTTAGTAAGTAATTCGACTCTTTTGCATGCTTATTCTCAAATGCACTTAAAAAATGCTGTGATTCTTTGTTTTCTTTACAGAGGCACTCACAAACACCAATTTGGCTGTGCGTCCGAGTAAAATCATAGCTGGATTGGAACCAACTGAGACTAACTTGTTATTGCAAGCAATTGCAAAAGCAATAGAAAAAAAAGTAGACAGTACTGAATACATAAATAAATTACAGTCTGGACAAATCATTACTAACGAAAAAAATAAAAAAACAAAGAAACCTGCAGAGAAAAACGATAAAGTTAAAAAAACACCTAAAACAACCAACGCAAATGAAACGAAAACCCGCCCTTCAAAAACTAACGAGAAGCAAGTGAATAATGAAACCCCAAAATCCACAGACAGAGACAAAAATAAGACAAGACGTACATCCAAAGAGACTAAAAGCAAACCAGATTCAGAAGAAGTAAAAACCAAAACGAAAGAAAAGTCCAAAAAGAAAGACAAAGTCAAAGAAATTGTGTCTGACGATGTCATTCAAACCGAGAAAGAAAACGTTCAGAACGCAGCTTCGACTCTGGATGCAGCCGCAGAAGTCAGCAAAATTAACGCGAAAAACGCCGCTCAAACTGCTGAAATTTCTAACAATGAAGCGAATAGTAATCGATCCGTTCCAGATGAAGACACGATTAAAATATCTGTGGAAGGCCCGGAATCTTCACTAGTCAGTGAAACTAAAACTGAAAATGAAACGAAAAAAAGAAGCACATCGGCGTCACGCCCAAAATCTGCACGACCAAGAAGTGGTGACTTGAAGGATAAGGTCATTCAAGAAGAGAGTAGAGAACCGGTGCACATTCAAAGTCGTCCTAAAAGTTCCCTGAGACCGCCAAGCGTTAGACCTTCGAGTGCCAGACCCGGTGCTCCTCGTTTAAGGCCTGATTCCGCACTTCCTATTAAAGAGATTGTTCCAATGGGGAAAATTAACGTTATCGTTGAAAATTTTGATAAAGATGACGAAGAAGAGACTGTAATTATTCAGAGTAATCCTGAAGTCGTAGAGGAGCATGTGGACAACATTAGCGATGTTCCTCGTGATAATAAGGGTCATTTGGTTGAGCAGATTTTGGAACAGATCAATGAAAGTGAAGTGAATAAAGTCAGTACGACGGAGAATGAGTGGCAGAAAGACAGTAAGTATGTTTTTGAGTGATTGGCGATGGTGACTATGTGTTTTTAAGTTTTTTATGGGAAAGATTCCACAACTAAAGAAACTAACAATTTGAGATCACTTATACAAACGCTTACAAAAACTGCAAATCCTTTGGGGAAACTGTTGAATTATCTTCATGAAGATATAGATGCGATGCATGCTGAACTTGAATCGTGGACCCACACTAAACGCCAGTTGTCCGACGAGATTGACAAGCAGAGAAAGTAGGATGTTATTTAGAGATATTTATTTTTGTGCGGTATTTTAAAATGATTTTTTATTTTAGGATAAGCGCCGAGAAGAACAAACCTTTGGTTTTACAGCTTGAACATTTGAATCAGGAAATACGCAAAATCGAAGACGAATTGGTGATCACCAGGAATAACATCTTACGCAACGACGCCAAAATAAAGGAACTATTATCAAAATAAAGTTTAAAGGTTTTATTACTGTTATTTACGATTTTGTTGATTTTGTGATTTCTTTGCACAATTTTGTAAATAGCTTAGACGTTTAACTTAGACCACGGGTTAAATTTTTAACATTAAAATAATTATAAAGCAAAAATCGATTTTGAAACTGTATTGTTGTAAAATTTACATTTTATTACAAAACTGGCCCAAGTGTAATGTTAATAGTTTTATAAGTAAAATTAAATAAATAGCAATGCGTTTTAAAACTATATTAGTAAAGAAAGGACAGGTGAATAAATAACAGGCAACCATGTTAAATAAACCGAGATTTATGTGACAATAATTTTGCAAACATGTTATCCATTTAACTTAAATATTATAACGGCGTTAAATGGCGAACATAAATAGAGACAATTATCAACAACTTACTAGTATGAGACCAACGCACACACGTAAGCAGCAACACTCATATAAAAAGAAGTATTATCTTAAATTAAACAGAAAAACTTACATAAAGTTGCATTATTAAATCCGCATTATTTAAAACATTGCAAAATTTTTTTTAAACATATAAAAGGCATGATTTATGCTAATATTCATCCTCGTCTCCTCCAGCTTCCACTTCATCTGGTGGTGCAAAACCCTCCTAAATTTTCCAAAAAACGATTTTTAATAAAAACTGGAACGTTACTACATGTTTACCTCTGTAGCATACAGAACGTCTAAGATTTTTTGAATTAACGGATTCTGCGCCTCTTCCGCTTCTTGACACATCACTTCGATGTCTCGTAATTTTCCAAAGTAAAAGTCTCGCTCCTTTTCCAAGCCGTCGATTGTGATCTAAAAATTCACACACTGAAAGAGCAACACAAAAAAACACCGATATTACCTTAAACTCTGCGATCTGATTGGTCAATTCGTCTAGTCTACCTGCATCTCCTCCTTTGTTTTGAGGATTTTTAGTGATGGGTCGAACGGTGTTGACTTTGGGCACTAAAACTGTTATATTGAACGAAGCCAATGTATATGTTAAATCGGCATTAGCAAAAATGTAAACAAAAATGTTCAAATATGCAAACAAACCAATTGAAGCAGCAACAATTGTGCAGTGGTAAAAAGGCTAGTAGGAAGATTGAAGTGTTAATTTTGGCAGTGCAATTCCAGGTAGCCTCTTTGGTGAATCAAGTTATATTTACACATACTACAGATGTTACTGCGAGGCTAATTTGAAGAATTCGCGGCCTGATAGAGCAAGATACTCTTCTTTTTAGTAATTAGTGAATTAGAGTTTTGTTGAATGTCTATCTTATCTTGTAAATCAGATTCTTAAAAGTCATCACAATTTGCTGTGGCGTTCAAAAATTGTTAACTACATACAATGAATTATTAGCTTAGTATGAGGATTTTTTTTCAAATATTCTTGTTTCGTAGATGAAAATTAGTATGAATTTGGTGCCCTTTTTTGCCCATCATAGATATCAGAACAGCAGTAAATTTAAATAAAAGTGACAATTTCTTCTTAGATGACAGAGAATGATTATATTTTCATTGTTTTAAATATTCACACGGTTCCTAATGTGTTGTGGTGGGTCTAACAAACAATGGATTGCGACTTCTTTTGTGCGAATTTTGTAACCATTTTTCCTATTTAAGTTTTAGTAGTAAATTCACAGTACTGAAGTGCACTAGTTTAGAATTTTTTAATTTTGAAACAGCCTACCACACCATCTTGGATTATCTGAACACCAGTGTTGGCAATTTCGGACACCCTTAATTAACAACAAATCGTAGTTATTAAAAGTTCTGGCGTGATGACATTTTTTTGAAGTCCATTTTTGAAGTTCTGGCATCACCTTTAATTCTTCAGGCATCTTCCCGTAGATGTGAAAGTGCAGCATTCTCATTTAGTTAAAATTTCTGGCTGATGTTAACCGGTTCTATCAACCATCTTCTCCAAGCACGCCGTGCAATTCAAACACAACGAAAAATACGGTGTATGGCTTTGACTTGCTGTTTATAACAAACTACTTGACAGACCAATGAGAAAGGCGAGGCATTACAATACATTAAAAATATAAGACCTATCACCCCTATTGTGTACGGCAAGCCGCGAATTTTTCAAATTACCCTCGTACCATAAATAAATGACATACTCGCTCGGCCGATTGGTTTCGCCGGTGCCGTTTTGGCTGGCGAAGTCGGAACTGCTCTTCTCGCCACCAATGAGTTGGTACTTCTTGGAGCGTTAATGCCGCCCCCTCCCATAACTTCGCCGTTCCGACACGACAGAGCGTCGTATTCGTTACCCCTATAGTTAGCATCGAAGAATTTTTTGAACCATTGCAAAAATTCAAAGTTGTCTTGGAACCGTCCTTTCACCAATTTGTCAATGGGGACTATCTAATCGCAGCCACCAAAACAAAAACAAAGCGAAATGAAACAAACTAGAACGGAAAGACAACATGCTTGACGAAAACAAAATAACATAATGGTCGAACGAAAAGGGGGGTGGAACGTCGTTCTGAAGGCCACTACCCCACGGCTACAGGGAGATAAGCAAAAGCGCGCAAACTAACGAAACCGACCCACACTTTGTAGAAACGTTTTCACTACTCCAATAAAATTCAGCGAATAATGCAAACTCTCGATGCATGCGTGATAAGGCAGTCAAACAATGCTTAAAGCAGAACAATAACCAACTGCACAAATTATGATTTGTGGTTTGGGTTGGTCTTTGACCTTTAAGGCGGTCAAGTTTTATCAGATACACTGAAAACGTTTTTACTGAACAAGTATTTTATATGGTTAAGGGTTGATTTCGTCGTGGGACAGGTACGTCGATTTACCCTGTTTATTAGGTGCGGTTTTTGTTATATGGGGCACAAGTCCTCCAATGTGGTGCTCGTGTGCAGCCGCACCGAGAGTGATACCACCTCTGGCTTCTATTGCGTCGTAATCTCTACCATCGTAATTAGCGTCAAAAAATTTCTTAAACCATTGCAAGAATTCGAAATTGTCTTGGAAACGTCCCTTTATTAATTTATCTACGGGTATAATCTACAATTATCGCAAATAACCCGTTAATTGATCATTAATTTTCGTACCAAACAAAATGTTCATGTTAAAGATTTCGACATAATGATGCGAAAATATGAAAGAAAATTACATGAGAGCAAAGTTTTTAACTTGATACTTAAATGAGGATGTTATGTAAATAAGAACAATGGTTGGTAGCAGAAATATACAAATTTTTACTGTTGCGAGTAACTACTTACGTTGAACCCAGTAGCTACGTACGCAACTGTTTAAATTTTTGGTTATGTATTGTTTGTTTTCTAGATATCAAATGATGTACACTTTTTTAAAATTCACTTTCGAAATTTTACCTAAACTTAATGATCTGCAATAAATTAATCTTGAACAAAGAAACAGGTTTGGCGTAAATTACTCTTATTATGGTCCAGTTTAAAGGTCGTTTTTTGACTGTACTAAGTACATGTCGTTATCTCAAACAACAATAAATATTAATGTTCACTAAAAATAACGACCTCGTTAAGACTGATTCTACAAAAATGGGAATTTTCAAAAGACCACCAATGATTGTCCTTATGTAACATAAATATTGTCTTGAAATTTGTTTACAACAAAAGATCATACATGAATTGACACCGACAAATGATAAATAGTTGATAAAATATGCTAATAAGTTTATAGAAACATTTTTAAAACATAAAATTCTCAGTTCCCTGGTCTGTCCTCACCCTGTAAATTGACATGTGGTGTGTTATAAAATAAGTAGCATTGCTGCTAATTCAAATATTGTGGCACATACTTAATTAATATTAGTGAAAATAATTGATATTAGCATATTTGAATTGATATTTATTATTTTTTTGTTTTTAACCAACGTGAAACAGGGTCCACCGGTTTTATTTCTCAGTTCCCTGGTCGGCAATATTTAATTTTTATTACAATATCACGTTACTTTTGCGAAGATACCAATTAGACAGTTTGGACCAATTTGATGTCTATTTGGCGCGTGTTAGCAATTTGACGATAAACTTTCAATGTCCGTTATTAAATAAAATGTTTTTCATCAGTGAACGCGTGTGGTTTCAGTCAAATTATCAGTTTCCTGGCAAGTATTTATTTAACATTTGTCAATTTTGGAAACTTTATGTTTTTCATAGATGAATTAAACACTTGGTGCAAAACTCTTATGCAAATGTTGTACTACATACGATATTATAAAAAGCTTTTTTTACATGATAAAGACAAAATTCTCAGTTCCCTGTTCTCAGTTTCCTGGGCCACAAAACGTGAGAAAACAGAAACAGCCAACTTATTATTCGAAACAAGAATCTAAACAAACAACAGCAAATGAGTGCGCTATAGAAAATATGCCATCCACATCAAGTTCATCTACAACAACATTTGGAATTATCACTTCGAGAATGATTTTAAATTTAGAGAATGATTTGAAAAAATTTTGTTATCATGAGACCAATATTGTTCATCAGTACAGCGCATTAAAAGCACTAACAGCATCGTTAACTGAACGAGATGTGGTGATCCATATGGATTTTTCATAAAATTATTACACCAAGTATTATGAGGAAGTCCAAGCTTTCCATTTCGGAAGATCAAGAACTCAGATTTCACTTCCTTGCTTATAAAATCATAAATATTTGTTATTTTGAATGATCCTTTTAGCTTCAGCCTTGATACAATATCGATCAATTCATAAAATACTCATCATCTCGAAATATTTAGATAACTTGTATATCCATATTTACTATAAAATAATTCCCATTTTTGTAGAATCAGTCTTAAATAGAAACAATCTACTTCAGGTAGATATCAATGTACAATATACCGGATGATTCAGAATGATATTAAAGATGCTTACTTTGGGACAAAGAATAAATTATGACTCAAGTTTCTCCGGACGTGACTATCAATTTTTCTTTCCAAACACAGTGGTATAGATATTATAAAGTCTGTTTGATAAAGTTTTTCTGTTTACAAAATTTCTGATACTTTTTTAACTTTATAATAATTGTAATACAAATATGAAATCAAACACCACTTAATGCTCAATGGAAATCTTAATAAACTAAATTGATCGGAAACCGTAAGCAAAATATTCCGCGGTCTACAAAACCTCCACATTCATAGATTTTAATTGTTTAATTTGGTGTCACAAATATTATTCGTTAAGGCAGTTCAAAGACACTGGGTGGAAATACCAATATGAGTCACCCAATATCATACAATGTTGAATATTTTTCTACTAAATCATTTATCTATAAATTTTCAAAGATAACAGTTGGCATTTTGCAAGTTTCAAGAAGTATGAATGCATGAATTCATGGTTCTGAAAATAAAAGTTCAAGTGGTTTTTGATTACCCTCTTACATGGTTTTTTCCGCGACGCATACAATTTTTGAAGAAATAACAAGTGTAAAACAAACACTTTGGTATGACGATAGCATTTTCGTTTTCAATAAGTTCAACAAAATTTGAAATTATGAAAAAATGATGCTACTGAACAAAATTCCGACAGACTTGAAAAATTTCTTGTAATATGTCATAATCTTTAAAATTAGGTTAATTCCATTCATTTCAAGAAACATGATAATTTTCTTTCTTGGATTGACTCGTTTTTTACGCGTTTTTATGAAAGCAATCACTCAGCTGGAACAGTATGTTATCTACAATCACGAGAAAAGTACATATATGTATTTGAAATGAGAAAATGTAATTTCAACATCATTTAATTTTAAAAATATTAACATAAGATAACATTATCTAAACTGATTAATCATTAACAGTCCTATATTGTCAAATTGTTTCTCTTTGGCATGAAGAAGTTCTTAAACTATATAACTCAAGTGGTATAAGCCCTAAAGTAAACCTTCAGATAATGGAGGAAACAATTGTTTCGTCAATACTCATACTACTATGACATTTCCAGTAATATCCACTTACTGCGTTATTAATAACAAACCAAATAACATTTTTTTTTAATTAAAACAATAACAATAACGTTATCTTATTGTTTCTTAAATGTCGAATATGACAACAATAGCAGTTACAATAAAAAATGCACAAATGAACTACTTAAATAATGCATATATGTCACAGTTAGTAATGTTTATATTTGGAAATCTTTTGGCTTTCTGCCTTTAATGAACTGGAATATAGTGTGATGCAAACCTTTCATTGATGTAATATTTTAAAAATGGGTTTTATTTATTATGGGGAAGTATATATAGTACGCTAATCGCTCATAATTAACCGTTTTTGTGTAAATGGTGCCTTTTTCTCTTACTATAAGAATAATAAAGTAACCTAATTCTAGGGCAGTGTCCAACTGTATGATGATGCGCAAAATTATTGTTGTACATGAATCATAAATAAATCCTTACCTTATCTACACCCATCTTCTTAAATCCAGCTTGTAAAATTTTAAAATTCTGTATGTACTCATGTTCTAAGTTTGTACGGAATTTCACCCTCTTAAGCTGAACCGAACCAGGGAATAACATGTCCATGAATTGACAATACGCAGCGCCTGTACATAGTTCTTCAATTTTGGCAAAATTACTTTGCAAGCATTCATTGACCCAGGCTAGCATATCATGTCGGGATAAGTTATCTGAAGTAACGTTCGTCGAATAGACATTCACCGCCATTTCTAAAATAAAAATTTTTTACTAAGAAAAACCGTCACATTTTTTTCAAAGATAAATATTTTAATTTTTTTAAATGAAAACACGGTCCACTTTATACAAAGTCCACACGGATTGCGAAGACGAGTCAAATTCGGTAGCTGTACTCAATAGTTTGATTGTAAATTACTTGAGGCGAAAATGATGCATACCGGTTTTTACACGGGATGTTGTTCCGTTATTGTGAAATGTGTAAAGCTTAACCAACGCGTCGATTCTAAAAATAAGACTCATTAGTGCCTTAAAATTATTAATCGACGTTATTGTAGCACTTTTACTTGGAAAAAGTTCAAACAATTCGTTAAATTTGGTGAAAATTTTGTAATTCGGCCATGGCATTGACGTTTCAAAAATTGCAATTGAGAACAAACCTCCATGCAGTGCGTTGCGGAAATCATGAGAAATTTGCTCACATTTTAGTTGGTATTTAAAATGTGTGGGTTTAATACTAATGAAATATTTACCTGTGAATTATTAATTTAATGTCTCTGATCGGGAGTGGTTGGAAATTTAGCAGAGAATTTAACACCGGCCTACCGGCCATTCACCATATTCCAAACTTAATAAAACTAAAAGTTCCTAAATCCGTCAAAGGCGCCGTTGAAAGTCACCAGACACACGGGTTGCATAACTGTGTGTAGTGGAATAGTGGAAAACCAACAATTTCCAGACAGTTTAAAATTTAAATACAAATATGTGAAGTGAAAACAATGAAACGTAAAGTATAGGCATGGTAGGGAATTAGTTATATTTAATTGTTGTTCTTTTAGATACTGTCAAGTCTAAGTCGTATGGGTTACCTGTAATACCTCCATGCCATGGTGGGAAGTTACTTCTATACACAACATAGAAAAGAAATTGATTCATTGGCCAGAACATTAAAAAACTGGTAAGGTATATAACACATTCGTTCGCAAATGTATAATGAATGTATTTGTATGATCTGTCTTAAATTTACTTTGACCAGTTTAACACCATTTTCTGAAAGGCTCAAAGATACTGAATTCTGAGTCTAACATGTTCTATGAAATAGTTTAACCAATAAATATGGTCACTGTAAATAATACATACATAACAATAACAACAACAACCTAGGACTTGTTATTGTTAGATTTATCCTTGAGAACTAAAAATATTTCCTAGTGTTCTAGGCCGCGGTGTTTTTGCGATTTTTCTATAAACAACTGAATTTTTGAATACGGTGTGATAAACTTGCTTGCATCAGTAATAACACCCACATCAAATATGTAACGTAAATCTATTAAATATTAGTGTTAATAGTTATTAGTGCAGAGTTTTTGTAAAAACATACCTATAGTAAGTCCAAGCGTAAAAATTAGCTAACCGTGGATTTTCAGTAGGCAGCGAACTTTTTTTTGTGGGTTTCACAGGGGGATGTAACAGTGAATTTTCGGGAGTGGGGGTATTTTCATTCCGCTGCCATCTTGAAAATAAGGCTGCAGTAGTTTTTCTGATTTATCTCTGTAATCGTAAGCATGACAAAAATTTTGAAAGGCGCATTTTTTGTAGATAATACACTTATCTACAACTTTTGATAACAACTTTTCGGCGTAACATTAACAATAAAAAAGTTTCGATAATTTTTTTACAGAGCATTTCCTAATAAACAATTTAACCTGTTTATTTTTTTATACGGTTTGCTTTTATTGATTTGTCAGCGTTGCCAAGGCAGGTAAGATTTATGTATCGTATCGTGTGCTTTAGTGTAATTATTTGAAAAACGTGAATCAAATATTCTAGAATTATCATGGATGTAGACTGAGAATTTTATATATTTTTCCAATAAAATTATAAATTTGGAGAAGCTATGTAAAAGAATAAAAATTTACAACATTCTAGAAAAAAATTTTAGAAATAAAATGTATTTGTAAAATTTACGTCCACATTCTACAAGGAGATCTACTACGCTTTATTACAAGTGTAGGTGAAGATACACAATGATTAATGATTAAATTTATATTCTATTTAAGTAGGTGCTCATATTGTTACTTGTATGTATCGGTTTTTGTCAATCTGTTGGGAAACCACGGCGATACACGTCGCCAAACTTCCCGGATATTTACTTATCTCAACAAAGCCAAATTCACTTCCGTATATAAATACATTTACAAACATTAAAAATAAAAGTTTTCTGCATTTATTGTGACCAGTTTTCTGATATTCTAAAAGAGACTTTATTGTGGTTAGTTTTTTAATAGTTTTCAATTTGTTTGCTAAGCAGGTAGTAGTTTTGAAGCAATTATGATGTGACAGTAACAGTTTCTTTATAGTCCCCTCAGATGCAACCATTCTTAAGCGACTAAAATTTGGACACATGCAACAAGAATTCTTTTAACGTTGTAGAGTGTTAGAACAAATTTTACCGTTTTGGACATCGGTTGTTCCTTGACCACACGATTTGTTTCGTTATTATGATTTTTTTACGACCTCGACATAGTGGTATGAAATATTTTGATTACAGTTGTATCGATTATTTGGAATGACTCATCTATAAATCGTTATTTACTGGATATTCCATGTATGGATATCGATTTAATTCATATTTAAATTCATTAATTGTCGCTGCCATTAGTTTTCCTGTAATTATCATTGCATGTATCCAATTAGATACATTAAAACCGTAATTTCTACCTTAACACTTTAAATTAGCTTAAGGATGTGTCGTTAAAAAAAACAAACATCGTACAACAACAAAATCTATTAACAACTGTAACCATTTTTGTTAACATTATCCTCACCATAAAGTATAAACCCTCATGTATATAATTTTTCTAAAGAGATACCAAAAATAGAGTAATTTATTTAAAACGTAAACGTTGTATTAACATAACGTACCTATGCGTTTGTCGTGTATGTGTCTAATATCTAACGCATCTATGAATACTGAATGAAAAAGAATGTATAGCAGGAATGTAGAATTTAAGTGTTATTTTTTTATATAAAAGTGTAAAATTTTGTTTTTCTATATTTGTATCAATGATTGACATTACTAAGTTGCCACTATCACAGAAGAATTATAAAACAACTGTTTCAGAGGTTTCTAACCTCTGTAGTAACATTTTGTGTGAAAATACGTCTTCAGTCTTCTTCGTACCATATTTTAAATCTGTCTACAGCATTTAACCATATCTTAAAATCCGTTGAATATTTTTGTCTGACATCAAAATTATTTGTTGGTTTAAACGACTTTTCTATTTGATTGAGCGTTTTCAGTTCACCGTAGTCTTTCCAGATACCTGCATAGAAGCAAATTATTAGACAATTGACCACACTGTTTATTTATTAAAACATACCTGATGACAATCCGGCTAAAAATCCAACTCCTAGGGCTGTCATCTCTGAGAATTGTAATCTTTCCACAACCGCTCCTGTTAAATCTGCCAGCATCTGACAAACGAAGTCACATTTGGACACGCCTCCATCAACACTGCGCAAGTAATAATTAAAGACAAGGGACGAATTTTGACAAAAATCACTTACACAAGTTTATCGTATTCTTTGTTTCTTTCGTTTTTTAAAGTTTGAAAGGCAAGAACTATTCGATAAATTATTCCCTCTAACACTGATCGAACCATGTGATTGGGGGTTGTAGTTGGTTTGATGCCCAGAAAACCCGAACTGGCTTTTTCGTCATTAATTGGAGGCTGAATTTTAATTAAAATAATTGTAATTTTCATTGTTATGGTTGCTTACACCTAATCCACTGAAAGCGGGTATAAAATAAACTCCGTCGCTGTCATCTATACTGGTAACCATATCGCCAATCTCGGAAGGATTGTTAATTAAGCCTTCAAAATATTGGAACTAATATCTGATCACCTACATTAATTAGTGGATTACCTATATTCAAGAGCCACTGAATTAAAGAACCACAGTCATTGCAGGGTACCTCTCCTATGCATGTCGACCTACCCTTAAGTTTCCATCCAACTAACGGATAGATCCCTGTAACACTTGTATGGATTTTTGTTGATGTATTAACGTCCAAGAAGGCGCCAGTCCCTAAAGTAATTTTAACGTCATCGGTGGCAAAGCAACAAGATGCAAACATCGATGATGACTGGTCGGCCATCTAAAACAGAAATTCAAATTTTGTTGCAATTAATTGTTGCATTACATACCACACACCGTATGGGTATTGAAACCCCAAAAATATCTTCAGCCGTGTTCCCAAAATCAAAATCATTTTCTACTACTTGAGGGAGAATTTGTTCAGGTATTCCGAGAAGAGTTGCCCAGGAACCCCACTCAGAAACGAAGGGATCGTAAAACCCAGTCGCAGCTGCATTGCTAATATCAGTCACATGTAGGTTTCCTTTAGAAAATTTGTACAATAACCATGTATCAATAGTTCCAAACATAACAGTTTTTTGACTAACAGCTGCTTTTAATTCTGGAATGTTTTGGAGAACCCATAGTAGTCTGCCGGTTACCTACTAATGGTTTTAGTACCTACTTGTAAGTGAAAGATATTTGGTTACGTACATGATTTGACGAAATTTTTAGTCGACTTCCAGTTAAAAATCTGCTGCTTCTGGTTACAAAATATATACCGTAAGCTCCCACTCGGAGTGCCTAGATATTTAACATTAAATATTGAAAGTGTTGCTTACTTACAATAATACTTTTATATATAGAGACGAATTTAGTTGTTTACATAGTTTTTTTGCCCTTATGTCTTTCCATGTGATGAAATTATGGAACGGTTTTCCGGAATCTCGACACCACGTTAAAAATGTTGATCTTTGAGTAGCTATTCCAAGGCATTTGATGTTTGTTATATTTAGTTTGGCGTCTAAAAAATAAAATAGTATATCTGTTAGTTTAGGGCTGTTTTAACCAAGATGGAGTATCATTTTACTGATGGAAAAAAAATTGTATTGCTTTGAAAATAATGAAAAAAGAAATATATATTAACGGAACAAATTTTAGAAGTAGATTCCTTCAGTATGTCTTGTACACATCCAAAATATAGATGTGCGGCTAATAGCTGCTAACCTGTGGAAAATAGCCGTTCAAAGTGGCACGGATTAGACTTCTTAAAAGTTTTAAACACCAAAAAAAAACTCAGTTACGCAACAGTAATGAAACATTTTCGTAGTTTTATATCTTTGAGTTTTTGTACTGTATTGTGATTATAGGTTAATCATTGTTTATATACTGTCCCATTCTGACATTATAATGAAGTGTGTATTTTGTGTAAATATATTTCTGAAATATAAATATAGTATTTACCAGAAACGGCTGCATTAATCACATTCAGAATTTGATCCCACAGATGATTTGGGCTGATTTCAACAAAGCCTGGTTTAGGGTATATTAGTTTCACCTGTAAATTGGTTAAAAAAACTTTTGGAACATTTGCTATTCATCGGTACTTACAGTGGAACTAGCAGATCCAGCAATTTGACCCAAACGATTTAAAATAATGCATCGTACTGTGGTAGTCCCAATGTCTAACGAAGCTACGTAAGAATCCGGAGACTCCATAGCTCAATACCTTAAGAAATAAAAAGAAAATAGAAAGTATACTAAATGTGGAGCAGGTCTGCCTAGACTTGCAAAGGTAAAAATGTGCCTTTAAAAAGTAATCAGAATGAATGTTTTCGAAGTTGTTGTAATTAATGTATATACGTCATAGGCGTGGTTGACAACAACAATAGCAACTCAACTACGAACTTCGTTCATGATTGTAGTATGTACCTACTATAATTGTTATCAAGAATCTCATTTGCGCTATCTGGCAGTGTGACAAATGTCTTTTTTATTTTATATTAAATCATGACATTGCAAAAATCATTAAGTTTCTATCAATTTTTACAGCGAATCAAAATAGTTTGAAAATCGGCAGCATCTGTCAAGTGTTAACGTAGAGCTTATTTGTGTAAGTACAGTGGTTGGAAGTAATTCAATTACAAGTAATTCATTACTGTAATTCAATTCCTTTTTAAGTAATGAGTATTTGCAACGAATTACATTTTTGAGTAATTCAGTCACTTTACAATTACTTTTTGCAATTATTTTTAACATAAATACTCAAAAATATTGTTTTGTTTTCTCTACGAATGGTTTATCGGACCTGCTGGGATTATTGTACCTGGTTCGTCCCCACAAAGAGTAGGTAGTTAAAATGTAAAACCACTTTAGCACAGAATTTGTTAAAGAACCAGGTAACCATAACATAACATAAGTTCTGCATCATTTTAAGGGTGAGCTAAAGCATATTCCAGCATAGGGAAAGACATATAAACTTCTGCCCAAGTTTTTGCCAAAAGTATACGCCCGATTGTAATAAACTTCAGACCGTTGAAATGAGCGTAAAAACCGTATCCAGACTGCTTTTCCGTTTTTTAAATTTTGTTATCAAAAATAAACTACAACTCGTTAAAATTATGATGGGTATGAGACTATCTGGTTTTCGCTATTTATGGATCAGTTTTAAATTTTTAAAAAAGTACGTTAGTAGAAATTGTATTAAAAAATCCATTGCGCTTTACAGAAATAAAATATCTCAATAAAGAATTGAGTAAACAGGAGCAGAAAATTTAATATTTGTGGTCAAACAAACTTTAGCCATTTTTCATAAAACCCATAAAATTTAATTGACGGCATTTTAATAAGGTAAGTTGGAAATATTTTGGTATTCAAGTAAGAAGTGTGTTAATCAAATTTTAGATTTTAACGTATTTGGTGGAAACGAGCTATAGTAATTTCAAGTTGCATCCACCCACAATTCAAACTGGATTGGATTCCCCCTGAAAAAAAAAACAAGAGGCTTACAACTGGGTAATGGATGAGATAAAGACTCATAGAAATGCAGTTAAGTTGGAAAATTATTCCCTCAGATGAAGATTTGATAAAAACACATTTTGACAATTGTTTAAAGAATAAAAGGAGACAATTAGATCTACTGAATCAAAGTGCTCTATGTTTTAGAGACTTGTTTCTTATAAAATATAACACAACAATTCCATTTAGCGCCGCAGTGGAATGGATGTTTAGTGTTGGCGCGGATGTTTTAAAGACAAACGTCATGCCTTAGCTGACGACAATTTTGAATGTCAATTATTATTGAATTTAAATCATGAATATAGTCCTCTTGCGTGAAGTATTTGTTTTATTTTATTTACTGATGTGAATATATAACAAATGCGTTAGTAAAATAAATCACTCACTGCCTTTTTCATTCTAACACGTTTTTCTTGACCCTTTGGACCCATACAACAAATATCTAAAATTGTCTTCATCAAATTTTGTGTGCAAAAAGTAATTGTTAAAGTAATTCATTACTTTTTACAAGTGATGAGTAATTGTAATGAATTCCTTAAAAAAAAACGTAATTTGTAATTGTAATGAGTTACCATTGTTACTGAATAATGAGTAATTGTAATGCATTGGTTCTTAAAAGTAATTGTTCCAATCACTGTTTGTGTAACCATAATTAAAAAGCTAGATATTATATTCAATACTTCGTCGCCTCATCACCTTGGTTAATTATGTCTTGATGTATTATTTGCACCATATGACTCCAAAAATTTGGAACATTTTTAGAATTCAAAAAATATATAACTTGGAAATAACCAAGGAAACACATTTTCATTTAAGTATAAGTGTAGTTAGTTAATTGTACTTAGATCTTTGGAATTTAGTTCAAGTAGCATTTAAAAAACTTATGAGAAAATTACACGTTTCAAGTGTACAGACAGAAAACACTCAGCTACATCGCAACTAATTAAAAACAATTAACACACATAATTTTAAATTAGATTTACCCATTACATATATAAATTACCTGGATCTTGTTTTCAAATGTATCTTAGTTTCTTCACTGTTAAAATAACACACGCTAGACAGCACTTCTTATGCATTTCACTACTAATGCGTTTCACTAAGCCAACGAAACTATGTTGTTGACCTCCAGAGCTTGGTGAATGACAAGCATTTGTTCACATCACAACATGAATATCGTTGACTTCACGATTCAATTGAGTATTGTTTATCACAATAGCGTCTTACCGTGTTCATGATAACTGAGTTGGATATCAGTGTTTACAATTACTGCAATACTCTCTGAGTATTTTGCGCATGTCTGATTTAGCAATCTCCTTAATGATTTCATCTACAGTTGAAACTAGTGTAATCCGAATACATGTCAAGTATCAAAAATTCCAAGTACTTACATATTACTTAGGTGTGATGTAATTTACATTGATAAAATCAAATAAAATAAAATTTATTATTTCAAGTATGTTAAAACTGAAGAAATATAATATCCCAGTTTAACTTTAAATATTTTTCAAATAAGCTATTTATTTACTCGTTTATAACTATATTTTTTACAGTTATCTTACTTTAACATGGGACAATTGTTAAAATCTGTTCAGTGTCTAAACCAACCACAAATATGCAATTGCAATTATTATAAATTTCACAAACACATTTGAAAATATGCGACATACCTAGTTGTTATGTATGTTAATAGTCACGCTGAAAACAATTTTTTAAGTTAAGAGTCAGTCTTATAAATTCTAAGCCAAATTGCAAATTGTTTGATATTTTTTCCAAAAATTAGGTGTCTCTAGGACAAAAAAAGGGCGGATTAATAACAACAACAACAACTATCGAAGTATGTTGATAAAAGTTTGAAGCGACGCCATCAAATTGTTGGTAGGGATGAACAGAAAAATATTAGTTAGCTTTTTACCATGTATGCGATATTCCTAAAATACACCTAATATTTCATGACAATCGGTATAGCACTTTCGGAAATTGTGTACAGTTGCGGCTTTCCAAAAGTACACGATAATTTTCTCTATTGTAAATGTATGTCAAATTTGACATTTTCTTTATTCAAAAATGTTACGCCACTGGTAATAGGCAAATTTACTTTAACTTAAAAATTAAAAAAATTCCATGACAACGAAAAATCGTGGACTTTTGGGGGCCGCAACTGTACGTAATAAAATCTTCAAACGGAAGACTGACATTTTCGTATTGCACAAGCCGTAAAATATAGAGAAAATATGAAAATGGCTATTTGTCAAAGTCCATTCAGCATAATAGTTGAAAAGCGATTTTCTTTGAGCAGGAACGCCCCAGAAAGGGACACTTTTACTTTGAAACCCGATAACTACGAACTAACAAATTAATTTATCACCACATTTATTATTTAAATTTGCGTTAAGTCCTCATTCATTAACATAACAAATTTTTCGTTGTAGGATGTTTTAACGACTACGATAAAATTAAAATATTAATAATTGTGAATGTTTGCATTTTTCGTAACATCTCTAGAAACTTGATGAAGTTTGGTAAAATTTTTGATTTTACACATAATTAACGACTCATGTACACAGTAATTACATCCATAGACCGAATGATGAGATAACAGAAAACACTTGAACAATAAACTTTCAAAAGTTTTCCAAATGACTTTCTAGGTGAACAGATACGTGGCTGTCTATAAAAGCAACGTGCACAAAGCATCTAGTAGTTACCTGTCTGTGGTGTAGACAACCAGCAATACTGTCAGTATTCCGAGCATTCCCAAAAATCCTGAAAATTTTCTCCCATCTGAAGGTTTAAAATAGCGTCGCGGCGTCAGGGTCAGGATTTTGCGGCGTCGGGCCCAGCGAGCTATAACCTAGTCCGAGCCTGGCAATCAGCCATGTGCGAGCGTCGCTAATTTCCTATCTTTGGTCCAACCACTTAAGCCTTTTATCTCAGTGTTTCGTAGTGAAAGTGTGAACAATCTGCACCGGCCTCAAGATGGATCCGGAGGCTTTCCTCGACATCGCCAACCAGGTGGTCAAGCTCAAGATGTTTCCCTATTTCGACATTGCGCACTGCACCTTGTGCGCCCTGTCCGTAAGGGAAGACCTGGGAAGCGGTAGGTGAACGAATGCACACAATAACGTACGACTAGAGACAACATTGGCCGTCCTACTTTTATTATGACTTGCGGTTTAGATCGGACTTGCAATTAAGAATAGTTTTCGGTGTCGTCTTATTCAGAAGCCTCTACATAGAGTGTATTTTTATGATGTAACGAGGCCGCAGCGCGGTGCGGCGCTTGCGTGATATGGGTGTTTTATCTATGGATTTCATTCAGTTTAAATAAAGCAGGAGTCGGAGTTATTTAAGGAATTGTAGGTACATTATTTTTTAATAGACGGATGTATCATGATGCACTCGTTGATGTCAAAGTTTTAAATTTGGTCAGCTGGTATTTCGTATTTTAGATCCTGTCCTCTTCACACATTCATGACGGTAAAAAAAATAGATTAAACGAAAGCATGAGTTTATAAATAAATGACCTTACGTTGTAAACTACAAGTTCATGTGTAAAACGATAAATTTTAATTGTCTAAACTGTCATAATTTTATTAAATTGGTTTTACTGCCACTTCGTAAAAAAAACTTCGAATTACTGAAGAAGTTGATAAATACGTCGGTCCTCCATAATTTATTTAGTTCTAAATATTTTATTTTAAATTACAATTTTTCTTCAATTTTCAGTTTTCCTATAAATTATATTTCTGTGTATCACGTCGTATTTTGCAATATGTTAGAATTTTGTTTTTTTTTTTTATTATCGAGAATTTTTCGAAAGATCAACACCAAAGTAGTAGATTATATTTACTGTAAAATTATCACGATGTGATATTTGTTTGTTCTTTACATAGTGTTATATAAAACACATGTCCAATCACATATGTATACATGTATTTAGACCGCATATATAACTGTCAATGATAACTTTGGTTAATACAGAAAAATAACGATAAAATTTGAGTAAATAAAAGTCTGTAGTGCTCTATATTAAAATTTCAAACCACAATTTGAGTAATTAATACAATAAAAACATATTACCTAGAATCTGCCGTTTTTAAGTAAATTACGTTTAAAAACCAAGATAAAATTTCGTATTTTGTAATAACTAAGAGAAAAATGTAGTTTTAAAACATGAAGATTTAAGAAAAATCGAAACTTCGAATCAAATTTGAATAACAATAGGTGATAATGGTAATCTTTCTCGACTATAAGTCGTATAGGATTCATGTATACTTTTTGGAAAATCTGAGGTACTTTGATCGAATTGACAATACCGCCAATTAAACGTGAACTGACGTAAAGATTATGTTTTAAAGTCTAACACATCATATGACAAAAGGGTTTTTTTTAATTTTTTTAAAGGTCATGCAACCTTAGGTTCAGATGTAAATTTACAAATGTGTGAAATCAAATTATAGAAATACATACTCTTAGTTGGTATAGCAAATATGTAAGTAAATGTTTGTCGGGCATGAAATAATTATCTAGTAATAATAATAATAATAATAATAATAGGGTGGGTCTAAAAATCATAGCTGCAGGATTTCTCATTTATAAGCATGAAAAGTTGCTTTCTGTATTAATGTTTCTATTTAATTTAAGAGTATTTTAGTTTTGTAAAATTAGTAAAATTTGAAACAGCTGTATATAATTAATAATGAATATGAGTAGTGCCAACGGCCTTGTAATATTTATTTAAATAGTCTGGTTCTACTTATGTAGTTTGGCTTATCAGACTTGTTTTTCTGTTGGATAGTACGTTTATTTTAAACGTTTGTTATCGTTATTGTTGTTTGATATAACGTTACTGGTTATTCATGTTGTGACAATAATTCCTTTAATTAATTCCAAAATTGTAATTGTCGTATGTCTGCTATTAGAACAATTAGATCTGACAATTGTAATATTTGTTGGCTCCTTTGGGGAAAGGTGGTGCTGTGTGGAATTTTCAAAATATATTTTCGTTTTTGTAGTCTTACTGAGCCACAAAAAATGGAATTTTCATAAATACGAATACAATTAAGGATACTAAACACATAAATTTATGCAATGGATCTACATACAACTCTTGCATTAGTGAAACAATATAAGTATGAAAATGATTACGAATAAACTGCATTATAGTATTGTTTCTCTCAGACAAGTTTAATAAGTAAGACCCATAATGTAGCTTAAAATTGGAGGCCAATAATATACAGTTATTGTAAAAATTGAGATTTAAGAAACTAGTCGATTTTTAGAGTGTGCTACATAGGTACGGCTTGCTTAATTCTAACGTGTTGTGAATTTTTAGGCGCTCAAACATTTTCACGTAAACACCCCTTAGCATGTTGGTTGTCGTATATGTTGGTGGTGTTTGCTGGTGGTATGGTAGCAAATGGACTCCTCGCAGAACCGATCTTAGCACCGCTCAAAAACACACCTCAGTTAGTAGTCGCCACATTAGTTTGGTAAAACATTGCAAAAGTTGTGTGTTTCACGTTTTAATTAACTCTGTGCAGGTATGTAATTTTTTACACGCCAATTGACTTGGGATACAAACTAGCCAAGTTTCTTCCAATCAAAGTAGTTTTCTCAGCGATGAAAGAAATTTATAGATGTAAAAAAGTGTACGACGGTGTAACTCATGCTGCCAAATTGTACCCAAATGGATACCTCATAATGATAATTATTGGAACCTTAAAAGGAAATGGTGCTGGATTTACCAGGTTATTAGAAAGACTTATCAGAGGCGTATGGACACCAACTGCCATGGAATTTATGCAGCCGAGTTTGTATGTCTCATTTTTTTTCTACACATTATGGTTACATTTTTAATTGAAACTAATTTCCAGCTACACGAAAGCTTCACTTGTGGCTTCCCTCATCTTTATTTTAGACAGGAAGACCGAGCTGATTTCGGCACCACACGCTTTAGTCTATTTCGGAATTGTGATCTTCTTTGTGTACTTCAAATTATCTTCCATACTTTTGGGAATACACGATCCGTTCGTTCCATTTGAAAACTTAATGTGTGCATTATTCTTTGGAGGCATTTGGGATAGTTTGGCAAAGATTTTGGGCAGGGGACAACCCAAAGAAGGAGAAGTTAAAGATGCAAAGAAAACGAATTGAACTGATTTTCTTTTAAGTTTTAAGAAAAGGATAAATTTGATTAGGTGCGGAAGATCAAATTTATCTTTTCATTGTTTGTCTGTTTTCGGTTAAGACTTACAAGATAAAATCCTTCATTGGAAAGAGATGTAGGGTTTTATGTTAACAGCAATAATTACGTATGTACCAAGATATTTTTATTTGTATTTAATAAACTATTTCTCTTCAGTTTTTGTTTTGTTTGTCGAAATAATCGTAGTAGAAATAAAGAGAAAGTCTTGTTGCAGTTATTTTTATTCAAAACTTATGTGGTAGATATTCAGTCCGTATTTAAAACCAAACAGACTCCTTGTAAAATCCAATGACTAATATGTTCGGGGGTTCCTAGGTCGGCCTCGAAAACGAGGCCCACACCCATGGCGTTTCGTCGCAACGAGGTCGTGTACACTGGTGTCCTTAAAGTATTTTGCAGTTTCAATCGGAAAGCCTCGATAGGAATAACGTTCATAACGGGCAGCGGCTCTACTAGAATTTTCGGTGTAGACCTTCTTAAACGTCTGTTTTCTGTATCCCAAGCAGCTCCTTCCAAGTATAAACCATGAATCATGCAATTCCCCTACAAACTATTGTAAAATCTTTTTAGAAAAAAATTAAAGCTCACTTACTGGAGGTGGTCGAAGAGTGACATCATTCGGATCAACATATTCGCTGACGTTGGTATACAAAGTTGATCTATCCAACGGCCAGTTATTCAGTCGACAAGCAATTTGTACCAGTGCAGCTAGATATGTTTCTGGAATGTGGATCCCTGAGATCCACAATACTGCTGGTTCTCCCGTATTTGACTAAAAAGAAGAGTGAATGTGGATTAAGCAAAAACATTTGAGACCTACCCAGCTGAAGAACTGTTGTTGTCGTTTTTCAAAATGTTCGATCCAACCTCCTAAACTCTTACAAGTTGCTGGACTTTGTTTCCTCCAAGCACTTGGTAGTTGACCGTTATATAGAGAATATGCAACGTTATCCAGAACTGCGTCCATGCCGATATCGCCTGCTAGTGCTTTCAAAAGTTGGGTTAAAGTACGCCGCATTACTGCTATCAAAATGTTGAATCGTTCTAGTTCTTGCAAAAGTACGACTACAGTCGGAGACATAACTCTTTGAAAGGATCGTCTAATTTTCCACACTTCGTATTCCTCGGGTATCTTTTGTAGTATGTCGTTGGTAACGTTTTCGATAAATTCTTCCCGACTTATTCCCTCACCACTAGTAGCTGCGGAAAAAATATTGTGATTAAAATCGATATTTCTAACGTTTTGTACCTGTTTGTGGTTGTAATTCGATCAGTAGTCGCCACATTTCTTTTGTAGCTTGTGTATAATAGCCAATTTCTGCATTCGGATGTAAACCGAAAACGTCTGGACTGTTTGTTAACGGAAGTTCATCGATTACAGCTGAAGATAGAACTTAGTTAGTGTTGTTCGGGAAGGAAAGAACTTACCAATGTAGTCGTCCTTTACACCATCCGGTGGTACTACATAATCGACGGTGTTATCGTGATAAAAATGAAAAGGTTGAAACGTGTCAAAAAGAAAGTCGCCCATGTATTCATCCATATATGTGGCAACAATACGTCTATCAAAATCATCAATAACTCGCCCTCCATACATCACTTCTCCAATTAAATACTTGAGACTGTTCCAAGGCATTTTCGTATCCTTAGCTTCCAAAGCTTTCGTTAAATATGTGTCCAAAATTTGCACGCAAACTTGGAAATCTGACTCATTAAAGTCGTAGCAAATATTCCATCCAATTTTATCATATTTTCGACGTTCTTGCACAACTGCGTGGAAGAAAGCAAGAACATAAATTAACGACTTGTATGCAGGGTGAGCACAAGCTTCCAACGTTTGTTCTCTGATTTTAAAATACGTGTTCCTCAGATTCAGCTTAAGTCCGTTAGGTGGTTCCGTAACCACTTTCAGAGAGCTTTGAAGAATACCAATGGGAAAGTTGTTGACAGGATCTGTGGTCAGCCACAGTCTAAAATCGGGATGGGGTTTCGAAACTTTTTCCAACTGTTTTTCCAGTTGTCGAATGAAAGCTAGCAACAAGTGACAGTTCTGAAACATCAACCACTGTCCTCTTGCAACGGCGGTCTCTAAAAGTGCTAAAGCAGCAGCTTCCTGGCCTTGACCAAGTGACAGATATCTGAACTTTCCTCCACCAAAACCACTTCTGTCGGCTAATTTCATCAACTCAGCTGTTGGATCGGAACCGGGACTTAAAACGAATATCACAGGTGTCAGTGGACTACTTTGTTCGTAGATGCCGTCGAAACTGATAACTGGAGGCATTATGTATTCCTCTCCTATAACTTCTGTGATGTAATCACCCACAGCTCTATACACGCGATCAACCCGGAAACATCGTAGTAACATCAGTATTTCGAACGGTTTCAATTTTTGCTTGTACCCACACGGGAAATCCGTAGATTCTGGAGCGTCCAAATCGTACCACCGTTGCCATTCGTCTAAACGTCTCTTTACCTCATCAGGAAGTTCATTAAAGGCATCGGGAAAGTCTGTGCTTAATTTCATTAAATCTTCCCAACCGCTAGGAGATATAAACTTTGTTGGATTTTCTCGAGGAGTTTTCTCCAATGTCACAGAGCCTTTAATGAAAAACTCCAGTTCTTGTTGAGAAATATGTTGTGCATTTTGTTCGAGTTTGGTGGTCATTTGGAACGAAAATAGCAGCTTATGGATTTCAAAGATTCCGGTGCACCCATAATCGTAAACATTTTTTGTTAAAGTGTTTATAATATTGCTTAATCGTTTTACAAGAATCGTATGAGGTAGTGCTTTTCGAAGAGAATAAGCAAATACTTCTAAATATGAAGCCAATGAATACTGATACATAGCGTTCACTCCAGCCATATCCGACAAAACGAAAAACAAAATGGCACCTCGTTGAGCTACGGAGCGATAACCATCCCTGAGTTTATTGATATCCTGGGCAGTTTCTGCAGCTAATATCAACTTATCAGACACTTCTTTAGCTTTAGATTTAGTGTTTTCCAAAGTTTCCACTAATTCAACATTATCCAACATGTTCCCTGTTGTAGTTGACAATTCCCTCAACAAAGAATCTTCAAGATTTTGTAACAAATTCTTATTTTCGCTAGTTTCTTTAATTAAACTTTCTCTTTGTTCTTCTAAATCGGGTCTTTCATTTCTTACGACGACGCTCAATAATTGGTCTTCTAAACCAGATAGCGTTACTGTGTAGTTAATAACAACCGCATTGGCATATACTGCTGGATTAAAAACCGGATTAGAAAATTTTGTTGTCATATACATCCTAAAGTTCGGATCGTAGTCGACTTCTTTATCTCCTAACATTACAAAAACCCTTCCCGAAACGGTTTTTATGTTTTTCTCTATAACGTTAGTCGCAACTGGATCTATATAGTCATCAACATCTTGAAATAATATCGCAGAACCGTACTTGATAGCCATGTCCAAAAACTTAAGAAAGTCGGAATCATTAAAATTCAAAATTTTCAAGTTATTCTTTTCTTCTTTTCGTTTAATCCAATTGAGTGCTTGTTGCTGAGGATCGATGCAAAGTGGAAACCTAGATGCTTTCAAAGTCAGTATACCATTCTGAACAGATAGTTCATCAGGTGGAAGACCTTCAGAATTCCACGTACTAATCTCCACGTCACTAGTAAGATTTCCTTCAATTCGATAGGGTTGTGTTAAGGGTATTTGTCTTTCCAAAATATCACTTTGCCAGTCCTCGTAAATCATCTGTCTTCTAAATTCGAAAGTAAACGGACCTGCGTAACTTAAGAAAGCAGCAGATAACAAACAATTTCCAACTAGTCTATCTTTTTCCATGTGTAAATTTTCTAGATCTTTAGTCCATCGGTCCCTTTCCGAGCTCAAACCAGTGATGAGTTTGTCAGCGGCAATAAGTCGTCTCATCATTATATCGGTCTCTTCTTGAAGTTCTTGCCGTCTTTTCATGGCTTTAGCATACCTTTGATTTAATTCAGCTAAAGCTGCTTCCAACTTCGCTATTTCATTGTACAGTTTTTCTAGACTTTTCTTTGCTGCGTCGTAATCTCTTTGCAGTTGTTCTACTCTCTCTTTCTTGGGTTTTACTTCGCGATAAACAGTACAATATCCCAACACAGCTTGCACGAACTTTAGAAGACCATAACCTGCTTTGCTGATGGACGCCATATCGTCTAATTTAGAGGACTTCTTCATGTGCGCTTTAACAGCTCGTTGTTGTGCTTGAGTGATAAGATCACAATTCATTTCTTGCAGAGTTCTCAAGAAATTCGTGTCGGCCATCATTCCTTTCGCTGTTTTCCACGAGATTTCTTTGTACCCTCTGATTATAGCGACACATTCACATACGGTTTGCACGGCTTCTGGCGGCGTAGCAAAGGATCGAATTTCAGTAATGTCAGCTTTATCCAAATCTGATAATGCTAATCTGGCAGCTTCTAGCGCAGGTAAAGCTGCAGCTAACGCCTCTTCAGCATCAGCTTGCTCCAAACTAATAATTCTAGCTTGTTCTTCAATTTCACTACTTTTTAAAGATGCCAAGTCTTTTTTCTCCGTTGCCTTTCTCGTTCCTTCGTCGATTTCAGCCAACATCTCTTCGCACTGTCGTGTTGCTTCTTCTACTCGAATTTTTTGTTTCGCTAGTTTTTTGTTTAATACGGCGAGCTCGGCACTTGCTTCATTAATTTTTGTCATTCCACTTTGAAGTCGATTGCATTGACTGTCAATGTACGCATTTTTTTCGTCCAAGAGTTTTAAGTATATTTGCATTAAGTCCAAATAATGTTTAGGTGTGACGTAATTTTTTCTTCTCAGTGTCAGGAGGTAATCTCTTACGTAATCTGACATACTTTTGTGGACATGCACAACGTGTTCTATTATGCTGTCGCGATATACTTCGGGAATTTTTGGATTCTCTTTGAGGAAAACTTGTGCTACTGCAAATAATGCCTGGGTTGGCCAGTTGAAAATCCAGTCGATGGTTGTGTTGTTAACCAAACCAGGAAAACTTCTACATCTTTTACTTAAGATGTCACCAGAAGGAGACATCGCAAGTACTAAATGCAAATTATCAGCACATCGATGAAGAAAATACTGCCAAACCGAATCTTTCGCCACTCCATAACCTGCATTTACAGCAGCAGTTCTTAGCTGCGAAATAATTTGTTCTTTGTCGTCATCAGTAAATAACGCTGGCACTATACCAATCATCAAAATGTTATTAATGAATTCTAAAAAGCCTTCCTCTACGATTTGAGCCGCAGTAAAATAAAAAACGGTAGGTTTTCCAGAAACTCCTAATTGAGTATATAACGTCTTTAAATCATCTTTGAACGTGGTTTCATTGTACCCTTTGCAAAGGACGATTCGAAAAACTTCGCAGTTCGCCGTGAAAGCCGCAATTCTGGTCAGACTAGTTTTGCCACTTCCTCCTACTCCCACCAACATCACATGCCCCCTTTCTAACCTTATTCCTCTATGGATACGAGTTAAATGTTCCAAAGCATCATCAAAAAGCACGATATTCATTTTATCGTTACGTTCATTATACACTTCCATAATTTCCTGGAAAAGGAAATAAATCGCTTCGTAATCTAAAAGATCTTCGTAATATCTAATTTCGTCTTCGTTAACCGCGTTACGATAATCTCCGAACAGTAAAGGATCTCTCATTGCATATTCTGTAACGTCGACGCGTTCTTCTGGTTCTTCAGATGGTGCTTCTTGCACTTGTTCGGCTGGATCTTGAAATTCAAATGTTGACAACTCTTCAATATTTTCTGGAATTACTACTTCTTCTTTGACTATAGCAGGATAGTACTTTTCTATCTGCGATTTAATTTGATCGGTCATAAAATTTTGATCATCTGTATTAATAAGTCGATCACAGATGACTCGTGTAAATTCGTTCCTCCAAACTCTAACAATCTGATGAACAGCAAAAAAGAACTTCGGTGTAGTTTTACACATTCCAGCTACGATCCTTGATAAATCCCTCATATTAAAAATGTAGTGAAATTTACTTGGAGTTGGAGGCAGTTGTACAATAATTACGTTGTAGAGATTCAGCGTCATTGTGATTAAAGTGCTTGCTTGGTGTGCTTCTTCAGGGAATGCTTGCAAATGTCCCTGTAGGATTGAAGTATATACATGATGTAAAGTTTCTGTCGTAGGAAAAACAAGATTAAATACGGAAAACATTGACATGAAACGAGGATCAACTTCGTTTCGACCTCCACCTGCCACACCCATTGCAGCGAAGTACGAAACATCTTTAAGAATTTTCCAGTTCAAGTCTTTTCCTCTATCAAAAAATCCTTTTCTTTCAAAGAGCAACTTTAATAGTGCAATAGGTTGTTGCGTTCCGTATTCGTCAACTTGGGGCATGTTCATATCATCTATGAAACATATCAATTTTTTTCCAAGTGGAGGACCGTAAATATCTTTAGTTCGTTTCTCTACAGATGATTCTAAATTTTTCTGTACATCCATAGATGTAGTTCTGGACGAAAAGTTAATGTTTAGCAATATGTTAATGTCTTGGTTTAAATTTCTCAGAAAGTTTTGAATAATGGCAGTCTTGGATGTACCAGTTTCACCTACCAGTACAATGGGTCTTCCCACTTTATTCATTAAAGTCAGCAGATAAGTAACCTTAGCAGTATCAACAGTTGGCACTAGAATTTCAGAAAATCTCTTCTGGAGATCATGAACATATTCAGGAACCACCCACTTCCACGCAGTCCAAACTTTTTCTTTTACATCAAAGTAATAATCATACAGCGAAGGGAAAGATGCGGGTAGATGTTTGTGATCAGCCTTTTTATCTATCGTGTCATCTTGTTTTAACATGGTGCACAGCGTCTTAATAAATTCATCAAATTCTTCACGACATTTATCAAGAAGTGCTGCTCCAACAGAATTGTAAATGCAATAAAGAAAAATCGATTCAATCAAGTCTATATCAACTTCTTCTTCAGGATCACGTGTATCTTCCACTGGTTGCGGATAAACTGCGTTAATCATGATACACAACTGCGTCATCATGTTGAGCCCACTTTGAGGAATTACGGTTTTTAATGGAGCAACTTGTTTGTTAGCCACTACACCTTCTAAAACATAAGCTAGCAAATCGGGAATGTACTTTTCGTATAAAATTTGAAATGCTTCCCGTTCTGGAGGATGATTTCTACTTTGAACCCACCGATCCCAGTATGGCTGAAAACCTAAATTTTTAGGATCAACGTAAACCATGCCAGCTCTGGAAACTGTCGCAGGTGAAGCATACTGTAAATCACCAACTTCGAAAAGTAGAGCACAAACTGGCACTTGAAGTCTGATACGCTCACCATTGGCAAGAGTCAACAACTTGTTGTCGTCCATAACGGAATTCATATTTTCGATCCATAACGCATCCACATCTCCATCAAACAAAATGTATCTTCTTTCTGGTTTATCAGTGGGTTTGTTCATTTCTCTAAAGATATTGGATAGAAGTCCGTCGGTCCAGTCTCTAGAAACTGGATCTAGAATTCCGTAAAGCTCGATAACAGAACACGCTTTGGGATTTAATGTAAAAATCTTAGTTTTCAAACCAAGAATAGTTTGCGCACGTGCTAATGCTTGAATAACGACTGTTTTACCGCCACCGGTAGGTCCTACCAACATGGTGGAATGTCGGGTCATCATCGTTTCATAAACTTGAACGACTTTATCAACTTGGTATGGCAGTACGATGTAGTTATGTGTTTTTAGAGCTTGTTCTACAGCAGCATTAAAATCAGGATAACCGACTCTAGGACAGTCCATACCAGGGAACAAATCTCTAATTAAACCTAAAAATAAAGGAACATCTTCGTACACAAATTTCGGATGATTCATGTCGCGTAAAGCTCTCATAAGCACTACAGCTTCATTTAGATCAGGAGACGCTCTTTTTAACACACCAGCCATTCGTAAAACTGCATTTAAAGCTCTCAAACCCCAGTCGTAGTGAAATTGCTTAGATAATTGTTCTCTGGCAAGTTTATATAAAACTGTCATCTTTTTGGCAAGAAGCTTGGCCTGAAGAAAACCATCCGAAAATAGAGAAATGAGGCAAATCATCTCCAAGTCGGGTACGATGCAAACCACGGGTCTAAACAATGCTTTAACGGATTCTGGTAGTTCCGTTCTTCCCGCATATCCAGGATTCATAGTTATAAAAATTCCTACTTTAGAATCTAAATTAATTTCAGCCCCTTCAAACGTGAACTTCTCAAGATGTAGCGTAAGAGCACTTCTGATCGTCTGCAGTTGTGTAGAGATCACAGACAAAACGGAAATATCAATTCGATTAAATTCATCAAAGCAACCCCAAGCACCACATTGAGCTAGACCTGCCAGTGTAGTTCCGATAGCTTTAAAATCCATTCCTTCGCCACAGTTTGTGACAATACATAACAAAGCCATAGCTTTTGCCAAATCTTTAACAGTTTCCGTTTTTCCAGTACCGGCTGGTCCAGCCGGAGCCCCTCCCATATGCATGATAAGCGCTTGAGTGACGGTTAAATAAATTCTGTCAGTTAGAGGAGTGATCACAAGACGCCCATTTAATCCCATGTATTCGTAGCCATATTCAAAGGATCCAGTACATTGGGTTACCCACAAGTTGTCCAAATGATTAACCCAATAGAACCTCAGTTGACTCTCCCACTCGAATTCTCTAATGTCCGTAACACTGTTGGTTACAAAGCTTTCGATAATATCACGTGCATGTACTTCGATTATAGCTATCGTTCTAAATTTATTTCTGTCATTGGAGGAAAGATCTGCCCTTACTGTTATCACTATTTCGTCTAATTGACTATTTAACGTCTGAAGATACTCTTTCATGGCTCTCTTGTTACCTTTCGTGATTTTGACGAAAACATTTTCAACTTCTGCTGTCCACCAAACCTGACTACCAGCAAGACATATCATACCTTGATATTCCAGCATCCATTCAGCTCGTGGCCTTCTAATTTTGCCATAGTAGAAAATAGCACTTTTTGTAATAAATCGATTTGATCGACGCATCTCGTTCAATACATCATTCATCCAGTCCTCTACTTTCCCAACAACGTTTACAACTTTGCGATATTCCATTACTTCCCCTTCCGAAGATATCATAGCACTAACAATCATTCTGTCATTATTGTCTAAATGCATTCGTAGAGATTTGATATTGTCAAACATTTTAATCATATGTTCTTGCACCACCTCTGGGTTGCTGCTTCCAAGAATGGATAAGAGTTCTTCGGTAGAAATAAAATAAAACCTTGGAAAACGTCTCCGTTTCGAATCTAGGTAATCGTTTAGAGATTTTTGACATTTGTCTAAACCCTCACTAAGACCTTGGAATTCTTCTAGGCGTCCAGCTGAATTACAACTATCCATTACATTCGGTCGTTTTGCCGTTTCTATCATGATCCTTCTAAATGATTTGTCGATGTCATCAAATTTTTTCGCTTCTTCTGGGAGTTGTGCTCTAATGTCACCACCGATAAAGATTCCTTCCAGGTATAACCATTTTCTTTGAACTGACAACCATTCGTCGATTACTTCTCCAATGTTGGCTAAACTTTTTTCCAGCTTTTGAACTTGTACTAGAAACGGTCCTACAAACTGAGATCCGGCCATACTTTGTAAATTCATTGAATTATCTTCCAGTACTTGCATAATTTCTTCAGTAGAACCAACCACAAAGCCACGGTCTTCATTCCCTTTCATATGTTTGTGTAATATAAAATTCATAGTAGTCCAAATTTCCGCTATTTGTTTGACTCCTTTTTCTATAGCCAGTTCTTTAATGGCGTGATTGATTATTTCTTCAGCAATGTCTTGATAACGATGAAGTTCCATTGCAAACATGTTGTCTAATGTGAATCTCTCTGGAGACATATCAAACTCAATACCAGTTTTCTGCATCAATTCCTGCCAGTGTCTTTCTCTCATAGCTTCATTTTTCAGTGCAACCATTAAAGGAATGACATTTTTAAATTGCTTCATTTTCAAATCCATGGTCTGTCCAACAGGAAGAGCTCTAACTGCTTTTGGAATTTTTCTGTAGTCCCGGATAAAACCATCTATACCATCACTCAAGGCCTGAGGATCTAGATTGGCCCATAGAGTGCGCCCCCAAACTTCTCTAGCATGTTTCTGAGTTCTATAAAATTTGTAAATAATCGTCATAGCGTCAAAGTCGTCTTTCACTCTTAAGTATTCAGAATAATCTGCTAGAGGGATGTCGAACAGCATTTCCGCGTTAACCAAATCAATTCGACGCGCTTCTAACTCGGCAAATTCCTTACCGTATTCTTCCATCAAAAGAACACCTTTATCTAAGTCTTCACCAACTGCACCAGGTCCATATTCTTCAAATCGTGCAACAAATTCTGCTAGAATTTGACAAAAGTCATCAATTTCTATAAGAGTCAATTGAGCAAATCTGTCTTTGGTCAGTTCTAACTTTTGTTCTCTATACAGTGCCGAAAAATGAAGCGATTTCCAGTCTTTTTCGAGTTGGTAGGCCAGTTCTTCATGTGCTGGATCAAAATCTATATCGTGTTGCTCCAAGATGGCGTAAATATCTTGACAATATAGATAATCCAATTCCATGTCGACGTTGTTCTTTAGTATACTTGCAATTGCGTTCATCACAACTTTAAACTTTTCTAAGCCTCTAATATTTTGGTTGACCATTGATCGAAGGTCGTCCATCGTACTTTTCATTTCATCCATCTTGGTTTTAGTGTTCTGATCGAGAATTGCACCAAGTGTGTCTTTCCATTCTACAGTATGGTCTATTATGGTCTCCAAGAGAGGTTTCAGATTTAAACGAATGCACATAACATCAACATGTTTCTCATGATTTTCCATGTCCCTTATAATGTCGGCATAGAACATGAACTTTTCATCAAACTTCGCACGTTGGCTGTTTTTTTCTACAAATTTTTCACAGGTGTATTCCTTATCATAGCACCATATGTTACGATAACGTCTCCACTTCTGTAGGTGTCTGTGAACTTCTAGTATCGTCTTTTGGGCAATATCTTGAAGCTTTTGAAGTATATCAGCAACGTCCGGGACACGTAGAACATCGTCATAAAACGAGTAGAGGTAATCTTCTCCACTAGGAAGTTTCTGTGGTTGAGATAAAAGACACATGCCGTTCATCCACCGTGGAAATCTTCTAAGCTTATCGAGGAAATCTCTAACACTTTTTACCATAATGTTATAAATTTCTGCCGAAGTCGGTTTTAGAAATAGCTCAGGACTTACAATAACCGCGTCAACTTCAAATATCGGTTTCTTTAACTGCATCTTCGACATGAAAGTGTCGAAATTTCGAAGAGTAAAGCTAATAAAGGCCTTATAGATCTCCACTTCCCAAAATGTGTAACTACTGGCCATGTACGATGATTGTCCTGTATTCGTACCCAGCACTAAAGTTTCAATTTTTATTAAAATAGGACCCAGACTTTCGTATATCTTTATCATCTGACAAACTTGTTTTACTCGTGTTTCTGCCATTTGTAAAAAGAATTGTTTGCACGGTAATCTTTCTGGTTCTTCATCAACGGTCTGATAGTCGAAAAGATTGAAAGAAGAGAGTAATTTGATCTTCAACTTGAGTTCATTTTCAATGTGTACCACCTGGTTGTACAAGTTTCGCAAATAATAAATTTGTTTACTGCAGTTCTCTGCATATTCTACAATGCCTAAAGAAGTCCAGTTAATTCGGGTTAACCCTTGCTGAATGTACAACTCGACTTGTCTTATATTGTTTCTTAGCATATTCATCTGTTTAAGAAAAAAAATTATGATTTTATCTGCTCAATTTTAGTAAAATTTAAGTACCTGAGGAACGCTTAGTTTCTTCATGATAGCATTATAAAGTTCCAGCATATTTTTAACGGCAAAAACGTCTTTTTGCAGGCGTTCCTTTCTAGACGCAATCATTTTCACCTTGTCCGGGAGTTCGTACTTTAGCGAATCTAACAGTTCCGCACCACGTATGCAGCTGAACAAATCGTCGTTGAAATTAAGAGCAAATTCTATACTCTGTTCAACCACTATCTTGTCGCCCATGACTTCGTGCCAAGTGAGACTTCGTTCAGAACGAATTTTGTCCATGACTTGGTTGGCCATTTTTTTACCCGAAACCCATTTTACCACGTGACCAGCCGTGGATATTTTTAAAACCTTAGGCTGTGACCGAACCTGATGCAAGCTAGTTTTGCTTGGGGTTGCCAACGAAGAACCTGACTGTAACGTCGTCACACTTTTGCCGAATTGTTTCTTCCCGATTTCAGGACCTAAATTTTTGATTAGATAAGCATTTGTCACGAAATTAAGAACAAGTTATTTTAGAGTTTTTAAGAAAAAATCGTAGGTTATTCATATCAAAAGAATTTTGGTCAGTGTGTTACGTTTGCCAAAAATTTTGACTGACTGTAACTGCAAAAACTATTAGATAAAGTAAATAAGAATACAAATTAGTTATATTTCGTCTTGGTAACACTTACTTGGGATAAATTTATTAGAAATACGAATATAAAGATCAACGATGTCTTTAAAATTTTAGTGACAAATTGAAATTCTTTACAAGAATTTTATATAATATGTATTGGAAAGGCAACTACTTAGCAGCTTAATACAATTAAGTGTACTAATTATTTACAGAAGCTTCACTTACTTTTTGATTGAGGTGCGGCATTCACAAACTTCAGTATATCCATCTGCATCGCTTGATCCATGATTGGACTTGAATGTTCCAGCCATAAATTGTATTTAAAATTTTGATAGGACCTTAAAGTTTTCACCATCATTAAATAGTTCTTAAAAATTTCTTCTTTTTGACTTGAATTTTCAAGTTCAGGAACTTTTTGAAATTTCAATATGGGCATTTTCACCAAATTGATAAGCGACTGGACCCAAAATATGGCTCCTCCATGTGGAGGATGATCTTTACAGATTGGAGGGTGGCGCTTATTCCTCTGTAAATTACAGCGTAATATAAGACATCAATTAAACCAAAACATACCGTAAACGCGTCATCAATCACCAGGAGTTCTTTATTAAATTGATCCAAAATAACATCGAACTTTGTCAATAGTCTGTCCAAAATAACTTGTCTCGTTTGAACATTTTTCAATTTAGAAAGCATTTCTAAAGCGCTTTCTGATGACCTAAGATTCTTAAAGCTTTGATCGATGAATTTAACGCCTTCGAGCTCCAATTTTCTGACTTCCTTATAAAAAAAATTCATGATAGCTTCCCAATTCTCCTTATGATTTGTGCTAAAAATATCAAAGTCCGCAGATTCAATTTGAATAACTAATTTTTCAACTCGTTTCGCGACGTTATCGATTTTTTGTGGGTCGACAACCATCGCTCGTAATTCAGGACCAAAGATATTGTTAAATTCTTCAACGATAGTGGCCACATCATACAAATCTCTGCAAACTGTTGCCATATAATCTGATTCGGCAAAAAGTTTCTTTTGGTCAAATTCCCATCTTTGCCCTTTTCCAGAATCTTCAATTTTTTGTCTCGTTTCCATGTATGAAGACTTCCAAATTTCAAGCATCTCCCGAGCTGACTGCGTCAACTTTTTGATGAGTTCTATTGGATTTCTAAAAAAAAAAAAATATGTATTGAGTGCTAAAATAATGTCATATTTCACCTAAACAAAAACTCAGTGTCTAAATTAACTCTAACTTTTTCCACCAAACAAGTGACAATTCTTTCCATGAGTGGAACCATCGTTTCGTCTTCACAGTAATATCGAGATAAAACCCAAATAAGATGTAAACCCTCAATAAGAACTGGAATACACTCTTTCACCCGCACAAAATCGTCACATGTTGTTACAGTCTGTAAAATTAAATTTAATTCTGCTTGGTGGTTTAAATTACAAATATAGACCTTAAAGTGACGTAAAACTGTTGATAAGAACTTCACATTGTCTCGAGCTTGAATATGATATTTCTTCAAATCAACTAAATAATTAATAAAAGCATCCATGATGGGAGATTTTGCCAACTCTAGAACGTCATTAACTCTAACGACTAATGGTTTTTTCAACTGTTCAACTATAGCGCTTAAAGCTGCTTCTCTTTCTCTCCAATATTCGTATTCAGGAATAGGACCAAATCCCTCGGGGGTCTAAAAGAAATAAGCAATTGTTTTTTCTGTATTCATTTTTATTTGTCATTGATAGAGATTATTACCTTTGCTAAGTAGATTTCAAGAACTTTAAGAATATGTCGTTCCCAAGCCATGACGATGTTTTGTAGTGTTTCTATAAGGTTCTTATCCTTGATCAACTCCTCATTTGGAACGTCAGTCATTAATACTTCTGGAAACGCGGTTAAAGGTAAATCGATATCATCGTCTACGTGCTCTAAAGTCCAGTTTAAGGATTTTTCTAGTCCCGTTATTTCGACCATTAAATCATCCTTAATAGGGGTGCTAGAAAGTGTACCGCCTTTCTGTTCCTCCGATTCTTCAACCGTAGCTTTTGTAGCAGTACTTTCCGTCGCTTTTATTTTGGATTCCGATTTCTTCTCTTTGTCAGGGCTAATTTTTCGAAAATCAGACGGCGATTTAAAGGCTTGATCAGATGAATTACTCAGACCTTGATCTGAAGGTGTTTTATAAGCTGTTCTTTTTATGACTGGTTCTGCAAAAAAATCCTTCATCATGGGCTTAAATTGTTCTTTGAAAGAATATTTCAAGGAATTTAAGAAATTTCCATTGCAAGAGCCGATCAAAAAATATGATGGCATTTCAGCTTCTGCTTCTTCCTGTGTATCAAAATTTGAGACTGAAATACCTTCTTCGGTTTTTCTAAAAAGATAAACAAAACGTTTGTTGTCTGTGTTAATGACAGCTTCATTTATGGTCCCAAAGTTCCCATGCAAAGTGTGGTCTATGACAAGTTTTTGGACAATTTTCTGAAAAATTATACTTCAACCAACGAGTACGTAACAAACACTATTCGTTTTTACCGGAACATAAATAATTTCTGGTTCTTCCTCTTCCACAGTTTCCGGTTCCTCCTTGTCTTCCTTATGCTTTTTCTTTTTACCTTTCTTGCCTTTTTTCTCTTTCTTCTTTTTCTTTTTGTCACTTCGATCAGTACTTGAACCTTAAATTACATCTTTAGTTTTTGTTAGTTTTATGTAATTTACTAAACCTTCAGTTGTTAGTTCGGATTCTGAAGCACCCTTTTTTCCTTTTTTCTTCTTTTTCTTAACTTTCGATATGTCCGTTGTACTTTCAGGTTCTGTACTCTCCGCTGTTTCTGTTTCCGTTGATTGTCCTATTGTTTCGGTTATTTCTGAGACTGTTCCCTGATTTGGAGACGGTTCATCACGTTCTTCGTGATGTTTCTGTGATTCTTTGCTTTCTGTTGCGTCTGTGGACGTTTGTTTATCTTCTTCTTGTTCACTTTCCATCTTTGTTTCTTCTCCTTCCTCCTTGTCTGTACCTGTTGTTACGTTCACGATTATTTACTATTAGTATTTTTGGAAAGTTTGTATTCGTTTTATATTAAATAATGCATTTTTAATTACGTGCAGAGTTATAAAACTAAAGGTAAATTAAATTACTTAATACTTGCCAAGATAAGACTGACTTTAGTAAATGAACTATTCTCTAAGAAAATAAAGGGGGAGTGAACGGAACTAGTACTTGCTAAGATAAGATTGATTTTGTTAAATGACAAACTCTCTCAACAAATAAAGGTCGGCTGGGACGTGTTAGTACTTGCCAAGATAAGACTGATTTTGGCAAAGGACCTACTCTCTAGGAAAATAAAGAGCGGATGGGCGGGGCTAGTACTTGCCAAGATAAGACTGATTTTGCCAAATGACATACCCTCTAAGAAAATAAAGGGCGGGTGGGGGGAGCTTGAATTTGAAAGATGTTTAGAAAATCTTGGTCTGGGATCACAACACCTCCGGAAATTACCAAAAGAGATTCTTTTGTTGATTTCAATTTCCAGAATATGGCAATTTTTGAAATATATACTTTAAAATCTGAATTTCAAACAAAATATTTTGAAAATCTTGGTCGGGGGACATAACACATTCAGAAATTACCAATAGAGATTCTTTTGTTGATTTTGATTTGCATAATTGTTTTTGGGTTTTGCCTCTTCGAAAATTTTCACCATTTTTCCAGAATTTCCAAAATGAATCAAATACGGTAAATTCTGGGTCATTTGAATTTGAACAGAATATTTCGAAAATCTTCTAGAACATAGCACATTTGGAAATTATCAAAGACATTCCTCTATTTAACTCGATTTCCAGACTTTTTTTGTGTCATTTCTTCCAAAATTCCTACCATTTTTCGAAAATCACCTAAATCATATACCACAATTTTTGGGACATTTTAAAATTTGAATTTGGTAGAGAATGTTTCGAAAATCTTTGTTTAGGATCACAGCGTGTTCGGAAATTACCAAAAGCGATTCTTTTTTGGATTGTGATTTCCAGATTTGAGGTTTCATTTCATCGAAATTCCTATCATTTTTGAAGAGTCTCCAAAATGATATAAGGCAATTTTTTAAATATTTTAAAATTTGAATTCCAAATAGAATCTTTCGAAAATCTTGGTTTTGGGAACATAACACATTCAGAAATTACCAAAAGTGCTTAGTTGATTTCATTTTCCAGAAATGTTTTTTGGTTTTATTTCTTTGAAAATTTTTATCATGCATACTCCCAGAATCTCCAAAATGAATGAAATAAGGCAAATTTCAAAATAATGAATTAATAATAATTCAAAAATTTGAATTTGAACAAAATATTTCGAAAATCTTATTCTTGAAGAAAAAGAAAAGATATTGTTTTATTATTAATTTCAACTTCCAGAATTTAATTTAATTTAATTCAATTCATGGTTTAGTTCGATATTTCAGAAAATTACCTAAGAAAGAAACTTTTTTTTCTGATTTATATACTTAATTTTCAACCGCTAGACCAAAATTTTAAAATTTTATATTTTTAGCCTATACGAGTTGAAGCTAATAATTACAATATCCTGTTATACAAAAAAAACTTCCGTGCATTTTTAGTAATAAACACAAATAAACTGCGTGCCAAAGGTTAGGGATATTTTAATTACCTAATTCTTTTCTCTTCTCAAAATAGAATTTTTTTTAGAATCTTTTTGAACTCACGTTATCTTCTCTCTGTGTTTAATGTCGGTCTCCTACGAAACAATATGCCAAAAAATTGTAAACATTGACTACTACAATTTTAAGTACTACACAAGTATGCCAGAAACTCCGCGGTCTTATATCTTGAAAACGAATAGAATATTGAAATTCTGTAAACGCCATTGTTTTTAACTTGAAGGGAGGAGCTTATATTTAGTATATTGCAAATATGGAGGTCAGTTTGCGTTGGACAAAGTCGGTAAAAAGTGTCAGAGTTGAAATGAATATATCCTAAAGAAAAAAAATCTTTCAATGTCATATATATCGAGAAGCAGCGTTTAAAAGAGGTCCTTCGAAAAAGAGTTTTCAAAAAGGGGATCCAAATCTAAATCAACATTTATTGCATTACGTACTAACTTTATAAAAGTTGAATTAAGTTGAGCTAATGTTTATAAAATTGATAAATATGTATATAGGTAATCATTAATTTAATCGCATTTAGGTACCTAATTTCTTATTGTGTCATTGTTGAAAATATATGTTGGGTTGCATTTAAAATTCGTCATATATTTTATATAGTGTAACTTCAAATAGATATCTAATCACTTGCATTTAAACTCTCTGTTTTAAAGTTTTACAGTGAAATCTGAAGTTTTCAATATCTTTTTATTGAGCAATTTTAACTATAAGAACTTCAGTGTGCCACTAGCAATTGCAGCAACATTTATTTAAGTAAATAACAAAATATCATTTTGCCCCCATGAAAAATGTAGGTATGTAATTAATTACCTTCAGCAGACGGTGAAGAGGTTAATTTTCCGTCTCCCTTCTTTTTTCCTTTCTTCTGTCCCTTTCCTTGCTTCTTTCCTCCTTTTTTTTGTTGTTTTCCTTTTTTTCCTTTACCTTTTTTTGTCTTATCTTCTTCGGCGGATTCTTCATGAACTGACGCTTTCTTAACTTTAAAAGTAAAAATGAGCTATTATATAAATCTAGCTTTGAAATGAGTTTTCGTTTGTTTGTTTTTTTGTTTTTGTTGACATCGAACGTGGTTCAATTTTTGTATTCGACTGGTTTTTTTTATGTACCTATATATCTATACAAATTTTATTTTCAGTTTTAATTTCAATATTGTTTTATTAATTGGTATATTAATTTATATATCCAAACAGTTAGTTTTTATTGTGGTAAGTACAAAAAGAAGTGTGTGAATATTTAACTAACTGCTTACCAACTTCAGGCACCATGATCTCCTCATCGATCAACTTTTCATAGGAGGTCTTATAGATGTAGAATAGCCTCCTGTGCGCTTCATCCTTTTTGAGGAAATCGTCATCCAAAAACGATGTCAGCTGGTACTCCAAATCATCGTTTTGGACCATCATGTTTTCGAAATATTCACCAGAATCTAGGCCAAAGTATCTGGTGACGCTGTTTTTGACCCAGTCCCGCCGAAAATCCGTAGTCATTTTAATATATAATTATAATATAAAAAGTATTCAAAAATAAATTATGCTCCGAAAATTATTTTCTTGTCAAAATATTTACAAACAAGTTTCCATGTTAGCCGCGGTTGCTAAGTCAATTTCAAAAAAAGCTGCGTTCGCGCCAACTTCCTACCACATTTAAAAATGTGAAAGTCGCTAGATTCCACTAAATTTTTGACGTTCTGTAAAATGACGTGTTGTTTTGACAGTTGACATGTTTTGAACAAAATATTTATTGGAACGATGCAGTGATAACCGTACAGTTTAGTTTAAGATATTATTAATTATCCTCTAATTTTATTATTTATTGAAAATGGCTTCGACCAATGAAAGTGATATTGAAGTGCTGAAAAATGAAATCGAACGACTTTCGAGGGAACTCGATCAGGCAAGCAGCGAAAAAGTACAATCTGCTCAGTACGGCCTTGTGCTTCTCGAAGAAAAGACGGATTTGCAAAGAAGATGTGAAGATCTAGAAGTGGCTTATGAAAATACAAAGCACGAACTTAAGGTTACACAGGAAGTAAGTCGTCTTCGAAATGACATGCATTGTTTGTTTAGCACATTTTCGATTTAAGCATTACTGTGCTTAAAACGAACAATTTAGCAGTCCTAGTAACAAGTGATACAGAAACCGTTATTGCAGTTTCGCTATATTTACAAAAAACGACAGACGGAATTATTGATTAGTCAATTTGCTAATTGTGTCGGAACTACATTAATTATTTAAATGAAATTCAGGTGTTCTATTGATGATTATCACGCGCTGTTGGCTTTTGTATAAAAACATGAAATTATGTACATAGTTGTTTGTTAATTCTACTGTTCATTTGATAGTTTCATATGAGGTTTTATCATCATATATTTATGTAGATTACATCATTAGTTGTGGTTGGATTACCTGTATGATGTTCATTTCTTAATATTTAATACATTAAAGTAAGAAAAAATTAAAATACCACATACATTTGAAATTTCGAATTACAAATGAGAAATTTTTATTAAGTGTATTTTTTCATGAATACTATTTAAAATGTACATTTTGTTGCCAACAATTTTTTTAACTTTGATCTTTTCATACAGGCTTTAGCCAAGTTCCAGTCTAGTCACAAAGTAACAACAAAGACAGGTATTGAAACGGAAGAATCCTTATTATCTGAATCAGCCGCTCGAGAAACATCATTAAACTCCCAAATAATCGAATTAGAAAACGAAATAAAACAACTTCGCCATGAGCTGGACAGAGTTACTACAGAAAGAGATCGCATGCTACAGGAGAACACCGATATGGGAAAAGATAAAGAAGACAAAAGCATGGAGTGCAAGAAATTGCGAACCGAACTTCGTGAAATAAAATTTAGAGAAAACCGATTAATAAACGATTATGCCGAATTAGAAGAAGAAAATATAGCATTACAAAAGCAAGTGTCGGCGTTAAAAAGTTCGCAAGTCGAATTTGAAAGTCTTAAGCATGAAATTCGAAGGTTACATGAAGAAATGGAGCTGCTGAATCTTCAAGTTGAAGAACTTACAAATTTAAAGAAAATAGCGGAAAAACATATGGAGGAGGCTTTAGAATCTCTGCAGACCGAACGAGAGGCGAAATATGCTTTAAAGAAAGAACTGGACCAGCATATTAATCGAGAATCGTTCTACAACATTAACAACTTGGCATACAGTATTAGAGGGATGGGTGACGAGCCGGCGCTGGGCAGCGACGGTGAAGACGATATTCCAGGACTCAGAAGAATCGAAGCCAGTTTAGGTGGCAGTAGCGCGTCAGATTTGGCATCACCTGATGATAAACAAGTCGATCTGTTCTCTGAAGTTCACTTGAATGAACTGAGGAAGCTAGAGAAACAACTTGAACAACTGGAAAAAGAAAAATTAACTTTGACTCAAAACTTGAGGGATAATCAAGCCATGGTTGAGAAGAGTCAAGGCGAATTACAAGTTTTTATTGCAAGACTGACGCAGCTGGCGGCTCATGTTGATTCTTTACAACACATTTCCCAAAATGTTGATAAGAATGTATCCAAACCGGCACAAGAGGCTGGAAAAATTTTAAATCAGTACCAACAGTGGTTTAAAATGTCTTGTAAAGAAATAGAGCAGCTGAAACAAGATATAAGGGAGTTGGAAAAATTGACGAATGTGTCAGATGCGACGTTACAATTGAGGAACGAGATCACGAATTTGAAAAATAAGCTGTCTGATACTGAGCAGAAGAGTATGGATTTAGAAGGTGATTTGAAACTGTTGCGGGAATTTGCCAGTGAAGCTGGAACGTCATTGGATGAAACTCAAAATAATTTACAAACTGTTACGGAAGAACTGGCGCAGTTGTACCATCATGTGTGTACTGTTAATGGGGAGACACCAACACGGGTGGTTCTGGACCATGAAAAAGAAGGGATGACCCCAAGTAAGTTTCTAGGACCATTAATATTAATTTTTTTCCAAAATATCGAGAAAATTGAAATATATTTTGTGTTAATTGTCGTACAGTTGAAATGAAAAAATCAGAGACTACTTCCTATAATTATTACAAAATGATTGTTTAGGAGATTCAGAATTAGTCACAATGAGTCTGCACATGAAACACTATTGATTAAAATAGCATTGAGTAAAAAATCAACAGGTGTTTCAAATGAATTGAATTTTTTTGTATGAGCGCCGATGACAAATTTTAGTTGCATAAAATTGGCGTGAATGGATGAACGCACGCACAACCGACGGGATCAAATGAATGGCGACGTTTTTTATCGTCGATAAAATTTTGTTCTGAGTACGTGTGAATCTAGTTGAAATAAATTAGAACAAAAGTTATCTTTTAATCTATTCATCCTGTGTGGTTAGATTAGAACATATCAATTTTCTTATACTCTTGTATTTGATATTGAATATGCCAATTACAATGTAGCTGTAAAAGTATGTTAAGAAATAATAATTATTGAAAAATGGCGAAAACGGAGTTTATACAATTTTTTGAGTTGCTTTGTTAGAAGGAAAATGATATAAGATACTTGAGTTTCAGCATTTCTAAAGAAAGAAATGACGAAACATTTTATTTGTTTTGTCCATGAACTTTGCTTTTTACGTCTTGAGCGGAAACTAAGACAAAGAGTCGATCGGACGACTGGCTACTTTTATGTTCTCTCGACGTTTAATGACCCCATGAATACCAAACAATCGGTCTCCCGTTTCCGGCTGTCTGTGTCGATTTTTATTAGACAGATAATTTCCGAAACTATTGGACCGATTATTCAAATTTTATACGTATTTTAGGAATTTCGTGCAGATAGTAAAACGCTCTCCAAAATTTACACTAGTAATTATTATTTAGATTTTATACAGAGCTGTTCATTCAAAGAAAAAAAAGATCAATCTGACTGAATTACCACCTAGAGTGCTTTTCTGTAAGAGGTAGAAAGGCGGAGTCAGAGTTCTGCGCATGGAGTTGGGCAAAAATAAATTATAGGTTAGTTTATAATAGTCAGTAGCGTATTTTTTGTTCAGTTAAGGAGTTTGGTATAAGAAACTGCACTGGAAATGATTCTGTCACTTGCAAAGCCGACTCAAATTTCGTTTCTGCGCAAGTTTACTGACCTGTACCTCTCACAGAAAAATCACTCTTCAAAGTAGTACTACTATTTTAATAAGGAGTTATAATAATCGAGTCCACGGACGAATGACCACGTTCATATTTTCTCGACGTTTCATGACCACCAAAGTACGAAAAAAGTGGTCTCCCGTTTCCGTCTGTCTGTCTGTTTGTCTGTCTGTATCCATTTTTATTATACAAGTAATCTCCGAAACTACTGCACCGATTGTTATTACATTTTGTATGTGTTTTAGGAACGTCATGTATATGGTTAAATACTAACTAAAATTTGGATAACAGGGTTGCCACTTTTCTGGAAAACCTGGAAATGACAGGGAGTTTAGAAATTTTGAAAATATCAGGGAAAAGTCAGGGAATTCTGTAACGGGTCAGGGAAATTTACCGAATTTTGTTGAAAGTCAGGGAACTAATTTATTTTTGTTACTTGTTTGAACAAAGGATTATTTTTCGTTTTCTATGTCGGTGTTATCTCAAGTTTTAAAGTCGCATAACTATAGATTTTTTTTATTAATTTAAAAACTGGAATATCGTGGTTTTGGTCAGAGAAAACGTCATCTCCAAAATTTATAATAAAAAGTTTTTTTTAATTTTACAAAATAAGATACTTCTGCACTTGTGGAGTATGAATCCGTGTCCAATTTTCAGCCTAAACATCCAGAATTTTTGGAAAAAATTTAAAACTGAATAACAATATTTTGCAGTATAACTTTGAAACTGTAAAACCGATTGCTTTGAAATCTTATAAATATTTTAAGGTTGTCATAATCATGGTAAATCATTAAGCAAAATTTATTCGTTTATCCCCTCCCAAAAAAGCAATGACATCATCTCAAAATTTTTGCGAATAAGTCCTATCCAAAATGTGCAAAAATGGTCAGTCTATACTTGTGATTTATCATTGCATTAAATGTTTTTAATTTTTTATACAAGGTGACTCATAAAAATTAATGAATCAGTCGATTTATTTTATTGATTAAATCAGGAATTCAAAGTGATATACGTGTCTTCGCAAAAATGTTGATGACGTCATCAAAAAATTTTGTTAAGAGAAAACTCATTTCGAACGTAGCCCAGCACGCTTATTCACAAACATATTTTAATTTTAACTTATAAGGTTTCTCGTAAAAAAATAGAATTTGCATAATCAAATTTAAAATTTTTCGAAAAAGCTGGATTTGTTTTATTGTATTTCAGGGGCGAGGGAAGTTCTTCTAAAAAATGTGAAACCTTCTCGGGGGTCTCAACTGTCTTTTTTTTTAACAAAAGACCTTCTCGGGGTTCCAAATATCTTTTTTAAGAATATGAAACCTTCTCGGGGGCCCCAACTGTCTTTTTTTAAGAATCTGAAACCGTCTCTGGGGCCCCAAATATCTTTTTTAAGAATGTGAACCCTTCTGAGGGGTCCCAACTGTCTTTTTAAAAAATGTACAACCTTCTCGGGATTCCAAATGTCCAAATTTTTTAGGAATGTGAAATCTTCTCGGGAGCTCCAACTGTCTTTTTTTAAGAATATAATATCCTTTTGGATACCCAAAATGTCTTTTTTAAGAATGTGAACCCTTCTCAGGAGTCCCAACTGTCTTTTTTAAAAATGTAAAACCTTCTCAGGGGCTCCAAATGTCTTTTTTTATGTGAAACCTTCTTGGGGGCCCAAATGTCTTTTTTTATAAGAATGTGAAACCTTCTCGGGAGCCCCAAGTGTCTTTTTTAAGAACATTAAATCTTGTCGGGGCTTCCAACTGTCTTTTTTTAAGAAGATGAAACCTTCTTTTTTGCTATCATACTGTGACTAGTACCTTCTATATTGTTTTTACTCCATAGAGGTTTTCACGAAATAGTAAAATGCTGCAAAATCAAATTTTATAATTTTTCAGAAAACCAGTATTTGTTGGACTGTATTTCAGAAGCGAGGGAAGTTCTGTCACAATAACTTTCGACCAATTTTTTAAAAAGTATCACCTTTTTTTCTGACAAGACAACTATCTAAAAATTACACTAGTCTATAATCAAAACTTATCAAGATAAAGAATAGGTGGATTTTACTAAGTTGAACATGTAATTAGTTTTTCTGGCACGTCACATTATCGAAATGTTTGACATGACGTAAGTAATATGCATTCATGACTAGGAAATATGCAAATCGGTATATTTTTGACAACAATGTGATAGTGTCTCAAAGAGTTACATGGAATTTTTGTTTGATTTATTAATATTTATGGTTAACTGATCACAAACTAATTGAATTTTATGTCCTTTCGATGATGATTTATTTCGCGTAAATACTTCATTCTTATGACTCATAATAATCAGCAGGAAAAATTAGATTAGGAACATACGAGTATATTTTAATTTTTGGTGATTACAAAAAGTTTCATAATGTGGACCAGTATACTTTCTTCGTTTTTCTTAATGTATAAAAAATAAGTCTCGACGTCTTTCCACACATACATATATTTAAATAAAAAAATTACAGTTTAGTCTAATACATATATACATGACAAGATCTTCAGACTGTTGTCACCTTGATTGTCATTTTTTTATAAAGCCCAGGATGCTCAAATATCATTTGACCCCAAAATTTAGAAGTCCATGTGTTCTTTCTTGATGCCACAAAATGCGTAAATGTAATGTATGAACAGAACAATTTCACAATTCAATTTCATGGTGGATAATTTTGTATGCCCACCAACAGTGTTAGTAGATTCTATATATTGTTACTTTCTTCTTTTTATCGTATTCATATTTGTGGGTATATCAGTAAACCATTTTCTGTAATATATACAGTGATTTAAATGCATTGGTGAATTATATTGTAGTCAGTGGTTCGTTTTACATCAATTAATTCATACATTGCGACCCAATCAATTTTTACACAGAAAACATACATTGAAAATAGCTCATTAAACAAATACCACTACCACTATTTATTTGAGCATTTCCCACTAAGATTATCGTAAATTTAGTATCACGGTATTTTTAACGTACATCCTTTGAAATCCTTCTAATTTTATCTACCAACATTACATAGCAAGAATTCTTACAATAGACTTGTTTTATTTATAGTGACGGAAACAGCACCACCTATTGGAGAAATATCAAAGATCGAACTCTTGCGAAGCCGGCTTAAGAGTGATATTCCTCTACACGACCTCGAAATTTTGAATGATACATCAGCTTTCGCTCGAAATGTATGCACCATTGTGGACCAAATAAAACATCTCAGAAACGCCATCGAAAATACAATAGAATTATCTAAAATAAAAAGAGAAAAATCGAACGGGTTGTACGAATGTAAGTTAAAAGTATTTCAAACTCTATTTTTCTCATATCACCATTAACAGCTATTAAAGATGAGAACACCGAAGAAATTGCCGAATTACAAGAACAAGTGATAAGATTGAAGAGTTTGCTCTCGACTAAACGGGAACAAATCGCCACGTTAAGAACCGTCCTCAAGTCTAACAAAAATACTGCCGAAGTGGCACTCACGAATCTGAAGGCCAAATATGAAAACGAGAAGACTATCGTATCTGAAACGATGATGAAGCTCAGAAATGAGCTAAGATTGCTTAAAGAAGATGCCGCAACGTTCTCGAGTGAGTATCGCAATTTTAAAACTCCGAAATTAGTCATTTATGTACTTAAAAGGTTCTAAATTCCGTTTGACTCTTTTTTAGGTTTGCGTGCGATGTTCGCAGCTCGTTGCGAAGAGTACGTCACTCAAGTTGACGAGTTACAGCAACAACTAAGTGCCGCAGAAGAAGAGAAGAAGACTTTAAATCAACTTTTGAGATTAGCTGTGCAACAAAAATTGGGTTTGACGCAAAGATTGGAAGAATTGGAAGTGGATAGAGAAATAAGGAACGCACGTAAGCCTAACAATCGCAGTTTTCAACGTCCGGGGCGATCAAACAGGGACATGTTCTAGCGCAGGTCAAAACCTGTGGTTTACGCGATTGCATTTATCACCACATTCTTCAAACTTTAGAGTTTTCATCAACTATGTATTTTTTAATTGGCGTTAACGTAACAGAAGTGTCGTGGACAGTTCTGGAGAAAGTATTTTGATTGTAACGAAATGTGAGGTAAATAGTGCATTTATTTATTGGAGTAATATTTTATTTCTAAATTATATATTAGACGTTTTGTAGTTTTTATTAGTGTTATGTCGTCAATTAACAGACTTTTCCATTTTCTTAATTTTCGTAAAATTGGCAGGTACTAATTTCTGTGTTGGTAGGAGTGGCCGGTGCCAATTCGTCGTAACTTCAATACTAGTTGTTTTACGTTGCAAACTATAGCATTTAAAAAATACTTGACCCTTAGTGAAATTTTCAAGCTAGAGTAGCCTATAATTGAATTTAATTATCAAATATATATTTATTGGTAGATGTGGCCCATATTTCGTGTGATGTATAGATTTTAAACAGTTTTAGTTGTGTTTATTTAGTCTACTGAAATTAGCCCTTGAGGGGATTTTGCAATATACATTAGTTAGTGATTATTTGGTGGTGTAAACTAAACTAATCTAGTAAATTAATATTGTGAAATAATTGTCAGTGAAAACTGGTTGAAAGTTTTCACCCAAAATTGGCGTTAATACCACTAAAGGGCAACGTAATAATAAAAAACTGTGGTCTGAAGTGTAATTGAAGAAAGTCTAACCAAGAAGTAAGTAAACATATTTATTTTCTAACTGTGGTACTAAAGTGTAATTGTTACGGTTTGAAAAATAGTTAAAAATAACTTGTTAAGACGTAGGTTAAGAATAATATTATAAACTAATGGCGAATTGCTGTAATTTTAATAGTGACTATAATATCACAATTCGTCTTTTCCGTTGGTTCTAAGTCCATAATCATAAAGATGATGACGTTTGTTGATTATTTGTCCTGTTTCCGAGCCTATGGACCACGGAAATGCCCGTCCCTTACAATAATATAAAAATCCTTAATGTTTGAAAAAAAAATGTGCATGCTCTAACACGTATTTTTGTTATGATGGTACCAATTACGATTCAATTTTTTTGTTCGTCAGACAGCTAACCTGTTACTTTTTTTATATTTATTGTTATAAATTATTTTAACTTTGCTTATATGTGGTTAATGTTACTTAATTGTACCTAATATTTTTAATATAATTATTACTTTAACTAAGAGCGACTCTTAATTGTGCCTTTCACACACCTTACATCAACATTAAGAAGACAGAAAAACCAAATTGCTTGTACGCAATACACAACAAGGAAATCCATTACACAATATGACCTTTATAAATTATCATTTACTCATAAAATGAAGGTTACAACAAAAGCTAAACAAATATTTATATTTGTAATGTGTGAATATAAACAAATCAGTAATATTATCTTTATCTGTTTCACGATTTCAAAATAAAACATTTATAGAAAAGATATATTTATTTTATAATTTCAAAGAAATCACAAAATATATGGTTTGCTATATCGATCTAATATTTTCTATATATTCATTCTCTAACTGAACAAAGTAAAAAACATCAACGAATAATTCTTTAAAGAAACCTACGAAACATTGTGCCAATATTCAGAGGATATGATATCAGTGGTGACATTTCTAAAGTAAATTCTAGATTTATTATGATCTGAAGGAAGATCCTAGATTTTAGTAGTAGTTTTCTAAATTTTGTAGCCTCACGTTTGTTAGCAGACGTACCGCCAGTGATATAAGTTGACTTTCAGTAGTACAAATATTTTATTAGTAGTAACATTAAGTAGCCATAAATTCCAATTGGAAGTAACTCCTGCAGTTAACAATTTTATTACAAAAATAAAACTCCAAACAAAATAAACTTAAGACTACAATTAAATAAAGTCTTCATAGGTAACATAATTAAATTAATAACATAAACAACAAACTTTTAAAATTTAATAAGAATGTAATTTAAATACGTACTTAATCATTCAGTATGATTATGCATTAAAATGAGATTATTGAATGCGTGTGCTACAACTCGAACAATTCATCTTGTTGTTGCTCGTGTTGTTGTAGCGACGACTTTACTTTTCGCCCTTGTTGTACTACGATAGTATGAGGTGGTGAAAACAGATCACTGGAGCCATTATTATTGACCGACCTTCTCATTCGAGAAATGGGGACTTTCCTTTTCTCTATTTCATATTCTGTATTGGATGCATATCTGTAACAAGTAAGTATATTATTTTTACAGCTCAGCCGACATTTCTAGAGTAACAAAAACACTAATGATAAAATTACTCGCTATTGTTTTGTGTTCTTTTCACTTCTTTTTTCGTATTTGCAATCGCGGCATCTATTTTTCCTAAAAAATCTTCTACATTGTCTTCATCGAAACTGCTATTGCTTATGGGAGATGAGATCTGTGTTGGACTGACTATCGGCGGAGGTTCACTGGTTTTAACGGGCACACTACTATCACGTACTGGTATTAATAAATATTCTTTAAGGAATAAACTATCCGAAGCCCATAAACGATTAATCCGACGAATCTGCTCAATCTGCAACAAAATAAATAAGGTCACTTGTCCTAAAAACCTAAAATTCTTACCGTAACGTCGTATTTTAAAGCTATTCCTTGAAGTGTGTCAGTATTCGAAACATAGTGTTTAATACAGTTTTCATTTCTATTTACATGTTTGCTAGTACTACCGTATTTTTTTAAGGACCGGGCGGACTCCCTTATTGATAATTTTTCGTATGATCCCTTGTCCATTGTATTTATTTATAGACAGAGTAATGAAAGAGAGACGGTTCGAATTATGGAAAATTTATGATAACTGATCCACTAGCACGTTTTATTTACGTCTCCGTTGGTGATAAGAAATGTGGGACTTATCGTTTAACGGATTACATTGCTGCGAATTTTGTTCAATGTGAAAAAAATAAATTAAAGAATGTTGACATTTGAAACGTCAAAATGTCATTCATAACTTTCTTTCATACCTCTGCCGGTGTTGTCACTTATTCGAGGATTAATTATTTAAAAAAATAGTTTATGGATAAAATTAACCCAACATTATTCGAAGTTGCAGATGAGAGGTACAAACTGCGTACTCTTTAGTTCTTTGTGCATGTTAAAATATACAAGATTTTCGTTGCGGACAGAAGCAAATTTGACAAGGCAGCAATCTAGGACTTTATCTAGTGTCATTTGGTATTCCTGATATTTGACATTTGGCATGTTGATGTCCTGTCAATTTATTTGGTTCAGAATTGATTGTGTTAAAGTTATTGCTAACCATTAATTATTTACTCTACTACTTTTAACAGTCGTTGCAAAGCAACATTGCATAGCAATGTCTTATCAGTTGTATAGAAATACAACTTTAGGACACACGTTACAGGAGAGTTTGGACGAATTAATACAGGTACATCGGACAATTTATGGGATATTTTAACATTAATTTTTTTCAGTATGGTCAAATAACTCCACAGTTAGCGTGCAAAGTATTGTTACTATTTGACAAATCTATTAACATGACTTTAGCGACTCGTGTAAAGTCGCGTTTAACCTTTAAAGCAGGTAAACTCAATACGTACCGCTTTTGTGACAATGTGTGGACTTTCATGCTTAACGATGTTGAATTTAGAGAAGTACAAGAAATTACTAAAGTTGATAAAGTGAAAATTGTAGCCTGTGATGGAAAAAGTAAGTTATTTGTAAATATGGAAAAGTGAAGTAACCGATTATTTTTTTGTAGATGTTGGTGATGAAGGCAGCTCAAAAAAATAAATTATTCCAAACAAGTGTACTTTATGCCCTTTTATGTAAATATTTAAAACTGATAATTGTTTGTATGTTTAATTTCGTGTTAAGAGACTATCAGTTTTGACTGGTGAGGTAGACTGAGTGGTGTGCATTTTTTTTATTGTTATTATGTGGAACTACCTAATTTGAACAAATAAATTTTCTAATGAAGTAAACAAAGAAAGTGAAGGCCATGTTGGTAGTCATAGTTTTATAAAAATACGTTGTAATCGTTCACGGCGATTGAAACTTTTTAATGGTTTAAAACTCAAATAATACATTAATAAAGTTTGTTAATTTCCCAGGCACAAATTACAAGTGCACTGAGTTTGAATGCAAAAAACTAAAACTATCCTACATTTTACATTTTAATCAACATAACTACATAACCTATAAATTGTTCCAAATAGGTGTACTTCATGTCCTTTTATATAAATATTTAAAACCGATAATTGTGTGGTGTTCAATTAATTTTGTGTCGGGAGATAATCGATTTTGACTAGTGAAGTAGACTATTATTAGTACTACAGAAGTACAAAACAACCAATTAGTACCTACTGTGCACTTTTTATGTAGAACGACCTAATATGAACAAACATATTTTTAATGAAGTGCATAAAGAAAATAAAGGTCATGTTGATAATTAAAAAGTTCTGTGAAAATACGAAGTACTTATCTATAACGACGCCTTCATGAAACTATAAAATGTTTTATGTTTTTGATAAAACGTGTATTATTTTCCAAGTTTCGAAGGTACAAGCCATACGTGTACTCATTTTGCAGCAAACATATTTTAACAAACACAGATTTAATGTTTTTAATCCAGATTACTTAAAAATAGACTTTGTACAAAACATTTGTAAACTGGAAAAGATTTTTAAGAATTTGATAGATTTCACGTGATACACTTTACCCAAAGCAATGCACCTGAGGCGTGATATTTCACAAAGTGAATTCGTTATTTATGTTCTGATATGGTTTACGTGTGTTTTTTTCTCAATATATTGCTTTGCAACAAGCGCCAACAAGTGTAAGTTGATTAATCATAAATTTACCCAAAAGAAACTTTGTTTACCAATACCGTCATCATTTTGTAGATTTTCAAAATTATGAAGATCACTACTCAGATTTTACTGAGGGATGGTCACTAATTTCTCGAAGAAAAGATAATAGTGATGCTGAATGGCGGTTGATGAAATTATTACTGAAAACTATACCATTATGGATTATTTTTTCGTGTTTGGTGTCAGAAGTACTCCGTCAGTTTAAATTATTTCAAGTAATTATTACGGCACATATTTAGTAGGTAATACCCAGCATTAACAATTATATTTTACAGCTTTTACAAGTGTGGCAAATATTAATTTCAACTACATTTATAATTACAGAGTTAGGAATTCTTCCACTGGGACTAATAGTATTTCAGCCTTTATTATTTGCACTTGTATTATTTTTCACGCGAAGTAAATTTATCATCTGGGTTACAAATATATTAACTTTGTTGTTACTTTTCATGTACAGGTACATTGGTTTCAGTGAAGAATTTCTAGCAGAAAATAAATTGAACCCACAGTCTGCCCATGTAATTGTAACTACAATATACTGGATGAATCTCAAATGCGTATCATACTGCATTGACTTCATAGATTCTAAACAAGAACATATTAGTCTAACTTTTGCATCATATTGTCTACATATGCCGAATCTTGTTCTTGGCCCATTTGTTTCATACAAAAATTTTGAAGGATGTTACAAAACAGACGAGTACTTGTGGGACCGTTTTTTAAAATTAATTTTGAATATTTTTCGATTTTTATTTTGGTTCGTCTTTACTGACTTTTTTTTACATTTTATTTATGTGAATGCCGTTGTTTACCACTACGAGGTATGTGTTGTTTATAAATAAGTTATAAAGAAAAAATATATTTTTTTAAGTGGATTCAAACTCTTGGCTCATGGTCTTTATATGGGTATGGTTATACGATGGGTCAATTTTTTCATATCAAATATGTGATAATGTATGGCCTATCTACTAGTTTTCAGAAATTTGAAAATATTGAAGTGCCTTCTTTACCTATTTGTATTGGACGTGTCCACTTATATTCAGATATGTGGAGGTACTTTGATGCTGGTTTATATAACTTTTTACAAAGGTAATTAGATAAGAAAAATGTTAGTTATTGACTAAAGTGTTAAACATTTGTAGCTATATGTACATTCCGCTCATGAAGAATTATTTTAAGTACAGATTAATTCCTAGTCTGATATGTTTTACTTTTATTTACGTATGGCATGGAACTGACGAGTCTATCCTTGTGTGGTCAGTTTTAAATTATGTTGGCATTGTAATTGAACAGTTTAGTAAGTGGATTGATAACGAATATTTGAAAAAATCAACACTGGAAATCATGGTTGGGCCCAAATGGCGCAGAAGAATAACATGTGCAGCTGCTAGCCCTCTTCTTGCAATGTCTTGCGTCTCGAATTTTTATTTTTTTAGTGGCAATAAAGTTGGATATATTTTTGTATCAAGACTCCTAAATTATGGTAAGGATTGTTATACATTGCAACTGTGATATATTCATCATTTTTTAGATATCCTGTGGAGCAATTTGATTTTGTTGATAATTTTATACACCATGTGCCAAATTTCAACTGAAATTAAATCAAAAGAAAAGAGATCTTCCCAAAAACATAAAAAAAATTAAGAATGTAAATGCAATAGAACAGATAATAAAAGTTTCATACAAATTTGGTTTTTTTAATAATCAATTTAAATGTAGTGAAAATATGGATTAACAAATATAACTCTTAACTTACTACTGTAAACTATTTTGTTCAAAGTCTAGTTGTCAGCGTACTTTTTACTTGAGAAGCATTTTTCATTCTACTGATTTGTAGCCTTTTCAAAGCTTCTTGTCTTTTCTTTTCTACAATATCCTGTATTCGTTTCGCTTCCAATTTAGCAAGCGCTTGTAATCTTTTTTTCTCTATTTCTTCAGGTGAACATTTGTCTGGTGATCTTATGAATGTGTCTTTTTGTTTCTTTAATTCTAATTTAGCTTTGGCTTCAAGTCGTTTCCTTTCAATCTCATCCAAGGTAGTCTTTGATAAGTTCTCTAAAACGTCAAAGATAGAATATTATTTTCTAAAATAGTAGCAACTTACGATTATGTGTGTTAAGTCCAGCTAGTTCAAAGCTCTTTGTTCTATGAAATTCCAACTTCCCAGATGCTGTGTGTATAACATTAGTTTTATTAACAGGAATATCAGAAAGTGTTCTTTGTAAAGTCAGCTTAGAATGTTTTGATACTTGCACACCTAAATTTCTGTCCTCTGTTCGAAAGGTATCAAATGAAATGTCAAAACTTTCCTGTGCTAAATCCCTATTAGAAGTGATAATTTTTTTGTCATTATACTTGTTAATTAAACTATTTATCTCTGTATTATCACAAATATTTGTAGACAAATCCACTCGTGCGTTGTTAATACCACTTTTACTTTCCAACTCTTGCTCTATTTTCTGGCTACACAAAACAAGTTCTTCATCTATGGAATCATTAAACAAATCTTCGAATTCATCACAATTTTGCTCTAAACTTAAAATATTGCTTTCATCCCTTTTAATTTCCATTTCCTGTTGTGGCGAAACACACAAACAACTTTCATCATCCGGCATCGCCAATTCTTCTTGTAAAATTTTAAGCTCATTTCGCAATCTCTCAAAATTTTGAGTGTTGTTGTTGTTCGAAGGATGTCGCTTGAGGGGAAATTTTGGAGATTGGGCAGGTATTAACCGTTTCTGCGTCCTTCTTTTTCTTTGGCTGGTTTGAGGCGAATGCCAGTCCCAGAGAACATCAATTTCTTCATTTGTTTCTTGTGTGAGGGGAAAGTACAATGGACTGTAGTCAGTATCTGCATTAACATGCCCATTTTTAATTGGGGTGGTCGCGACTGACTGAAGTGTAGGAGATTCAACTTCTTTTTTGGCATCTTAAATGAAATGGTTAGATTTTACATCAAACTTACAATGAATTTTGTACCTGTTTTACTTTTTACCACTCTACATGATAACTTTGATTTAGAGACTGGTGTTGTGGTCATGTCTTTCTATTATATAAATCACATACAATGTGCACTATTATTGGAATGATGAAAATAATAATTAATTTATAATAACAAATACTCAATGTGAAGCAAAAAGTGTGGTTAGGAACTTTAAAATCAAATCGAACCAAACAGTTTTTTAGACACTTTTACTAGTGACTTTGTTGTCGCACTGTTTGACATTTGACAAATGATTTCGCGCCACTGTGTTCCTTTTGAATTTGGGTGGTTTTCAGGAATATTATAAGAAAATTTATAACTTTTTTATTTATTGGAAATCACGTACGTCACGTAAGTAAAAAAAAACGGATTTATAAATCGTTCGTATACAAGCTGGCAGCAAAAACTATATCTCTTTTGATGGCAGTGGACGCTTCTTCCATCTTATTCTGAAGTTCTGGGTCTCCTATAATTCTTGCAGCATTTCTAACATCACAAATTGTGTCGTTCAGTTGTTGTATGCAGCGTACAATGATACCTTCTTGGATTTCAGTTAGGCACATAATGTCGGCAAAAGGCTAAAAAATAAAATCTCAAATAGCAATAATTATTGCAGAATTTCACACACACCTTTGCTGAGGCCCATTCATACACAATTTCAACCAAATCAAAATTTAAATCGTTTTGAAATTCGTCTGTTTTGATGTCCAAGTTCATTTCTAGGTTTGCAATATCATAATGAATTTTCTGCATTTCTTTCATAGCCTGAAAATAAAATAAATGCAATTTTTGTTGCAGAACAATGGTAAATAAACCTTGGTCAAATCTTCCGTAATATGTACGAGTTCTTCTTCTTTGTTGTCTTTCTTCGGCGAAAACACTAAAGCAGACAATAACGCTGCGACTTCCGCAGGTTGCAGTTTAGTCAGTACATTGCGAAGAACTAATTCCGTAATTAATAGTTCGTTCATACCCATTTCGCAGGCAACACGCCCCTTCAATTGAACTAAAATTTGTATATCAAGTAAAAATACAGCTTTATATGTTTTACCCACCTCTGTTTTGTAAGTCAACATAATTAAGTTTCCTCAACAATTCAATTCGATTTTCATAATCTGGATACAAAGACAGACTAGCACTGGAAAGATAATGTTTCAAACTATCTCTCTTCCTCTCCAAAAATGTCCTTATAAAAACAGACGAGAACTGCTCCTCAAAATTAGGAATTTGTGTACTCGGCAAATGATCAATTAAGATGTCTTTAAATTTATACATCAACAGAAGATCCTCATGAATCTGTTGTTCATTAACTTTTAGATCTTGAATCATATGAAGGTACGACAATCTGTCTTTATTTTTTGTCAATTCGTTAAGTGACATGGTCAGTTTGTGCAACTCTTGAATCGCTTGTTTGCATGTTTGTCCAATTGGATCATTCTTAAACCGTTCGATCTGCCGCTTTTCCCAGTCTTTAATAACTAGTTCTGTGTCGATTTTTATTGTTTTATCAGCGATTTCAAAAATATCTTGAGCTGAGATAGTTAAAACTTCATGACCAGGCGAACCGATGGGTATAAAGACGTTGTCGTTAGCTAAAGCGATCATTTTATACCACAGGTCTTGTTTCTGCGATTGGTGTTCCGTTGCGCTCGAGTCAGTCAAGATTAGGACTTTGTAAGAGGGTTTTTTGCCTTTAAGTACAGATAGTAAGAGAGCTAGTTTATTCACGTGCGTTTTATGCGTTAATAAAAGAATTCGTCCGGGGGTCAGAACCTTTATTACTTTAGGCGATGACATTACATTGTCCTAAACAATTACCCAAAATAGTTACTAAGCACATTTCAAAAACTTACTCACCAAACATTTGTTTCTTGCGTCCAAATAGGATGAGGCACAATTATAAAATTTAACGAGGGGTTGCAGATAACCGCTTAGTTCTTGGGTGCACAGTTCATTGATTTGTTTGTCAACTGTAACAAGTTCTTGTTGTTTTTCCACCATTTTCTTCTGGTGGTCCGCTTCTCTGAAACTTCTACTCATCATTCCTTCCACACTGAGACTTTCAACGCGAAGTAAACTCAGTACCTGAATGTAGTATACAGTAAGATTATAATTTTCAATTTAGTTTAATTTTACCATTCCATAAGTTAGTCGAAATTGGCTTTGTAATACATTAGGACTTCCCATCATCATGGCCTGAAGTTCTTCCACTTTCGGAATTTTATTTTTGCACAAAATTATAACAGTTCCTTCACTGTCAAGGCCTCTACGTCCTGCTCGTCCTGCCATTTGAATGTATTCGGCAGGTTTTAAGTTGCGTCGTTCTTGGCCATCGTGTTTTGTAATAGAGTCAAAAACTACAGTACGTGCCGGCATGTTCACGCCCATTGCAAAAGTTTCAGTTGCGAAAAGCAACTACAATAAAAGGATTAATCACATAAATTAGGATAGTTTGCTTCACATGAAAAAACAGTAAATATTTAGTAATAGTTTGGTCCGTAAATTCTTTCAGATGAAAGATACAGTGACTGTTAGCTCAATTTTTTTGTGAATTTTCATTTGGTTCGATCGTATTCATACAAAGCTGATTTTTGACAAATTGACAGTACGATTATGTATATACTAAACGAAAAATATTTTCGATATGTTGCAAAATATTACAAAGAAGAGACGTTCGTATTTATCATCAAAATTTTCTCTTACTGTGACATTTCCTGTAAAAAATTTGAAAATACTGTTTGTTCAAATAAGACTTAAATATTACCTAAAACCACATTAAAAACAAAAAGTGATGATTTAATTTAAAAACATTATCAGCTATGTAGATGGCCAAAAATCTGCATAAATATACTTTTTAAAATTCGCACCTTGATCAACCCTTTCTGGAAGAGCATTTCAACAATTTCCTTGATAATCGGAAGCACTCCACTGTGATGAACTCCAATACCTTTATGTAAAATATTTCTCATTCTTAATATCTGAGGTATATTGCGATCTGGTTCTTTAAGGCTTCTTACACATTTTTCAAAAAACATATGAATCTGTGCTTTTTCCTTGTTTGTTGTTAGGTCTAAACTCATTAAATTTTCGGCATTTTGGTCACATTTAGCTCTCGAAAAAGTGAACGCAACGATCGGCAATAAATTATTTCTTTTCAAATGATCTACTAAGCCGTTCCAAAGAACCTTTTCTTGTTTAGGCGTAAAATTATGATACTGGGGTTTTGTATGAGGGTATGTTGATTTCGGATCAGCCTTTGGCAGGGATGCAACTGCTTCGGCGTAACTGAAAAAATTATTAAACATATGGTTATATTAAAATCAACATTTTAAAGCTATTTAAAGAGAGATAGCTCTGCAACTCCCCCAGTCTTACAAATATTCCATTACAGAACGTATTTTTCAGAAACGATTTTTCCGTAATTTTTTGAGATGATATCATCAATTTTCTAGAGCGAATGATTAAAAAATGTTAATGTTTTACACAAATTTTCTGGGCAGTAATTTCTGAAATAAGCTGTAAAACTTGATGTTTCAAATGTACTCCTATTTTTTTTTAAGGAAAATGGGTCGAGACGTGTTTGACTTACTTATTAAAATAAATTACTTCATTCATTATTTTCTTGATATACCCTGTATAAATAATTCTAAAAATTTGTGATTACGATAATTTTTCATAACGCTCATAAGGCCAATCTCTTCAGAAATTCGGTGTTTCAAGAAAGCTGGCAACAGGATTTCAAAGTCTTTCATTCAAAATACATTGTATTTGAGATTCCTATATTGTCAACTCTATACCGGGTGTCTGACAAATGGCGGATTAACCCTTCAGTACGTTATGTACGGGGGTTTCGGAAGTCCAAAAAATAATAAAAACATTCTTTATGATGTAGATTACGAAAAAAACGTAATTTTATAAAAGTAAAATTGGCAACAGTGCACGTACCTAATGCGTGAATACCTCCGGCTTACTTTGTGATTTCTTGGTAACGATGGTGGCTGAATATACCTTTTACCATTACAACCAGTAGTCATTAATCGTTGTGCATTATTATTAATAAAACATGCTGTTATTTTTCATTAATACATAAACCAAAAAATTTAATAAGACTTAAATTATAAACAAAAACAAAAATAACAAAAGAGAACACTGGAGATGTTCAAAATTCCTGCCTTGGGCATATAAGTAAGCTCGTAATGTTTCCACATTTTGATCATTTTTTGTAAAAGTTAGTTATCAGTACTTGCTGATAACTGATAAAACTGATTTTGGCAATGACAAACTTTCTAAGAAAAGAGAGGGTGGGTGGGTGGGCGGGGCTAGTACCTGCCTAAGGTAAAACTAATTTTAGCAACAGACATATCCGCTAAGAAAATAGAGGGCTGGTGGGTGGTAAAATAAGACCGATTTTGGCAATTGACATACACTCTTAGAAAAAATTGGTCGAAAGTTCTTTCGACAGAACTTCCCTCGCTCCTGAAATACAATGATTTTTTTTGAGTCACCTGTATACACAAAACCAAAAAATATTAATGGAGTGATAAACCATAAGAACAGACTCATCATATTTTGTACAATTTAGATAGGGTTTATTCGGTTAACTTTTGAGCTGAGGTCATTAATTTTTGGAGGGGATAGGTAAATATATTTTGATTAAAAATTTATTATGGTTATCATAACTGTAAACCATCTCCAATATTTCAAAGCATTCGGTTTTGCAGATTCAAAATTAAATTGCAAAATGTTGTTTTATAATTTTGATTTGATTTAAAAACTCAATACGGAGTCGTAAACTACATGTGTAGGACTATGTTATTTCATACAATTTAAAGCCCATTTACTATGTGCAATTTTGAAGTGACGTCATCACAATATTGGTGGGGATGAGTAGGCAAATTTTGGTTAGCGTGTTACCATCTACATATAGGTTTAGTATTCGTAAATGGAGAATTATTGTTGCAGACTGATAAGCCGACTGTTCAAAATAACAACATAACAATTTCAAATTACTGTCGTCAAGTATCCTTGACTTGTTAAACGTGAAGTCGTTTTAGAAATTTAGTTCATAGCGAAACTGCAAAACCGATTACTCTGAAATCTTGTAAATATTTTAAGGTGATCGTAATCACGGTAAACCGTTAAGCAAAATTTAGTCGTTTATACCCTCCCAAAAAATTGATGACGTTATCTCAAAATTTTGCCGAATAAATTCTATCCAAAATATGCAAAATATCATTACATTATACACATTTTTATTTTAACTTATAAGGGTTATCATAAAAAAATAAAATTTTTCGAAAAATCTGGATTTATATTTACTTTTAAGCTATTTTTGAGATGTTTTTTCAGTTTCTTTCATTTTTGAATTTTTCCATTTTTCAAAGTTTCGGTTTCATAATAATCTTTCGTTTTTGCAATTTTAAGATCTGGTTTATGGAAAGCGAATTAAATTAAAAGTTCATCGCCACTGAGGTCCATTAATTGAGGTCCGTTGCTATGCAACATGTATGTTTTAACACTTTTAACCAATCACGGGCTCATATTTTAATTCCCTTTCCATAAAGCGTCCCTAATTTTCGATATTATAATTTTTCATTTTTCGCGTCTCAGTTTCTCAATTTTTAATTTTTCGATTTTTTGATTTTCATTTTTTTGATTTTATTCACAATTTTTCGTTTCGTTTCCTTTTTCTCAATGTTTCTTTCGATTTTACAATTTTTCGTTCGTTTGTTTCATTCTTAAAATTTTTCAATTCCTTGATTTTCCAATTTTCAAATTTTTCAATTTTGCAATTTTTGGATTTCTCAATTATGCGATTTTCCGATTTTTTAATTTCCAATATTTCGAATTTACAATATTTCCTTTTTTCGATTGTTATCCTTTGTTTAATTTGACAGATTTCTTGCCGTTTTTTCTTAATATGAGTAGCTTTCTTTTCACAACAAGAAGCTTAAAACATGTTGGAACTGGTCAATTTTTATAGAGAAATATGTATTTCGCAATTAAGCTCCGCCACTCGCTGTAACAACGAATGAAAAATTCATCACAATTGAGATAGGGGCGGGTGGGTGGGGTTTAATTTTTGTTTTTTTTTTGCATTTTTTTAATATATTGAGTTTTATTTCAACAACAGGATAGTTACCATGTTTTCAGTTTCTTGTTGGGAAAAAAGACTTCGTATATTAAGAAAAAAATGGACCAAAGATAAGCCCCGCCCACCCACCCAATCTCAATTGTGATGAATTTTTTTATTCATCGTGAGCTGAAGGGTGGAGCTTAGTTACAAAATCCTCCTTTTTCTACAAGAAATGACCATATAAAATATGTTTTTAAAAGGGTAGAATGTTCTAGAGAAATTTTGATGTTATAATTAAACTTCCTCCCCTTTAATCTTTTTTTATTTTTTTTAATATAAGTATAGGTTTTTTTTAAACAGGATATGATATGACATGTTTTCAGTTTCTTGTTGGGAAAAAAGACTTCGTTTATTAAGGAAAAATGGACAAATTATAAGCCCCGCCCACCCACCCTTTCTCAATTGTGATGAATGTTTTATTCATCGTGTGCTAAAGTATGGAGCTTAGTTACAAAATTATCACTTCTCTACAAGAAATTACCATATGAAGTAGGAGTATGTTTTTAAAAGGGTAGAATTTTATAGAGAAATTTTGATGTTACAATTAAACTCCTCCCCGCGATCTGATTAGGAATGAAAAACTTATCACAATTGAGATCGGGATGGGAGGGTGGGGTTTAATCTTTTTTTTTTAACATACATAGTTTTCTTTCAACAATAAGATGGTTAACATGTCATCAGTTTTTTGTTGGGTAAAAAGACTTCGTACATTAAGAAAAATTGGACAAAATATAAATAATATAAATACAAAATTTGAAAACAATCGACCCAGTACTTTCGGAGATTATCTGTCTAATAAAAATCCGGGACGGCAGACGGACAGACAGACGGAAACGGGAAACCTATATCTTCGTACTATTCCGGACACAAAATTTCAAACAATCAGCTTCTGTCATTTTAAAAACCATCATTGTAAATCACCCTTTATTGTCATTCTGACAAACATTCGTAAATAAATTTCAAATTTTGGCAATTTGAATTTATTTTGTCAAAATGCCGGCAGTGTCTCCAGTTGATAAAGCCCGAATTATAAGTTTTCGTAAAATTGGCATGTCGTATGGACAAATTTCGGCTCAGTTGGGTATTGCAAAGGCTACATTATACTCAATTGTTCGCAAGTGGACAGCGACTGGGTCTGTAGACCGGCACCCAGGTTAGGTGTTCGTAAAGCCACATTTACAATTTAATGTCAATGTAATGTGAAGTCGTTTGAAATTTTTTGTCCGGAATAGTACTCTAGGGGTCATGAAAGGTCGAAAAAACGTAAAAATTGAGAGTCGGCCGATGGACTCGATTACAATACTTTATATTAGGCAAACATTGTTGTCAAATGGAATTTTATCAAATTATTAGAAAAATAACACAACCATATCTTTGCACATTCTACATGAAATGGTAATTAAACATGGTCATGGCATGGGCGACAGAAATATTAACTAAAAGTTGTATTACTAGTTATTGTGATAATGAATGTGTTGGTTAGTTGTTAAACGTAGCAAAAGAACCAATTTTAAAATCATAAATCCACCAAAATCTGAGGATTTTTTTTACTATTTTTCCCAGACTCACCAGTTGATTGTTAAGAGCGTAGCGGAGAGTTAATCCGCTAATTTCCAGACACCCGGTATATGAATTGGAGAATAATTTAATGACAACGCTACTAGAAGTAAATTTTTACTTACCCTCTCAGTTTCCAGCCTTCAGAATCCAAAACCATGTAGCGATTATCTCTGGAACCCCCACCTGTTCCTGTGTATAGAAAATGAATCAATGGCACAGGTCTCTTGTAAGTTGTGATAACATAAACTTTTCTTTGGTGGGTTCTACCTAACCAATCAGCAAATTCTATAGTATTAGGAACAGTTGCGCTCAGTAACACAACACAAACATGCGCTGGCAACAAAATAAGTACTTGTTCCCAAACATGCCCTCTCTCTCGATCATTAATATAATGAACTTCATCAAATATCACATACTCTAAATCACGAGTGATATCACTACCACAATACAGCATTGACCTCAGAATTTCTGTGGTCATAATTAAGCAAGAAGCGGTTTGGTTTATTTGAAAATCACCAGTAATTAAACCAACATCTTTAAACTCTTTTTTAAAATCGCGATATTTTTGATTAGATAAAGCTTTAATAGGGCTAGTGTAAATAGTTCTTGTCATGTGTTTTTGTGACAATGCAATGGCATATTCAGCTACAACTGTTTTACCAGCTGAGGTATGAGCAGCTACAAAAATATGATTATGTTGTTCTAACTGTAAAATGGCCAATTTCTGGAAAGTATCCAATTCAAATGGAAATTGGTAGGCCATTTCTGGTATTCGTTCTTTAAAATCTCTAACTGGTTTAGAAGTATCAAGAAGAATAGCCCATTCAGTGCTTTTAAATTCAGTAGGAGGCGGTATTGCGCTAATGTTTAAAACAGGGGGGTCATTAGGCAAAACTTCGTCCTCTTCTGGAAGTGTATCGCGTTTTTCGGTTTGAATAATTTCTTCACCATCTGTTTGTTCTATGGCCTGACTTTGTGGGGATCCTGCAAGTTTGATTTAAAAATAGTGTAAAAAAAAGTTGATCTAAAATTACCAGAAAAACCATGTTCTTGTATAATTTCTAACAAGTTAATGACGTCAGATGAATTCTCAACATATTCTTTTTCTGCAGGTTTTTTATCTTTTGATAATACTGTTCTTCCATCTTTATCAAAAATAATCCCTCGGGAAAAACCAGGTGGTATTGTTAATAACTCTGTAAGTGAAAAATTAGTTTTAAATAATTTTGGAAGAAAAATATGAACCAGTATCTAGGATTTCTTGTTTTGGCAACTGTGAAACTAGATCTGGAAAGCTGCCTGGTTGAAAGGGTATGTATGATGCATTGCCTCTGACAGCTTCTGATGGAGGAGCAGGTGCTCGGTTTAAAGACATTGAATTCTTAGCATTGGCTCCAGTTGTTTGAATCAGTATTTCTTTAAATTCAATTATTTCGCCAGTATTTGGATCGCGTTGTACCTATGGAATTAATTCAGAAAACTGGTAGAAGTGTATTCAAAATAATAAACCTTTAATGTGGTGCATAAGGGAAACCCTTCATAATGTAGTAAATCTTTCAAATTTGGCTTTCGAGGCCAAAATTCTTGATTTCTTTCATATCTGTGAATAGGGAGTCTTTCTGGACAAATAACATAATCTTTAAGTACTTCAGTAACGTCAGGTAAAATTGGAGGTAGATCTACTTCCAATTTATCCTACAAAAACATTTAATAAAATTACAATTTAAAAGGATATATATTTTCGTACCATGTTTGAGTTATGTTTAAATTACGGCATGCATTTGCTAAATTTTTGATAGTTTTAAATAAAATGTGTGGGTTATAAGAGGTTATGTTTTATCTAAGCAATCACAGAAATGTCAGAATGTCAGAAATAATTGTTGTCATTTGTAAGTAGCACCAACATTCCATAAAATTTCAAAATATTTTTCCGAGATGTGTGCTTGTAAATGCCGTTTGTTTCACCCTTCGAACATCTCAATTTTATTTTCTCATGTAACTGGAAAATTTTATTACAATCTGAAACGTAATAGATCAATTAAAAAATTATGTTAAATCTAGCTGTAATATTTTTTTGTTGGCTATTCTACAAAGTTGACGGGGTCAGCGCCCTCTCTCATCAGATGTTTTTAATCTAGTAATGGGGTTTAATTATAACCTTCGAAATGGGAGGTAAATATTTGTAATTAAAGAATTTCCTCGAAATAGCCCCACACTCTAAAAAAAACCATGACGGCTCGAAATCCTACAACTTTGATGGCAATACCACCAGAAGATAACTTCGACTTTTTATTTAAAATTGTTTTAATTGGGGACTGTGGAACTGGAAAGACTTGCATAGTACAAAGATTCAAAAACGGAACTTTTATCGAAAGGCACGGTAATACAATAGGTGTGGATTTTTCAATGAAAACTGTAGTGGTTGATGGAAAAAAAGTCAAGGTAATATGATTTAATAATGACCATCGTTTGTTAATCATGCACTGTAACAGCTACAAATTTGGGATACCGCTGGACAGGAAAGATTTCGTACCATCACACAAAGCTACTACAGATCTGCAAACGGCGTGATAATAGTTTATGATATTACAAAGCGATCTTCATTTTTGTCAGTGGCCCGATGGGTGGAAGAAGTTCGTCGATATTCAGGCAGTGCTGTACTCTTAGCTTTGGTAGGTAATAAAGCTGATATGGAAAGTTTAAGAGAAGTCGAATTTGAAGAAGCCGAAGTTATGTGCCAGTATATGCCTGAAGTTTTGTTTGTGTTAGAAGCTAGTGCAAAAGATAACTCGAATATTGAAGAAGCCTTCCTTTGTCTTGCCACAGAACTAAAGGTAAGTCTTATTAATAATTATTAATGAAAAAATAACAGCGTTTATGATTGTGAGTTTTTTAGAGACGACATGACAACGGTTTGTTGGGAAATGATGATGATGAAGATACTGTCAAGTTAGGTGATAGTAAAGCAGTGTCAAAATGTAGTAGTTGCACGCAAAAATTATTTTAAGTAGTGTGATAGCATAACACATTTGTGCCTTAATAATTATTACTTTTTGTTTTATATGTGCATTTTTAAAGTTAATCTCTTTTGAAATTTTACAATGTTTTGTAGATATTCTCATGAATATGGATGTACTGACGAGCTAATACTCACGTAAAGTTAAATGATATGTTTCAGTAATTAATCTTAGGTTTTGAAAGGTGATATTTAACTGTTACGTAGTAGTTATACCTATTGATATGTTGTTGACAAGATGTAATCTAATTTTTGATATTTAAAGTATTTATTGTGTGTGGAGTAATCGATCAATGATTTTATTAGCTTTAGTGATTTTAATACAGTAAAAAAATGTGGAAAATATGTAACAATAATAATGATAAAAAATTCATTTATGCCTTTTTTTATTACCATATTAACAGTAAGTAGGTCACATATATTGTAAGCAGGTTGGTTTCTTGATAAACAAGTTGTTAGAAGGCTGCAACATCTGTGGTTCTAGAATTTTAATAATCGTCTGAAACGCCATCAGACGTTTTGTACTACAATTGTGTATAACGTTTCTTGTCTGTGTATTATGATTATGACACTGACCTAAAATTAAGTTAACTTCCCTCGTCTCTGAAGCACAGTAAATCTTACATGCACGTTAGAACGTTATTTATACATTTTTCGTAAGAATAAACATTTTCTACGAATTTTTGAGAAATTAAATGAATTGTTTTTCAAATAATAGAAACAGTAATGACGATATTTGAAGAAACAATGAGCTCTATTGATAACTGGATCAATGGAAAAAACGAAACATCTAAAAAATCGGTGTGATTAAACACTTTGCATCTAAAAAATCAAATGCAAGTACGAAAAAAGTCGTCTAGTAGGTTATGAAATTTATTTTTAAAGTAATGATGTTGGCATTACAGTTATTTGACCGTTTACTGTCAAACAGCAACAAACGCGTTGATGTTGCCAACTTTATAATTTTAAAAATAGATTTCGTAGTGTGGTGTCCAAATTTGAATTAAAATTTCGCGCTGAAAAAAAAAACAGCGGCGCGAAATCGTATTTGAATAATTTGAATTTGAGAACAAAAAAAAAATCAATCAAGAAAATCGTTAAACATAGGCAACCATGTGCACGTTTACTTCTTTTCTGGTGGCTGGTAGCTCTACTAGGGAATTTTAGTTAGAGGGTTGGTAGCGAAAAGATGACTTGTTTGGTAAAGTGTAGGTGGCGCGTTACTTTGTTTCGTTTTTACTTAGTTGGTTTGGTAGTTAATAAAAAAGGGAGAGCCTTTGTTTAACGAAAATTAACCGTACTGATTGCGATGCCACAGTTTTCCCCAACACGTGTAGCTAATTCTTGCGGTTTTTCCAAACGGAAATATGAGAATTTTCCACCGACGCTAACACGTGGTGTAAATTTGTTTTATTGTTTGTAAATTCACAGTTCATGTGAGGATTTTAATCGTTAACTAGTTCTAACGCAATTTAACCGTCAGAGATTGTTTAGATACAGATTTCATGAAATTCACTTAGTCAGGGCTGCAGGGCTCATCATTTGTTTATCGAATTATGAATAAGGTTTCTGGATGCTTATAACACTTCTTAATTCGTCACACAAGATTGCTAATTGTTTATTTACGGCAGATAAATCAATCTAACGTTGTCCCACTCTGGTAAAAGGATCGTGAAAGTACGGTAGAATGCATAATATCGTGGTCTGAGGTCCGGGGGATTATAAATGTTTCCTTTTAGGCAGTTATCATCGTTACCATCATCACATCACCGAGACATTTTTCTCGCAACGTTGAATTTACGTAATCGACAAGCTTTTCTCGCAACGCCGGATGCATTTTGTGTTTATTTATAATGTGTTTTGTTTGGGATAAGTTGGGGACAGTTCACGATATAAACTCTCCAAGCTAATTGTTTTAAGTAAGCAGTCATTTGGATCAAGGCAAGGCATCATTTAACATAATATATTCTTTGTTTGAATCTTTGATAAAGTGTGGCATAATTTAACATAATGTAAATTCGTTGTTTGAATCGTTGATAAAGTGTGCCATAATTTCACATAATGTAAATTCTTTGCTTGAGTCGTTGATAAAGTGTGACATAGTTTAGCATCATGTAAATTGTTTGTTCTGGCAGAGGCCATGTTGAAAGGGTTTTTTTTTTAAACCAAGCATATGTTTGAACTGTAAAATCTCGTTGAACAAATGAACAACATTGTGAGTCATGAGGGGCGTGCATTTTATTCCTTTGATTTAGACCATTATTTTTACCCGAGGCCCCAGATTGTCTGCCATGTTTTTTTGTTTATGTGTTTGTTTGGGGGGATGTAAAACACACAATGCAGATGGATAACTTCACTTTTATAAATTAACCAATAACTCGAATGGACACAAAATATTAACCTCATGTAAATTTGTTAGCTTTGCAGTTTTCACCTCATGCAATTTTTCTTTATCTCACAATTTTAACTTCAGTATTTTTTTTTTTTTTGTTGTATAATTTAAATTGAACGTAAATTTTCATGCTCTGCAGTTCCTAACCTCACGTAACTTTTTATCTACACAAGTTTTATTTCACACCAGATCTTTTTTGACGTGACAACGTCTTATAAATCGATGGAGCCGGCTGCACGCACGAAAAAGCATGACTCATGCGGCGTTACCTCGCTCTGTCACGATTTAGTCAATTTTAAAATACGTACCCGGTACGGGACGCCGTACTTCATAAATTTCGAACGCCGTAATACATAAATTTCAAACGCCGTACTTTATAAACAACCAACGCCGTACTTCATAAACGACGAACGCCGTACATGTACTTTTAAAAATATTTCCGTTGTCACGTTCAACTATCGTCAGTAAACCGACTTTACAGACAACCGAGTTTTTTTTACGTAAATATTTTGTTGATTAATGCTTCCATCATATGTAGAAATCGCCTGATGTCCAATCTTATTAATCCCAGATAAGAATTCGTTGTTGTTTAAAATTTCGCGGGAGCGTATGGCGAATTTAAATGTGGTTTATTATGTTGTTTTTGAAGCTTTAACACTTGTTCAGTTGAAGTTTAATCTCAGAGTCATTGAAAGTGAACATTTAAAGTGGAATTGAGGTAAATAACACAGAGACACGTGGCCGAAGCGGAGAGCGTGGTTCCTAGCCGAGTTGGCGGGATTTATCGCGCCATCTGCATAAAAGCCGCAGGTCTAGAATAGAAGTCAGGGGCGGTCGGGATGACGTGACGCTGTCGGCTTGTCCAAATAGCCGGGACCCAACCACGAGTTTGCGACCGTAACGACCTGCTAGCGCGGCACCTTTCTTCGTTAGATAAAGGGGTGCTACGCGGTATGTGCTTGCCGATAGAGTAAAATCACCGTCGTGGTGGGAGAACAGTCACAACCAGGAGCCCCAAACTCCGCTCGTGCTACAACGCCATCTATGGGTAATTTTGCTGTGCTTTAGAATGAAATTGATACAGTTCGATTGCCACACTCTTATAACGATCCAGGTGCCGCCTCACTTTTGGGGTCATAAGCTTTCACGAGGAAGCGCTCTAGTGCCGCTGCCGCTGCATAGTTTTTATTAAAATTTTGTTCTCTTGTTGAATGCCATAATTTTAAATTAGTTAGTTACTTTCCTTCAAATTTTTCTTTGCTTTTATTAAATTTGTGATATTCAGATATTTGCATTGATTCAGAACGTTTAATTTGATTTCATTTAAAGTAAGACAAGTTTTTTTTTGTAGCTGAGCACTAAGAGGTATTCAACCTGCCCAACTTAGTCGGAGCTTTTTTTTTCTTTTTTTTTTTTCGTCAGGGAAGGAATACATGATTTTGTGTCCTCCATATATTTTGTGTTTTATTTAGCGGTAATTTTCCAACCTTGGGGTCCACCACTTGCATCTGAATGCATTCCGCCACAAAAAAAATAAATACAATGCAGGATTCCATGTTGTTAGACGATCACACCCAAAGCCACATTTTTGAATTTCTGAATTTTTCGCGGGCTTTTTAAATTTTTTTCGCATGTCAATGTAAGGCGGGGTGTGTTTCTTGTTTTTTAATTCGGGAGACTCTTAGGTGCCCATGGTGTATTAATTTGGAAGCCCATGGAGATCTTTTTTGTAAATTATTTAAAACAATTTTGGGGGACTTGGGTGTTTTATTTTTGGAAAATTTTGACCTGACCCGTTTTTGAGTAAATTTTGAGACCCCATTTTTTTTTTTTTTTTTTTTTTTTTTAATTTAAAACAATCTTGAGGTTCTAGGTGTTCCTGCTTGGAAATAATTTGATAGTGCTTTGGAGCCTCTAGTGTCTTTTATTGTAACAATTTAATTAAATTTCTTAGAAGAAACGTCATTTGCTAAAATCAGTCTTAACAGGTACTAGGCCCAGTCACCCACCCTCTCTTTTCTTAGAGCGATCTCATTTGCCAAAATCAGTATTATCTTGGCAGCTACTAGCCCCGCCCACCTACCCCCTTTTTTCTTAGAGGGTATGTTATTTGCCAAAATTACTCTCGGTACTTAGCAGACGACAACGAACAACCAGTATGAGAACAGCATCCAGGAAAATCCAGAAGACAAAAAAATGAATTAGCGGTTAGCAAGAAAGAAATTTCTTTGTCTGAAACTGCTAGATAAGATGATAAGGGGATTCTTGCGTAGAGTTTCATCTTTTGTTACATAGCTGGTAACTGCAACTAAAGTTAAGAATTATTTGTCATTATTTATGGTGACCGATGTGAAGTGTTGAGAATACTTTGGAACAGGAAGCGTCTAGAGCGCAACGTTGTGAACGGAAGTCTGACTCTGAACTTGAGTGGCTAGTAGAAAACAACCACTGTTGAGATCCAAAGAATAGTTAATGTCAGAGCGTTAATTGTTAACAGTTGTTATAAAAATAGGATTTCAATCAAGGTTTTGGATTTTTTACCACTACTAACACAATTAAGTTATTATTTGAGTGAACAAACTGTTAAAAAAGTCGGTGTCGTGGGGATAATACTGTTCTGTGTTTATAAACCTTTGTTTTCTGTTATGTGTTTATGTAACTTATTTCCCCATTAATTTCTCCTAAAGTGTAAATTATAAAATGATGAAAATATATACAATTTCCAAATAATGGCGAATACGAGTCATCCAAATTGCATGTTTCCGTGATTCCAGCTAGATGACACCAATTATGCGTTAAACCGTTGTTTTTTTTATTGTGTGTACGTCTGCTTGACCAAGATTGTGTGGATATTTGTATAATTTACGCATTTTTGGTGACACACATATTTTGAAGTACAACCTCACTGGAAATATTTCCAATATTTTTCAATATTATTGCGTCGCTAATGAGGGATTCTATTTTGGTGGTAATGAAACAACTCTTACAAGACGTATACATATAATGTTTATTTACAAGATTTAAATTTACATTCTGTACAAGCAATATTTTTCAGAAACAGTTACTTAGATAATGAAGATAATAAAATTACGTTGTTGATATTCCCATCAAGAAATTTAATCGTAGTAATTAAATTATTTTACAGCAGTTACCTACTGCAGGCATGTAATCTGTTTAGGCAGTCGTACCATTTCCTAACGCCAAAGATATCCTACTATTTGAGCACGGTTCTTTCTATACACAATTTACCGCAAATCGTCTACACTGACTTAGTTTCATTCTCACCCGTTTAAATTATAATAAATTATATCACTATATTTTAGAACCATGGGTTTACTACATATTCTTTAGTGTGGTGTCGTAGGTAACTTTGTTTTCTTCTTCAATCACATTTTCTTCACTTGTTTCACTGAAAAACGTCACTTAGTAAATCATAAAAGTCGTTTTAAGTGTATACATACCTATAGTGATTATGCTTAGGGAGAAACAGGGATTTGGGGCAGTCTTTCATGTAAGGCCAACATTCAGCTGGTCCACCAGACTTGCCACGACCCGCATTTTCAGCCTCTACATACTCATTTAGTAATTCTGAGTACGGCGATTTACTCGCTCTAAAAGAACAATAAACATTATCACCGTTTCGAATTTACAAATAAACGTGTCGTCTTAAGCTAGGTACTTTGGTTGGTAATCACGACAAGTACCGACGATCTGCTAAATTATGTTTAAAATTTTAACGGCAGGTAAAGTGTGTTAGTACTCGAATGCATGCGTTTTCGTAATTACTAATTAGATTTACTATGTAAACAATAATTTCTCCAATTCATTATGCTGAAGAGCAACTTAAGAGGCGACACATTTTTATCGAAGGTATTTGATTAATTTCTACTTTTAGTGACACACCTTATAAAGAAAAACTTTTGATTTTTCTAATTGTTTAAATGGATGCTTTCAAAACTGATAATTTTTGTCATAAACGTAACAAAAAAAAAAACTGTGTACAACAAACAAACATGTTGTAACTTTTTGGGACTACACGGTGGTTTTTAAACAGAAAAATGCTCTAGTCCGGTTTCATTAACGACCAGCTTCTCTATTTTATCGCCACTTGCGTAGTACTTAGTCATAAAATTAAACGGTTGTTCGAAAAACGGGCGTACATTTTTCGTTGTATGATTTTACACTCTATTAGTACTAATACAACATGAAGAAATATAACATTAACTGTTTTTCATTTAATCAATAAATTGAATTGCTTCATTCAATAATTTTTGAGATACCCTGTACAAATAATAGAAAAGTTTTTGGAAGATAAATTCTGACTGACGATTTACCACGTTTACGATGATGTTAAAGCATGTGCAAAATTTGAATGCAATTATTGGTTGTAAAATTTCTAAGACAAATTGTAAAATGTTGTATCATTTTGCATTTTTTTCTAAAAATCTACATGTAGGTATAAAGATAAGAATAAAACTGGATTAATAAATCAGAGGTATAGAAGCATATTATTTTGAAACGACGTCATCACATGTTTGGTGGGGATGTACAGACAAACTTTAATTATACGTTTACCAGTTGCACCACACATCCTTGAAATACGTCTAATATTTTATAACAATGTTTCCAGTATTGTCGGAGATTATTTCTCTAATAAAATAATGGGTAAATAGACGACAGACAAACTATAGACGAAGGGAAACGGGAGATCTACTTTTTCTATTTCTATATAAGCTATAAAATGTCGAGAGAGAGAATTAAATTGCCAGACAAACTGATTGTATTATTCAGATCACATTTTAACAGAAAATTTTTATACTTGATTAAAAAAACGTATGCCATTATTTGAAAATAAGTACCTACAGATAAAACAAAGTATAAGTAAAGGGAATTAACTGTAAAAAAAGTTCAGATAATACTAGATGAATTGAATCAACGAACAAATATTTTTAGTTGTCGCCATCAAAACTGTGACATCGTCGAGGTATTGTCTAGGTAGCACACATAAGATGGATAAGTTTGAAAGTGTCAATCAAAAAGTCTCAAAACTGTAATTAAAATGTTCGTCCAATTTTATCAAATTTTAATAGTATGTTTTTTTGTATTTAATGTTTCTTGACTTCTGAGTTTCTTCTAACTCAGACAAAATTTAGCAACAATCAAAATTTTCAGGAGATTCGTATTAACTGTCTTCACACCATATAGTAAAGGGAACGTTGACATTCAGATCACTAAAAAAAAAAACACAAGTGCGTATTATTATCATTTTTTTTTTAATCTTTAATAAGTGTCACGTGCACCTGAGTCTGAGTTCTATATAAAAAACCAGATTCCTGTAGTGATCATTTATAAATTGAATTTAGACGTGAAAATCACGAATTCTCCACTTTCTACTTCACCTGTAGTGAATTATCTACAACTGAATTATGTTTTAAGTAGAGATGTACCGACTGTAGGTCTGGCCGACTAACCGACTAGCCGATTGTTCGGCCAGTAAAAACCGACTAGTCGGCCGACTATTCGGCTTTGCTAAAACCGGTTTATAAATGCGACAGACAGTGTGTTTTTTTTTCTATTTCTCTGACTACCTTAAAAATTTGTTTTTATTAATAAAGGGAATAACTAAAGTTCCTTTGTTTTCCAAAAAATGTGTTAAATTTATTTGGATAATTTTAACATTTAATTTTTTGTAGTAACTCAGTACAAAAATAAAGAATAACACAATTTAGGGCCAGTTTATACAATATTTTGACTGAGATTAAGTTGATCGCGCATTTAACAAAGCCATTAGCGACGTCTGATTGGCGTAGAGTCGGTCACATGGTACTTCAACGAGGGGTTAAAAATTAAATCGCAATTAAATATTTAATTGAGGTTGTGTAAACCGGGTTTTGTTTTATATACTATTTTAATTTTAATAAAAGAAGCCGACCGATCGGCTGTTTAGCCGACCAGTCGCCGACTGCAGCCGACGATGAAAAACGGCCGAATAGTCGGCTTATCCGACCGGTCGGCCACTAGTCGGTACATCCCTAGTTTTAAGTCATTCATTTTGGATACAATCCATTTAATCTAGATCTTATATTAGACACATTATTGAGCAGTGACAAATGTGTTACTATTTTTACATTTTTTTTGACGTAAATTAGACAAAATACCAATACAAACTTAAAACGTGGCTTCATACTTATTTGGTTAAAAATTTTATTATTAGGTTTAAAGGGAATACCTAATTCATCTTTTTAAAAATGGTCGTATCTCAGTGACTCGAAAAAAGCCATAATATTATTTTTTTTAAATACATATCCGTCTTTTTATTTTGTTTTCTTAAAACTATTAAATTTTAGTTTAGGGTTAATTTTGGGATTCCTAAAATTGTGATAAAGTATATATTTATTCGATTTTAAGTGTTGTACAGTAATGAATGAAGTTATGAGAAACTGATATTAATAACTTTGAAATAATTGTCCAGTGTGAGACACAAATATAAATAAAAAAACAAATTATTGGTATATTTTGGACATTTCTAGAACACAGTAATAGGTACCTTAAGTTTCCAAAATAAAATTATTATAGTATTTTTTCACCTCACTGAGACATGAAATGTACTATGGTTGTTATGTGCATGCATTTGCTAACCACAAACTTATAGATCTTTTGATGCAGCAATACCAAAAAGTACACAAACTACATATATTTCAAAATCTAAATAATACTTACGTTAAAAATAATTTCAGCATTTCCCCTACGAGTCCAAAGTTTTTCAATGGATGAGCGTGTACTTCACAAATTGCTCGTAATAGGCAAGCTTTACCGTCCATTCCAAAACTTTCCAAAAATTCTTCTAAAACTACATACAATAATGCTCTCTCACCACCATGAAACGCATGTTTATATTGCTCAGGTGGTTGAGGAGTAGCATCTTGTAGTGATCTCTTGTTTCTACTTCTTTTTCGATGATCTAAGAAACTTCCTATATAATCTGCTAAAATTCCTCCTGCCGCTCTTCCCATAGAGCGTGCTAAAACTGGAGGCACTACACCAAAAGGATTTTCGTTGTCGGTTAAACCGAGTTTATTAAAGTCAACTGTAAAAATCAAAATAAGGAAAATGTGTTAACGATAACAAATCAAAACTTACTCGTGAAGGGTAAACTGACAGTCATGTTGGAAAAAAATCCATCGGGGGGATACCTAACAAATGGCAACGATAAAGAAGGAGAAATGACTAGAGTGGTGCCTGGAGGTAAAGCCAATCTACCATCGGCTGTTACCCACAATATTCTTTTTTGTCTAGAATGAATTTCTTCCTTGGATAGGCACGAAGGTAATAAAAGAGATAGTATTACGAACGATATGGCATTTACTTCTCTCCACATGTGTTTCCTCGGTAGTAAAATCTTCATCCTGAAATAAAAATGTAAATTCAGAATCTGAATATTCGAGAATGCTCACAAAGCTGTTAAACGTAACCCAAATTCATCCAAATCCCTCACCCAAAAACATCTTAATATGGCAACCGTTCCTCGCAAAATAAGCTAAAGTGTTCTAACGGAAAACGTCAGAAATAAATCAGCATTAGCGATTGCGTCGTTTCCGAATAGCGCGAGTCACCTCAGTGCTCTCCTTCGGGTCCTGTTTTGTGCATAGCAATAAAGTTTGATGCGAAGCTGCAAAGCTGCGCGTTATGTAATAGTCTCCTTCGACTTTCAAGTCAAGTGCATTTCTTCTGAATCGAAACTAGGTAATCGTGGGATTTTTACACATGATTACGCAACTCAGAACGAGTTCCACAACCTTGACCGAATCATTTGCAGTCCTCGGCGTTTTGCAAATTCTTTCGAATAATTAACAGTTCAATTCCTGCATTTCAACAACGCTTATTGATATGACGGATGTGTTCGAACTTTCGAGCCGACTTTGTAGGGCGTTTTTCCATTCTTGTAACTCATCCATCAGTTCCATCACGTTCTTGAAACAAAGACAGGAGGCTACGTACCCGTTATTAAAATGCCAAAAGAGGGCAATGAGTTTAAGTGGGTGAATTATAGACTAGACTGGCGAGTGTTCGGAAAATCCGGTATTTTCCAGCCTCATCAGTGTCGCGCTTTTTTTTTCGGGAAAAAAATCCATATGTTTATTGATAATAATTAAACGCCACTATCGCATAACGGTCTGAAATTATGATGTAAGAAACACGCGATGGTGTGTACTACTTATTGGTGGTTCCTGGTATTTTTTTTCTGATCGAGTCAAAAATGTCGGTCAGGTGCAATTTGCGAAAAGAATTGATACTTAAACGAGTTCGTCATTAAGATGCGAAACAGGTTATGTAAAGCCGGTACGATAAAAAATTCGAGGCACCACCCATGCTAGGTCGTTTTTGGAATCACATTATGATGTAAGATGGAAGATATGTTGACGAGAAAATTCTAAGTGATTGATGGAGTTTGATTGATTGAATAACCATGCAAAAGTACCATGGACAATCGATTCCATAAATAAGTCTCTTCAACGTTTATTGCTTGTCATGTGTGATAAATTTCCATTGTCCCGTTTGATATAAATGGGAAATTTGCATTAATTAATGTACTGATAGAATCTAGTAGATAAGTGTGGTAATTCCATAGATTATTCTTTGCTCGAACCACGAGTATCTAATGTCCATACTATGCTTTGATTAGATATCACACTAAATTTTATTTCATTTTTATCTTGTAATAATTAAACATTCTACAAATTTTTTCACACCATAAGAGTAAGAATTATTTTACTTTTTAAAACCTAAAATTTGACTTTAAACTCTGTCGAATTTTGCAAAAGTCGAAAATTTCGGTAATTCCACATTAGCGAAGATATACACTGTTACTTTTGGGTTCATCTGAAATGATTAATTGGGAATAAACCAATGTCCTACAGGGACGCACCGTTTGACCCGATGAACAGTAAAAACCATAGATCTGCCTTTCTCTTTTTTTTACAGCAAATTATATGCCAGAAAAAATCTAAAATATGAGTAATTATAGTTTTAACTCCTTCTTTAAGATATATGAATTTTATTTCACTGCCTCAGAAACAGAAAACTGAGATGTGGTAGACCAGGTTATTAAATAATATGAGTTGCAAAGTCTCTGACACAAATTTTTTTAGGTAGTAATTATATGTGTTAACTACAAACGAAATAAAAAAACAAAGAAAAATGTTTCTTCTTACTAGATTTTGAGATATTCTCAATAGTTTTATCTATTTGTTGTATTTTTACTTTTACGCTTTACTATGTTATCATTTTATGTTATCTTAACTGAATTAAATGACGTTTATTACAATCAAGATTTTAACCCACTGAATTGCTTCTGTAATAAATAAATATCAACATACAAGTAAGGAGTTTTCCGAAAGAGTACCAAACCGGTACCTACATATTTGGAAATGTACACAGTGCACCAGAACCATTATATAACCATAATTATGGCATTTAGAATTATACATTTTTCGGATGTTCTGCAAATTTTACATGTTTCTTTCCAACAGAGTTGACAACACACATTGCTTTTATTTTTTGATTTGTTTATAATTATTATCACTGCAGTGGGTTTATGTCAATTAACCTTCGATTTTGAAATACTTGAGATTTTTTAAGACCTCATCTAATCTTTTTTAATCTTTATCGGCACTGACGGCACTGCGTCGATCGCTTGATAAACGATGTGTTGTAAACATTACGCATTTTATTAAAAAACCGACGTTTTACTATCCATTTTTGTTGTATTTTTATCCAAGATTGTGTCACCATTTTCAGTACAATTTTTTTTAGTGAAAGTACATCGAAATTGTTTGGAATTTCAAAAGAAAGAAGTGCAGTACTAAATGAAGGCGAGCCATTCTTTATCTCATGTGTATTTTTAGCTTAAGTGGGGTCTGATAAAACTGGAATCATATACGACGTAAAATTACATTATGAGATTAAATATAATGATTTTGAAATAAAAACTATATGAAGTTGAGACATATTTTTCTAAAAATAATTTCTTAACCCACATAATTTCACTCTAAACTATACTGAAACAATGAAGTGTACTAGCGAAACAATTTTTGACCAGACTTTTGTATTATTATTATTAATCTTGGATTTTTTAATAAAAAGATTCAATTATTGAAGGTATTATATTTTCATCATGACAACAAAAAACCATAAAACAGTTCTTTATTAGGAAAAAACAAGTTTTTTTCAAACTTTTCCTATCACTCTTAATCGGCAATAAATTATATTGCACTTTGTAATTAAGAGATAATGTGGGAGACAGTATTTTTAGCATTCGTGTTTTTTGCAAGCTGTTCTGCTTTGTAGACATACGATTATCTTTTCTTTTAACACGTTTTGTACAAACTTAAAGCATGCGAATCAGTGTGTTCAGCACGCACTCTATTCAAAACAACTTTCATCTAATTTTTATTCGACAGGAGTCGATAAGAAATCGATTCTGCTTTTTCTTTAAGATGCTTAAAATCGATGTTTTATGCTTTTAAGTGAAGTTTTCTCTTTTTTAATTTTTATATATGGTATTAAAAAATCTTGATGTTTAAATCGTTATCAAATTCCAGCACAGTTTTGGGCTGTCATTGTCATGTTAAAGTTCAAAGAAAGAAGTACCTAAATTTAGGTGGACCCACTTAATAACTGTACAGATTGTGATACGGACCGTGTTGCAATAATGTACTTACCATATTAGTATTTACATACAACACCCACGGTTGCTGAAGGACTTGATCTGAGCTGAAATATGTTCATGTACAGTACCACACATTGTATTAATTTTAATATAACAATAGTGATGTTATTCATACTTAAATGACACTACGTTCCACATACATATTATGCTTGAAGTATTTATATGGAATCTGAGCCCAACGAACTAGAACTTAATTCATTTATTTTACTTTCAATTAGAATTTATAATTATTTAGTAATCGCTTAGTTGAGTTCTCCTGATAATTATTGCTAGCCACACAGTGCACTCCAATATTTCCATTAAAATAACCTTTGTCATTAAAATATTTTGTTAGCCTTATCTTCATCGAATAAGGGCGTTAACGGTCACACCTGTTTCAAATTTGCAGCATCGACCTAGCTAGACAAATAACTGAGTTGACAGAACTAGCAATGTAATAAACACGTTATTAACCAGCTGATCTACATAGATAATTTTACGATTAGCATATACTCAAATTGAAGACCTCGTGCTTGGCACTCGCTTAACTGTACAGCGTGCAAAAAAAATCTTGGCAAAATCATCCCGGCAGTAATTACATTGGAAACTGTTGTGGATGCAAGTAATTTTTACAGTTGTTTGTTAGACAGCGTCCATAAGACGGTACCGTTTGCGAATACTATTAAAGTCGTTGAATTATTTATACGTAATCGCAATGTTACAGGAATATAAAGTTAACGTTCTTACTGGCCCAAAATGTCAACCTGACCGACTAATTACCGACACACATTTATTATTATTATTGTCACACGAAACGCATAGAGAGTGAATCTGCTCATTTAAATTTCGTGTTACGATATCTAGCGCATTCTTGGAGCTTAATTGTGTTTGTGGATCATTTTGACGCATTTTGTGGAAACCATTTAATAAAAAGTGCCATTTTCGTTGAGTCTTGGAATAAATCGTAATTTAATTTTGAACTGAGGTTGCTTCAAAGTGCTGTTAAAAGTTGCCAAGATCACGTTCGCTGGTAGATAAACACTTCAAATTAATAATAAATTAATTATGATGAAAGTGGAATCGTCAAAAGATTTTATTAAACTTTATTAACAGTGATGACTTTAGACTTTATTACTTATTTTGCTTCCGGAGCTATAGTTACGAGAATGTCTAATTTCATAATTTCTTGCGTTTTACATTTTGTAGAACACGAAAATATAAATTTCCTAATTGTTGTTATCGTCTGTTGGTAGTTCGACATGTATTTTATCTGTTAAAAATATCGAGTGACTATTAATGTTGGTATTTTTTTTTTGTTAGGTTGGCACATATTTAAAATTTTGTCAAATTGACATTTTGACACCAAGTTAGTTGCTGCCAACCAACAACATCACGTGTATTATGAATATCCAGAACTATACTGAAGTTCTTTGAAATTTTGATTAAAACTTTGGTTAAGAGATTAAAGAAAATTATATAAAATTTTATCGATCGCCTCCAGACAGTTGATGACTTCATCATCAATTATTCTGTATCAGAAAATCAATTTCTTTCATCCATTAGATTACCGTTACAAAGTCCGTGCCCAAAATTAAAATAATTTATCAGCACCAAAAACTGAGCAATGGTCACTAGATACATTTTGCTGAAAAAGGGGCTCCGATATGTGTATTTGTTATGCTTCAGGGGTGAGGGAAGTTTTATGTAGATAAGATAGATTTTTAACACGGGTGATTAATAAAAAACCGAAAAATCATATGTTTTATAAATAAAAAGTAGGTCAGACTTTGTGTGTTTTCTTTGTTGTTGTTATCGTTGTAGATATTATTGTTAACAAAATAACCTTAATTTTAAGCATCTTGTTCAATTTTTTCAAAGTTGAGCATATTTGTTATCTATATTTTTTAATTCAATTGTCAAGTATTAAATAAAGAAACTTTGAGCTAAACACTAAACAAGTAGATTAAAAAAATATGAATTATAGCTAAAATTTTGAAAACTTTTTTCTTTTACACTTATTTCTCTTAGTCATAAACGAATTTAGAATTTTTTGAAAAAATTCAGTGATTATGGCATAATTAATTTTAATTTACATGTAATAGTGGCCTAGAGTGTCTTAATGTTGTTGTATTAAAGTTTTTTTTTCTGTTAGTATATCTTAAGTTGCGTTTGTCACGAAAATTAATCACATTTTTGTAGTGTAAATTCAAAAATGAATGTTTATGAAGTATATGAATATATCTCTTGACGATAACAGAAATGAAAATTAGTCAGTGCTGTTCTGATATTAATAAAATATGATACCCAAAGACTTGTCTAAAAACGAATTTCCGTACAGAAAAAAAAGTACACACTATACATAGGTATTGTTCAAAATTGTTAGTAATTGTTATGATATAGAAATACATATAATTCACAGAATAGAATTCACTGGAACTTTGATAGTATTATATTATGATATCATTTATCAATTTATGTTTAGTTTTTGTGCAATATAATTGTGTACACGTGTCGCGAATCTTGTGATTCGGACATTTTGTAAAAGTAATTTCTTAATTACTAAATTATTATCTAATTAGATCATTATCACTTGTACAAATAAATAATGAATAATCTGATCAATATCATCACCCGAAATTTTGACACTTACAATTTAAGTTATGGCAGTTAATAATAATTGTTTTGTGTAGTATATTGATTATATCTAGGTGTTAATTAATTAAAACAATGGTTAACTTTAAAAAATTGTTAGTGAAAGATTAAAAACTGCCAACAAATCTCTCTTTTCATAAAACTCTGCCATTTTCAGTGTGAAAACTGAGTTTTGTATGACTTAAAAAAGAGTATTTATTTCAAATTCTAAACAGTTAGTGCAATAAAAAAACATTGTTACATTTGGCGTTGTTTTGTTTTATTATTGTTAAAAAGTATAAACAAATTTGAAACAGATTTCAAAATATGAAAAAAAAAAACAAATTTAATGCAAATGGTAATATGTGTAAACTATAAGTAATTAGTTGTCTTAGGACCAAAAGTCGATAACGCAGCTGTTTCTTATATAATAAGTAATAACACTTATACCATGTGCTCTCGAACGAATTCCCGCAGTACATTTTTTCGTATTATAAATCTTTAATCAGACAGCAAATCTCGGACACTATATTTATGTTAAACATTTTCTCTACACTTGACTTAAACACATAAAAATGCCTACTACTTAATTTATTACATCAAAATTGAATTTCAAAAAGTGGCTCAGTCTTCTTTTCTCCACTTTATCGATTTCTAAAAAGTTCGAACTGTCGTTTATTATCTCGAGAATTTGGAGAAATGAAAGTCAGTTTCGAACTAAAGTCAATAAAAATGGTGCCATTACCTCAAATCCTGCGTCTTCTACAAGTCCGAGACCTTAGGGGAAGCGTGGACTTCGTCTTGAAAACCCCAAAGCATGCTACACCCACGTTCTTTCGTCACCCTCATTCCTGGGGCTTGCACCAGTAGCCACACAACAAAAAACAAAATAATAGTGAAGTACTCTCTATGGTCAAGGTGCGTCTTTGCGAAACCGGCGAAGAGTTCTGAAGGTGCTTCGTCGAGGATTATTCGCGTGCGAATGCGCTCACTCTCTACTTCGCTGACCGAGTCCGTGGTGTACGCTGGCCAATTCTTCTGCAATCAAGCTCTGTCCTGACCAACGTCACCATTTCAGGATGTCGTCTGCTGAACTTACTGAACCAGTGCCCGCTTCGGGGCTGCGAGCCAAAGTAGATCACTGGTGTGTTTTTTTTCTTCGAATCGGAACGGTTTGGTCGTTTGTCAGTCGGCCTAAGGAGAAAAAATAACTGTTAGTGATTATTGTTTGGTTTACAAATTCGAGTAATACGTATTTAATTTGCATACTTTCTTTTTGATTCAAGCTGGGGAAGAACGTGTTTGGGTTACGTTTAAGCTTGGTGGATTTTATGCTAGCTGGTCATGGGCTTCTGTTATTATTTTAATGAAGTGTTCGAGGCGACTGCAAAACTTAGATCTAAATGGGTGAGGAATTTGCGTTAAGAGGTGAAGGCGCTTGTATGGTTTTTGGCGATAATTAACAGAACCACGTTGGGAAGTCGATCGAAGATGTTGAAAATTTTTTTAATCTCTTTGAGATTAAGAATGAGAACAACTCGGCTTTAAAGTTTTGCATTGTCACACTGCCAACAGGTGGGTCCAACTCGTGATGCAACTGTTTTATAAAGCGAATAAATAAAACATGCATTGTATCAGAAGACGTAACTGTAAACGTAATATCTTCGATCATAAAAAATATCTAATCAATACCACGATAACAAAATTTTTAGGTTTAGAATGTTTGTTTAAAATTTTGGGTTTTTCGTGTTACCTGTTTATAAAACCCCGGATAAACACTGTAAATTTAAAAATACCTGTTGTATATCATATAAATTTTATTTTTATACAAAAGCGTTATTAATTATTTTCTGCTTACTCTAGCTTAATAAGATTAATTAAGCGATTAATTTATCTAATTATATACCTTTTATTCTTATCTTGAAAATCGCAAAAATGAGAATAGAAATGATCCAGTTAAAAAATGTTTCAATATTTTATGGTGATCTTAATCCGCCACCGTGTTTTGAGGTGTGATATCGTAAGAATTGCCAAATTTTAAGTTAAGCAAATAATATTTGCTTTTTATGGCTGCCGACTATTACAAATTTGTACTAAATACACATTTTTCAATAATTTTAAGTTCAAGAAAAATTTGCACATATTTTTTCATTTGTAAGAAAAACAGTTTTCATTTTCATATCACGCAAGAAATTACGGTTCTTTTCTTCTTCTTCTTCTTCTTCTTCAGTCCAGAACTTGACTCACTGGTGGCGCAACTTTTTAAAACATTACGTTATATCCTTATGGAATGTCCTCAACTATTCTCTTTTTAGAAGATTCTTGAAGGGATTTTTCATAATATCTACTGTTCTTCCCTTAATTCTGGTCGTTTCGATTTTAATCTACTTATGTTCTGATATTTTATTGAAGCTTCTCTTCTTAATTCAACTCTGATGTATAGACATTCGATATGGCACTCTATCTTGTCTTTCTTAAACTTCCTTTGATAACATTTTTGCTTTAATTAACTGTTCCTCTTTGTGATTTTTTTGTACTTCCGCTGTCTGATTTATTTTTCCGTCACTTTCTAAATCATAACTATTGGCACGATCCGATTCGGCTATTTATTTACGAAAAATTCTTGTGCCTGATCTTTTCGAACAATGAGCAATTTTGCTAAATTACTGACTATCGTTCTCATTTACAAAGAAAAATCCAATATTCCTTTTTAATAGAATAATCTAAATCTAAAATTCTTCATATAGTCCCTTTGTAACTGCTGAATTACCTCGCAAAAATACAAATCTTCTTTCATTTTATCTCTACCAATGAGTCTGATGGAATTTTTTCGTTCCATTGTCGTCTGATGCTCTTTTCAATAGATTGTCTCTAGCAGTTCTAATTCTTGTTCTACAATATCCACGAAACTTCATTTATTTTCTTTTCCGTACTATCTACCTTCGTCGGTCTCTTTTTGTTTCTGAATGGATTTTCTAGAATCTTTTTGAATTCGCATCAGCTAACTTTTTGCGCTGAACAAAAGAAGTTTTCTAGGACATTATCGAATTTACAAGTAAACTTCTTTATTTAGTTAGATTAAAATTATTCGATGTCTCTATACTCTTGAAATTTAGTCAAAATTCTTTTGTCTTTTTTTTAATAGATTCTTTTCTAGCTGTTCTAATCTATGGTTCCTTACATCTTTCTCAGTTTTAACACTTCTACTTCTTATTAAGTAAACCGTAAATCGTGGATAATCAATTCTAGAAAATATGGATACATCATTAAACAATAAATAAAGGAATAAGGCACGCTATAAACTTCCGGTGAGAGTTATTCGACAAAATTTCAAGACAACCTCATCAGTTTTTGGAATAAGTGGATAGGTGAATTCTGAATAGTGATTTACTTTGTCCGTGATAAAGCGTTAATGTTAAACGATATAATTAAAATACATCTAAAAATGCATAACAATCAGTTCAGTAGTTTCGAAGATTATCTACGTAATAAAATCGCCAACAGACGATAGATGACATCTTTAACTAGATATAATAGCATTGAAAGAAGAAATTATGGAAGTACCTAAATTTTGGAACTATGAATACGTCTATACTAAAGAAATTAAATTTCGAGTATCAGAAGTTTTAAGTGATGTCCTAATTTCTCATAAATGATACTTGTTGTAGTATTTATTACGTATTATTAATCACCAAATAATCACAGAGTAACTCAAAACATCCTTGATTTTAGGATTAGATTAGAAGTTACGTCGTGTTTTTCACAGAATCGCAACAGTGATAAAATATAGAAAATTCAAGGAAAATATGGTACCTAACAACTAGTTTTTGCGTAATAGACGCAAGTAAAAGTAAGATAAGTTTTCTCTGAATATTTTTATTAATTATTTTCATTGTAAGCTTTCTAAAATTTACAAAGTTAAAATCCAAAGAAAATTAAAATCATTTGTACTAAATTTATTCAAATACTGATTTTTCCGCTTCTTTTAATTTACATACAAAATTACGGTTTTTATAAATATATAGATATATAGTGTGACAAAATAAAAAATTAAATGTGTCATGTATAATGGCATCACAAAATATAGTGGTTATTTTTTAACACATTTAAAAATATTTTGGTATCTAATGTACACTGTGTACGGTCGGTATAACCAACACATCTCTGTCAATCTAAATCAAAGCTGCTTAATTATAAGGCATATTCTGCATAACGTTCGGACTCTAGTTGATATAAAACAAAAACAGTATATTTCGGTTTTCACTTTTTTTCTTATTTGAGACCGTGACCCAGTAAGAAAAACCCGTGGCACGCACAACGGGACTCTTAATCAAATTAATTTTGCGAAGACTGGATTTCCAGATTTCGGTTTCATAAATGTGCGGGATGTAAATGTTTTCATTGGTCGCTGTGACTTGTCTTAGGAATTTTTACGATCCTGTTCCTAAGCAATTAGTGGGTGAGTCTATTCTATAAGGTATCACTTTGAAACACGGAATTATTTGAAGTGGATGAGATTTAATCTGGAACTTATCGACGAAAATAACACGAGAGTTAGATACGATTTGAAAAAATTGACAGGTGCTTGAAATTAGCTACTGCCACAACAATTACTGATACATTTTAGGGGTGTCGAAAAGCTTAACTGACGATTTGAGAGTAATCGATAAAGATACCTAAATAAACGGATTGTAGATAGTTTTCTACATGCTGTAAATAGTGTTAACACTATTTTTAAAAACGTATGAAAAATACCTAAAATAGTGAGTTCAGAAAGTTCAAATAGGGGAAGGTATGGCAAAGTGCGTACGAGCTAAACTCCTATATTATTTTCTAAATAAAAAATTCAGCATCAGTTGACACTGTTAGTTGTGATATATGTATAAGACAATATAATACATGACCTAATAAACATGAAAACGCTGGCTTAAACAAAAATAATTTGTTGTACTTTTTTTACTTTAAATATAAAATTTATTTCTGAATAATAAAATTTTTATTCCTGATACATATAACAGTAAACTAATAAATAGGTAATACGATTACATAGTACGAATAGTTTTGCAACTTCTAAGAGCCACACCTAAATTTAATCATTTATAGCGCCTGATATTTTTGAACTACTGTTAAAATGTTTTTGGCATTAGCATATTTATCAAGTCAAATGAAGAAGTATCTACTATGTACAAGAAATCCTTTAATGTGTTTCACTTTGTATTTCTCTTTTGTTTTAATAATTGAACTAGGGTGTTCGAATTTTTTGACAGAACTGTGTAGTTCTCTGTGATGATGCTCTAATTTTTATGTTTATGTCTTATTCATACTCTATTAAAAAAGATTAGTAGATGTTATTACTAATAATAGTAATAATAACACTATTACTTGATTTATTCGTAGGTCGTTGTGGTATTTGTGGAATATGAGGCTATGCCACTTTGGTTGTAAACAAACATGTAACGGATTATCATAAAAATAAGCCACAGAAATGTATGACTCTTATATTCGGGTAGAATGCGTAATTTTGTAACTGACTGCATTTAATAAGTAGGTATTGGAACCTTTACCCAGAAGTTATTTAGTCCACTGATACCTTCTCCACCAAAAATTGGTACTGCAATCGGTATACTTATATTTATCTCTTCCCCAAGACCCGTTGTGTTTTTATCGGCAATGCATTAAAACAATATTTAGGTCTTGTTAAATAATTGCATCATTCAACTTGACCTTATAATACGATGCAAATTTTCATTAAACGGTAATGCAATAAAATTCCATCGGCACTGTATCATTCGTGTTTTTGCAACATAACAGCTAATCGAACGAACACCTCAATCTCAGTTCTTGGGATATCTTGTAATTAATATAGAAGTGTCATTTCCGTGCTCTCGGTCTCTAATTGGGACGAAGACACGTCTAGATTTAATTGAAAATGAGAATGCGGCTAGATGCCATTATTTTTTTTGGTGGATTTTTGCCAAATGGAGTAGTACTGGAGGCTTGGTTGATACTGGAAAGAAGTCGCACATGAACCGGTGCAGTTCTACTGACCAAGTGTCAAACGAGACCGGTTATCTGAGTTGTTATTCTTATATAACGGACGGATTCTTTAATAATTTATCTTGCTTCGATTTAATTCCATGGACGTTCATGTGTGTACACGTCTTTTGCCGTTTCTTTGACTGATTCGAGACAAAGAAATAATTGGAATAAGCACTTGCTTCTGGGTTTTCGTAATTGGTGAGTATGGGTAAAGAACTGCTGCAGTAGCGGCTTGTAGGGAGCAAGTGTACTTTTTTTTTAATTTGACATACCTACATACGAAACAGTGTAGGAATGGTGTATTGCATACTTAAATATTTTTTTAATCCTAACTGCGAAGTTTGATAGTCACATGAGAAAGTAAAAGGTACCTCAGTCTTGTGGTGTGTACTTTATTTTTTAAACTTAAAATTAATTGGGCGTCTCAAAGACTGTCCTGAGGGTACAATTAAAGAAATCCATCAAGAACACAGTTAGAGCAAAAAATTTTTAATATTTTAGAACTCACTTAACGCACAAGCATATGTAGTTGATAAATTTAGGCGATTCTTAGTAGGTGAGAAAATGACACTGACGCTTTAGTTAGTTTTTGTTTCTACGAGGTCCTATCGAAATACATGTAAAAAAATATAGGTTTCACTTTTTGTGAAATCACAATTTTTTTTCAAAATCTAAATAGATTTATAAGATATATTCGTTATCGGTGTGAACCGTTTATTAATTAATTCCCAATCTGAAGCTAACTTCAGCGAATTTTAAATTACAACTAACGGATATTTAAAAATATGCATATGCGATAAAAACTATTTGTGAGCATAAACATTAATTTTGAAAGGTGCAACATTTAACGCTAATAGGAACGCTGAATTGGAAAGAGGAAAGTGATTTTGAGTCAATTAATGATCAGCAGTGGTTAGAAAGCCACTGTCTGATGCCAAAAAATCAGTTACAAGTTGCAAATGTCTTAACTTTTTCGAAATTTGGTTTCAAAACTTAGTAATTTGAAGTCAAATTTTCGAAGATTAAATAAAATACTGAAGCAAGTTTAAAGTCTGACACTTTTTCGGCGCTTTCCCAGTATTTTGTACATATATACAGTGGTGGCGTAGCGTGGTTTGGCACCCAGGGCGGTTTTCTATTGAGCACCCCCCTCATATAATAAAGCAACAAATACTGAACGTGCTTACGGGTCTTTATTTGAGCAAAATATTCTATTATGTTATCAAAATTTACTTTCCTCTTATTTTCAATTGATAAAATGGAAATATTGTTTAGTCGCGTTTAGCTCATTGTGGACCTAAAGCATGATTTAGTCAATTTGAATTTTGAAAAGCTTCTTCCATATAAAGCCACCAAATGGTTAAAAAAATCTTAGGGACAGCGCTACACTCAAAACAGACTCAAAATAGCCCCATTTTACGACGAATCAGAAAAACTCGAATGTAGTCCACTGAACCACTTCTTGGGAAGAAATGCTGGCGGCTTCCAGCTGGCGCCTCAGTCATAAAATATCCAAAATTATGACCTCTGCAGAAAATTCATCGTAGATTTTTATCAGATTTGGAACTAGTCCGTGAACATCTTTTTTTGATGACGTTAGCAGTGGGATTTACAAACTTATCTACTGTTGACGTTGAAGTTTTGTCATTTATAAACTCCGTTGGCAAGTTGGCGTTGATAGTAACTTAGATGTTCAAGTTTTGTCGTATTTAAAAGAATTGCAGAAGAAAAGTGAAGGATTTAAGTTGATTACTGCAAAAATTTACCATTTTAGATATGTTTTAAGTTTCCTGTTGTTAAAATAAGTCTACACATACTAAGAAAAAAAAAAAGGCAAAATGTAGCCTCGCCCACCCGCCCTATATAAAATTGTGATGATTTTTTTTATTCGTCGTGAGTCAAGGGGACAGAGCTTAACTGCAAAATTCTTAGTTCTCTACGAGAAATTAAAAAAATGTTTTTGAGTATCGTGTTATTCAAAAAATACTATGTATGTATGTACTATAATTGTGATGAATTTTTTGTTCGTTGTCCGATCGAGGGGCGGAGCTTAATTGCAAGATCCATATTTGTCTACAAGAATTTACCATTTTAAACATGTTTTAAGTTTCTTGTTCTGAAAAAACGACTACGAATATTAAGAAAAATAGGCAAACTACAAGCCCCGCCCACCCGCCCTATGTCAATTGTGATGATTTTTTATTTAATTGTCCAAAGCCAAAGGCGCGGAATTTAAATGCAAAATTTGTACTATTTCTCTAAAAAAGTACCATCTAAGACATTTTTTTGAGATTCGTGTTCTTCAAAAAATACTATATTAATATTAAGAAAAAATTAAAGCCAAAGATTAAGCCCTACCCATACCTGCCCTGATCTAAATGGTAATAAAGTGTTCACTCGGACCTAGGGGCGAAGCCTAATTGTAAAATCCATATTTCCTTACAAAAATTTACCATTTTAAACGTGTTTTAAGTTTACAAGAATTTGAAAAAATCATCACAATTGAGATGGGGTAGGCGGACGGGGTTAATATTTTGTCTTTTTTTCTGAAATACATAGTATTCTTTGGACAACACGATACTCAAAAACATGTTTTTAATTTCTTGGGGGGCTTACATTTTGCCTTTTTGTTTTAGTATGTGTACACTTCTTTTCAGAACATGAAACTTAAAACATGTTTAAAATGGAAAATTTGTATAAGGAAATATCGATTTTGCAATTAGGCTCCGCCCCATAATTGCAGAATCCAATTTTCTTGCAAAAATGTACCATTTTAACCAGGTTCTAAGTTTCTTGTTGAAAAGATGGTTATGTATGTTAAGAAAAACAAAGGCAAAATATAAGCCCCACCCACCCGCCCTATCTTAATTCTGATTATTTTTCTTTATTCATCGTAATCCGACGGGCGGAGCTTAAACATGCTAATTTTTCTAAGAGAAATTACCATGTGAAATATGTTCTTAAGTAATCGTGTTATACAAAGAGAACTAAATCTATTAATTAAAAAAGAAAACCAAAGGAGAAGCCCCACCCGTCCGTCTCGATGTCAACCGTGATGAATTTTTCATTCGTTGTCAGACCGAGAGGCGGAGCGAAATTGCAAAATCGATACATTTCCTACAAAAATTTACCATTTTAAAGATGTTTTACCTTTCTTGTTGTGAAAAGAAGACTACACATATTAAGAAACAAAGGGCAAAATGTAAGCCCTTGTACGTAATCTGTTTTTGAGACGAATAGAAATAAATCTTGTCGATTTAAATGTCGAGAACTATCTTTAAAAATGCATAAGTACTGATAGAAAGCTACACTGTAGAAAATGATGGCAGCCATTTTAAAATATGAGGGTTTCGGTGAACAGGTGATTAAATGGCTTAATATTAGTGAACCTTATTATCATAGTTGTCGTTATCACTCCTTGGTGCTTGGTACTCGGGGCGGACCCCCTTTACGCTGCCACTGTATACCTACATACCGAAAAAGCAATAAAAACACGATCGAAGATAGCCACAAAACATTTGTCTTTGATAGAATTTTCGCCTTGTTAGATTGTAGTCAATTTGAAAGTTTGAGTTAAAAATACAAATATCAAAGACAACTTTTAAAATCCGTGACTGCCTGTGATCGTGTTTTTTATGGTTCTTTCGATACATAATTACGGGTTAGGAATGAATTTGACAGTCTAGTGATGATCAAACTGACTTAAAAACTAACAAAACCTGTATGTACAAAGTCGATATGAAAAAAAAAAAAGAAAATGACACTTGTGAATTACTTGAGACTGCAAATGTACAAAAGACTAACAAGCTATTCACATTTCATCAAAACGGACAAGTATTTTTTTTTGTAGTTTGATTGATCATGTTATGATCTTTTACAAGTGAATATAAAATTACCTAAAATGAAAATTGTTATCTACTATTCAAATACTTATCATAATGTTGATGGATTAGTAGCTACTGTGGGACCCTCACTTAAGAATGTCAGTTATTGTAACATGTGAATTACCGTCGTAAGAAATTGCAATTATATAGTTAATAAAATACTCGAAAAGCAGTAAAAAATATCAGGAATCATCCAGTTAGTGTTTGTTTTTTCTAAATCATGATCAGATGTGTAATATTTTACATATTTCGGACATAGTATTGATTAAAAAGCACCAGTTTAACAATTTTGTCGTATTTGTAAGTATGTTTATAGTTGACAAGTCTATCAATTTTTAATTAATTTATCTGTCAGGTTTTTAAGTCACAAGTGTGACATCTAATGAACTTTTTGCTGCAGGCTACTGAAGGAGCAATAAAAACATGATCAAAGACAGCCATGTATTTTTGAAAATTGACGAAAATTCTATCAAAGACAAATTTTCAAAAATATATGACTGCCTTTGATCGTGTTTTTTATTGCTTTCTTGGTATTAAACTATAGAAAAAGGCAATGTCCTATTTTTTTACAACATAATATGTGTTATAGCGACAACAATGTGTGTACAATGTCTTACAGAGTTATGTTAACCCCTATGGCACAAATTGTTTATCATATTATCATACTATTTTTTATTCATTCGCCTTCTAAGTAGTAAACTACTTGAATCACCATAACGCACTTGTAAATTTTAAGATAAATATTTAATTAAAATTCTCTTATCATATAATTATACTTAATGCTGAAAGAAAAACAAAAAATAAATACAATCAATGTCCGTGCGTTTGTTGTTAAAAGAAATATGTTTACGTTTCAAAAACAATAGATATGTGTCAATCTTTCTTATCTTGTTTTTAAAATAAACGATATTATTTTCAATAAAACGATAAGATAACTGTATTAATCCAACAATGAATTCAGTTTCTTAATCTTTTTTATACAGAATGGGCGACTCTCAAAGAAATTCCGTAGTTTCAAAAACTGAAAGTTTTTCTAAATCAAAAGGCTTTACCAAAAATGTGCGGTTAAGGCGGCAACCGCGATTGCAAAGGTAAGATCTGATTTAATTTTACTAAATTTTAAAAAATTAGCTGTATAAACAGATGTATGTTTTTGAAAAGATATTACAAAAAATAGAGTATGTTCATTCCTAAGTACGTTTTAAACTGTTTTTAATCGTGTTGACATTTAAATCTCTAAACATGTAACAGTATCAGTACAATTTTAATTTGGTGTCTACATTTTAGACAGGATTCTCTTGGAGCTATAGAAGAATTAATACAATGTGGAATATGTCTAGAAAAATTAACACAACCCAAAATGTTACCCTGCCAACACACATTCTGCCTAAACTGCCTTCATTCGCATCTGATGGCTCACAGAGTGCTAATAAAGCAACAAAGTTTAGACAGTCAAAATGCAGTTTCCAAAAAACCAGCAGCTATCAAGTGTCCTGTTTGTCAGAAGAGAGTTGACCTGGAAAAGGGCGTCGAGTCTTTGGCCGATTTACCGAAAAACTTGTACATCGATTCAGTAATGAAACTAGTCGCAGGGGACATTTCCCCAATTAGTACAAAGTCTGACAATCGTTGTGTAAAATGCCACACATTTTCACAGCAAGAAGAACAGTGCTGCCAGCACTGCATGCAGGTGCCGGAAATCACACCTTATCCATATCGTTTTATAATCTCGGATTTTAGGTATTTTGCAATGTTTGCTGGAACGAGCATCTCACCGAATTAGAATCAAATTTATCCGTGTTAGTCAAACAAGTTGATGAGTCAAAAGTGCGGCTGGACCACAAACTGGAAAATTTCGAAAATCGGTGCCAGCGGTTGGTTGAAAGAATTAAAGAAACGACCCTTCAAAAAATCGAGTTATTGAAAGCCAAAGAAGAAAAAGTGTTGAAGGACGTGGAGACTCTTGTGGGGGAAGGAAACACAACTTATGACGATATTAGTACCAGACTAGAAGAACTAAAAACGAAGCTCTCTGGTAATTCGTTTCATAACAACAATGGGAAGGTGAGTTCTTGTATCCGCTGTCGTGGACACTGTGTAATATCTGTGGTAGGTTTTCAGTTTCATGAATTTCCACCGAGAAACTTCTAGTCTTCTTTCTGCGGTCAGCCGTTTTGTAGAAGCTCGTGTTATTTTTGACCCTGAGTCCTTCAGACTGGACCAGGCTACGGAGGGTATTTACAACGAAGTCGAAGATGGTGAAAATGCACCTCCACGTGGTACCAACTCTCTGGAACGATATGAAAATGCGAGTCAACAATACAGGAATCGTTCATTTGTTCCAAAATTAGTGTGGAGTAAATGTCCAAGACCAGCAAACGTTGCAGTTCCACCATGGGATAGTCGTTTGCTATATATAGCAGCCACTGATACCCATACCGTTCTTATTCTCAACCGTGATCGAAGGAAGCTGCAAGGACGATTAACCTCTTCTGAAATGTTGTATCCTCAAGGGATAGCATTTTCCAAAAAGCATCAAGAAATCTACGTCTCTGATAAATGGAAGCACTGCATCCACGTTTTTTCAAAAAATGGTGACTACCTTCGAGACATGCTATCCAAAGGTAATGGAAATGGTAAGGTGAGAAGTCCCGATGGTATTGCAATGGGCCCAAATGAAGAACTTGTTATTTGTGATAGTGGAAACGACAGAATAATACTAATTGACTCCAAAACGGGAGAACACTTGTCCACCATTGGTATTATTGATAAAAAAACAATGCTGAACATGCCGACAGGTGTGGCGGTTAGCGGTGATAAAATAATCGTGGCTGATACTGGAAACCACAGGATTAAAATCTTCTACCTAGATGGTAGAAAAATTCACGAATTTGGTTCACTGGGAAAAAGCAGAGGTCAATTTAGGTCAGCTGAAGTTGTAGCTGTGGATCCTCTAGGGTTTATTTTAGTAGGAGATGGAGGAAATGCTAGAGTACAAGTGTTTAAACCCGACGGCGGAGTAGTCAAAATTTTTGGAGGGCCCGGACAAGGCAATGACGGATTTGGATGGGTGTCAGGAATTTGCATAACCAATGAATTCGATGTTATTGTTGCTGATAGTAAAACGCGATGTTTGAAGATATTTTAACGTATTAAGCTTGGCACGAACTTTTTTAAAGTTTTGTATCTCTTGTATTAAAATTAAGAACGAGTTTTTCATGATTGCTGAAAGGTAAATAGCGTGATGACTGTAAATTTGCAACGTAAATGCGAATTCTGCGGTTCTTAATTTTAAGTGGTTACAAATAAACTTAATTTATTTAAAATGTTAGCAGACGGTGGAGGGTAAATATATTTGTTTTTATACTACATACACGTACTTTTATTTTGTTCTAATTTGTTTTTATTTTGTTTGAAAATAAAAAACTATGTATATGAGCCATATGTATGGAAGAATTTTAATTAAGATTATCTCTGTATTACGGTAAATACATAATTACAAGACTGATGAAATAAAAACCTGGATTTTTCCTGTAATGGATTCTCGACTTAAGAACTTCCTGCAACTCTAATTTTTAAAATGAAGTTAAAAACTAAAATAGGGACACCACTTAGTAAATACATATATTATAAAAAATAAAAACATAATTTTCAATTTCTAGTGCTCTAATATAAATTTTATTTTGTAGATTCTCTTTGTTAAATTAGTTTTCCATATAAATCTCTACTCGTAAGCTTTGAATAATTTTGAAATTTGTTGCTTATTAAATTCTTGAATTTCCTCTTCAAGCTTTTATTTATTCACTTTCATTACAGGTAACGGTTTTTTCTTTCTTAACGTAATTACTTAGTAGTTCTGTGCACTTATTTAGGAGACCTTAAACGTGTCTAAATTGTAAACGTGCCTCAAATACTTGAGTCCATCGTAAATGTGTTCGAAATATTCTAAACCAATACCTATATATCTTTCGTTTCAAAGTTTAAACTGTCCAAAATACATGCATCCAAAGTTCGAATTCCACCGTACCAGTAAGATTAAAAATATGCACTGTGTACACAACGTAGATTCCACCATTTTTGCGTCTATAATCCAAACTGCTAACACCTTACGATTCTAATTTAGTATTTAACAAATAACAGTTGCTACATTATTTTTAATATTACTCCAGAAATAGCAAATGCTCTCAGTTCCTTTAATTACTAAATCGTGTACGCGATATTTGTACTTTGGACCCGCATACGGTGGATCAAAATACTTTGGACTTGCATATCTTATAGAGACACTAATTTCGAATTAATCGATAAAATTTGTCGAATGAGTAATATGTTTTGATAGCTTTTAAAAGAAAACTACACAGAATATGATAATACGACAATTATTCAGGATATTTAAAAATGTATAAAAATCAATGACTTGTGGTGTCCTGTATTTTAAAATTAAAATTTCGCGCTGCGAAAAAAACGCCGCGAAACGCATTTAAAAAATTAAAAATAAGAAAAATCATTTATTAACGTAGGCAACCATGCATGTTTTACTTCTTGTTTTGCTGTGCCATTGTGAACAAGTGTTTGCAAACAGAATGGGTAGGTTAAATTTAATTTGTAATTTTATAAATTTACTACTTATTCACGCTTAGATTATTTTAAATTAACCATGTATCTGAAAGTTCTGAATATGTTTACTTAAGTTGTTACTCTATCCACACTTCATGATTTTCTTAAACGAGATTTATAATTGTAATAGTTCATTTATAGCATTTAAACTAATCTTAAACGTTGATCCATTCTGAGGGAAAGAATCTTGAAACTTTTTGTTCTTGTTTATGTATCACTGTTCGACAATTTGAATTTGGAGATTTTATTGTTGCGACATTCTCGCAATGTGGGATGCGCACCAAATCCACCTGATTTTGATTTTGACTATATTTAAATTTGTTGTTGTGTTTATTTTCATATGTGCTTTGTTTTATGTAATGTGGGGTTTACTTTCGGCCCATGACAATGTAATCTGTGAACACATTTTTGATTTAATCAATAACTTGGATAATATTATATATTTAACATCGTGCAAATTATTTGTTGTTTGAAATTCTTCGCAGAGTAATTAAGTGTTTAATTTTGTGTAAGTTTAATTCTCATTAATTTAAATTTGAGAAAGATCAGAATAATCAAAACTTTCTCAATTTTTCTCGTTAGATATTGTTTTAAAAATAACATAGGGAACAGGTACAAGAAACATAAATATTGTTGACAAAATTATACTTTTTGTGATAAGAAAACAATGCCCTTGTTATTTCTTTTAACGATTGCGTTCTGCTCTGTAATGTTGGTTGCATAATCACAATTCTATAATGCGCTGATTGTGTTTTTTAAAACTTGGTATATGAAGGATGAGGGTGTATGTATCCACCCAAAGAAAAAATACCATTTATTTCATTGTGTCTACTTAAATGTTGAATATTTTAACACTGTAGGAATATTTTATTTATAAAAATTCTTTTGTCGCGTTATACTTTTTTTACAAGGTCAAATTAAATGTTTAAAAAATGACTTAATTCTCACAATATTTTACATTCATGAGAAACACTTGAATTAAGCAAATATTGTTAAAATTTTGATATTGAAAATTGTATCCCACTCTTGTAAATTCGTTAATGGAGAAGACAAGAAGAAACTATTAACAGATTAAAAAAATACGTTTATTGATGAAATCATTAAAACACTCAATTTTCTTACTGTCCAATAATCCAGAGCATATTTACTCCAGCTCTACCTAAATTTACTCTTCCCAACATTCCATGTTCTTCCTTGTTCACGTGATACAGAAAAAATAAAATACTGTGGAATAAGTTACTGTAACCCTAAAATAACAATTTTTTAACAACATTATAGACACATACAAAAAAAACTACCTTGACCATTTCATAGACCGTTTCCCCTACTACCACGCGATAATGTGGCGGTTTTTCTGATACTTGTTGAATAAACAGGCTGTTTGGAGTGAGCGGAGGTATTTTGTCTTTGGATTTCAAATAGTACAAGCCGCTGAAAGGTTTAGTATCAGGCATACTCGGTAATGGCATAAGCTGTGTATCTAAATAGCACGCTAGCAGATGCATGATGATCTAAAAAAAACAGTAGTAAATGAAGATCACATACATTTTTACAACATTACAGCTGAATCTGTTGGAAGAGACTCTTCCCATTCTTTCCCATTATAGCTGCTACCACCATTCCACTTAAACTCACTCATGCAGCCCCCTTTCGCGAGTTCACGAATTCTCTTTTCTAGATATTCTTGATTTGATGTGATTTCCAGAAACGGTATTAAAGTAGGTAAGCTGGGAATAAAATGTGTCACATGTGTTATTTGAGCAGTCTTTCTTAATCGGTCTAATCCTACACCTCCTATTTTCATATCTGCTAGTCCATGTCTTTCAAAAGATTCATTAATTTTGTCAAATTCTCTAACAAGTCTTTCTAAAATCGTCTGTGAAAACCATTTACGCAAATTTTCATTCCACTGTGTTAAAGCCACTATATCAACATTGATTCTAGTCCAAGGGGTTGATGTTTGTGCAGTGGTTGGTGAGGTTTTGCTTTCAGTCTTATTTTTTGGACTACTTGAATTAAGATTAGCTGAAACATTTAATAATTAGTTTGGAATGGAATATAGTAAATGGTAAAATTTCATACTGGGTGATTGTGTTGACAGTTGATATGTACATCTTCGTAAGAAACTTGACATATCTTTTGCGGTTTTTGTTACAGGGTGACTCCAAAATGAACTTAACAAGTTTGATGTTTGTTGTGTCTGATTGTTTAAATTCTTTATGTTGGAATTTGCTTCAAATTCTTTTAAATATGTGTCTAAATCTTTTTCGTCTGAAATGAATTCTATTCCTGAAGTGTCTCTGTATTGAAGATCATTAATGGAACTGCCAGAGGAGAAAGGAGATAAATTTTGATCAGAAGTTATTTTGTGGTAAGTCCATGAGGGAGATGATAATGAATAATTTAAGCCTAAAATCATATACAGTTATACTAAGTAATGAAGCAAATGAAGAAAACTAACTTTCATTTGGGCTCAAACTAGTTCTCCAACTATGTGCTGTCGTATTCATTGGTGTGCTTGAAGAAGGTAAATTGGGGCTACTATTAGGAGTGTTTGGAAAAGAATGTGTTGGAGTTTGAACAGCAGACGTATTTAACTGATCAACAACTTTAAAGTTTGGATCTAAACACACAAGATTACAAAAAACGATACTATTTTTACGTGACACAAGTTACCTGTATCTTTTATTCCTAATAGTTTCTTCTGTTCTGAAGTAATAAATATTTTTTGTTGGCAAATTAAATTCGAAGTTATAATTTTTGCAGCATAATAAAAAATATTAACAGTTGTAAAAGCAACAAATGCATACTTAATGTAATCGTAAAAATCGTAGTATAACGGACACGAATACGCGCTAAAAAATTAAAATATGTATCTATAAACAACAACCAACTTTAACTTACATATCATAAAGCAAAACTCCTAAAATAAGAAAATTTACAGAGCCCCATATAACACTTCTGCGTATCACTCGTCGAGTTTTGTTCAGCGATAAACTCTTTTCCAATAGTGAAGAACTGTTCGGATTGAAAACGCTACGATTTGGTCTGAATATAACATTAACTTAAAATTTGATTTACATCAATATTTAATAAACTTACGTGCAAATACTCATGATTAGTGATTTATTATTTTACTTAATATTCACATTTCGAGCTAAAAATATTCCAAAAAGTGGATGAACTTTTCCGGCAAACACAGCACTATAACCTAAAATGCTGAATAAATCTAACCTAAAATATACGACGGCGGCAAAATTTCAATTCTGCCAACAAGAAAAAGACAAAATTTATTTGCTTTTGGATTTCGGATTCTGCGCAATATGCAGATAATACTGACACTAGTTTTCTAAATAGAAAATATTTTTTTAAATCTATTTAGAAAAACTTAAATCTAATAAATACACTGGCTGTACACACTTTTACGGTTCTTTATTTCTGTATAATTTTAGCAGTTGAGGAAATTCTCAAATTTGTATATTTGAAGCTCCAGTAGTCTTATGAACCTTAATTTATGTGGTGGTTGCAGAGATATGGAGAAGGAGAATGAGCTTCCCCATGCGCAGACGAAATCCTTGGTCTAAAATTGAAAGCAGCCATTTTATCAGTTGACTGTTGCCAACATAATCACAAATCACTAACAGAACTTGATATCCCTAGACAATTGCTTCATTATTGGGCGGGAAGTTTAAAATCATTAATTACAATCACCTAATAATAAATCACAACTAAAATATATTTCACCTTAAACGAATAAATAAACATAATTATACTTCAATATATTTATTGATGCGAAAACAGTACTAATTATGTGTACACATGTCTAACAGAAGTGCCTTGAGCAAGACATGAAAGTCTTTTGCTCAAATTAAACATTCTTATTCGCATGTAGGCATTAATTATTTGTTTAATAAGAATATATAAATGGCCTTCATCGATGGCCACCGTCTCGAGTGCGTGGGTCTTCTAAATTAGGAAAAAGAATGCTGGCATGCCGAAAGTTTTAAAAAATTGTTCATCGCTTGGAAGTTTATCGGTGAGTTGCAAAATTTTTCGTATTAACAGTAACAACAAGTCTTCACAACCCCAGCAAAAGGTTTAATAAGCCCACCTAAAATCAAAATTTTGTTAAGACTTAAAAAATAACTATTGTAAGTATTTTATTTTACCCATGTTTTTTTTGTCCAATAATCTGTAAAACTGTAAGTCACTTCCTCGTGTTTCAATGCAAGAAGAAATGCAGTCTGCGCACTTAAACGTCTTCACCAGCATTTTGACAACATAGCTACCAATATATGCCACGTTTTCTGCCACTTCACTCTGCCCAATAAAATTAGACGTTCATAGTCATGATCTGCAAGTGCTTCAGTCAAAATATCGAGATCATATTTTTTCAAGACAAACACGTCAACTGATTGTTGAACATTTGTGCTCTTTTGCTTTGGGCCAATGCTAACAGAGAGCAGACAGGTGGTGCAAAGCACTTTACAATTTCCTCCTTCCCTCGTTATGTTTGTAAATAGAAGCAATCTTCTAAGTTTTACAAAATCGTAGAGGAGTAGGGTTATTGTTTCACCCATTTCTCGATCTGAAAACAGAAAAATAAATACAGATTTGTGTAATTCCAGTGCATAAAAAAGTAATACAATTGTTTTTTTAAAAGCTTACCGCACTGAGCAGAAGAAAATTTCTAGATGATCTTGACTACATTTATGTTAGCAAGTCATTCAACCTCTTACTACTAACAAATTCATCAAAAATTCCCATGAACGACGTAGCGGAAATAACAAAGCCCAGAATTGACGTTTTTCGGGGCGTGCACCACAAAGGCCCGCCAGTGACATCCTTCAAATTCAGAAGATACTCACTGGTGTCGATGAGAAATGGACGCCACATTTCTTCATTGTTTTCTCTCAAAGGTGCCTTAAAATTCTAGCACGTACACTTCAGGAATTGAGAATATCAAATAAAGAATCTATCCTTCTGATGAATTCTATTGTTGTTTCACAACCTTGAAAGTCACTAATACCAAGATGTTTTAAAAATTCAAGTGCATCCGCAACTCTTGCTAAGAGTTTGTGCTGCTAAACTCACTTATAATAGAACTTAATTATTGTCAATAAGGAATATTGTAAGGAAAACAACTTACTTTCATTTTATGTTTCCATCACTCCAAATGTGCCTTTTTCAATTTATTTGCAACATTTAGGAATTCATCATTTTGTAATTCATGTAGTTTCTTTATGTAACGCCAGCTTATCACCTTCCCTACTGTCAGAACTACTTTTTGAGTTCTTGCTTTTACTTCCACTTGTACTGCTACTGCTTTTTCCATGGTATCTCTGCGCAGCACTAAATAATAATTATTAACAGTAGTAAAAAATTCAATATAATAAAATATTCAAACCTTAATGTCCTCTTTACACCTTGAGGTATAATCGATGGAGACTCTTCTCAAATATCAGCTGAAGTAGCACTCACAGTACTCATTGAAGTTGAAGAAGCTTCTAGACTTTCATCTAAATTCACACTGGGAATTGCGTTCGATTTCAATCGTTTTCACTCATTTACAACAATGAAATCAGTTGTTGTGAAATGATCTGAGCACACCAGCTTATACTTAGTCAGTTTGAAGCTGTCATCTTTTTTCACAACAATCAGCCACTTTTTTAAAAGTTTTCGATCTTTCGGAAACCTAAAATCAGATATAATAAATATTGATCACATAGTATTGCAATAACCAATTGTTATTAATTATAAATATCTACGTATTCGATTTTAATAAGATAATGAAGAAAACTTACTGATGAAAAGATACACCTTCTGAACGAAATCGTTGACAATTTTTACAGTGAGAAACTGTACAAGACATGTTTGTTGTCAATAATAATGTCCTTTAACACTAACAAGCACGTTCACACGTACACTAACGGTAAAACAAATTAAGTAATAATTTTAACTCCAAATTACAACTGGTTCAACAACGTCCTAACCTCGTAGGTAAACAAAACTTTAAGGTTAACTGATAAAATGGCGGCCCCCATAGTGTACCGATGCGCAGAAGTCGAAGCTCATTCTCCTTCTCCATATCTCTGGGTGGTTGGCATGAGGCACTCAAATAAAACAGCATAATTCAAATGTTAATTTATTTGGTGCTTACAAAAATTGTATTTTACTTTCCACTAAATTTAGCAACAGTTTCACCACGTCTTCTTTTATTTAAACTATTTCTAGGATCATAAATTTCAAACCAATCATCGTCTTTTCTGTTAGCATCTTTAGCTAAAATAGGAGATTTTTCTTCAAAACAGAGCCTATGTTTTAACCTAAAAAAATATGTGAGCTGTATTTTCTCTATTATTTTTTAAATATACCAAGCACGTTCCTCCTCATCTTGTGTCTCTTCCCCATCTTTCATTGACTGCAACTTTTTTTTGAATTTGTCTAATAACTCTAATGTAAACTTTTCCCTCCCTGCGCCTTTTTTTGGTAACGCTTTAGTTTTATTTTTATATTTATCATATTCATTGATGTATTCTTGCACTGTTTCATTTTTCTCCACTTCTTTTTCTTCTAAAGCTTTCTCTTCTTTCTTTTTTAATTTATTTTGGTGATATTCTTTTTTTACATTTTGAATTTCCTTCTGAATTTCGTCACTAAAAATTACGTGATTTGTTTACCATATTGGATAAATATGCAACAAAACTTACTATTGCTTTTTCTTTTTTTCTTGCCTCTGTTCTTCTAAAAAAGATTCATAGGTATCTAATGGTTCAGCTGTTGTTGATGCAACAGGTACGGCCTTTTTATGGTCCCTCTTTAACTTTTTCCGTATGGTCTCAAGTTGTTGTTCAGGATCAACCTCATCTTCAGTATCTTCTGAATCAATGTCTTCAGTTTTGGAGCTCAGTTTTGGGTCATCTATAAACATACATTTTGTTTAACTCATTACTAAAATGATAAACAAACATTATACCTAATATATCATGTGTTGATTTTCCTTTTCCTACAAATTTTTCATTTTCTCTTGTTGACTGTTCTTCATCTTCCTCAGCTTCTGCTCCAAAAGATAGCAGCTTAAAATTTCTGAAATAAAAGTAATGAATTTACAATCAAATCCAGTAGTGGTTCACGATTACTTGACTCCCGGTTTTTTCTCTTTCTTTTTCTTCTCCTTCACTTCCACTTGTCTCATTCTAGGTTCAATATCGGCGAAAGGGTTGTTCAACACTTCTGCTCTTATAATTTTATGTGGGTAAACCGGCCTTTCATCTCTCACTAATCCTTCTTCAAGCTTAAGCATGTTAAAAATTGTCTCCCCAGTAATCTTTCCAAAAATGGTGTGTTTTTCTTGTAATTCGGGCGCAGCCCCCAGTGTGAAGAAAAACTGGGACCCATTGTCATCTTTTCCCGCATTCGCCATAGCGAGCAATCCTCTACGCGTAAAGCGCAATCTTTGATGAAATTCATCTTTGAACGGTTCGCCATAAATTGATTCACCTCCTGTTCCATCCCCATTTGGATCACCTCCTTGCACAATGAAACCTTTTATAACTCGATGAAAAATTGTATTGTCGTAGTAGCCTTCAAGGCATAATTGTATGAAATTGCGGCATGTTTTGGGGGTTTCTTTAGTCCACAGTTCAACATCGATATCACCAACTGTTGTTTTTAATAGAACCTAGAATATACGATTTGAGTAATCTATCGTTAACAATGTTTGTGAGACTTACCTTTCCTGTAGTTGGAGGTTCTAGAATGTAAACGTTACTCATTTTTCCCACAAAATGTTATTTTGTTACTTTTTTAAAGGTGTTGTGTGACATTTAACTTTGATGAATAGTAACTGTCAAACTTAGAGGTTAAGTTTTTGTTAGTTTTCTAATAAGACCAATTTCAGTGAGGCGGACAAGGCAACCGAGTCAGGCGGGTGTGACGTCATCATGTATATCGATTTCATATTATTTTCCCTCCTTCAGTTATGCTTTAGTTATTTGATGTAAAGCTTAAACCTTAGAATATTAAAAAGCTTCTTTCTTTGCTTAAACACTTTTGCACAATAGTCGCACTATGCATAGAAAATAGGAAATGTTGTCATATAGTGAACGGTTCTTCAATAAATTTTCATTTAAATACGATGAATGCGGGGTTGTACAGAATTCAGACGTTCTGGAAATTGTTTCTGAATATTTATTTCCAATTTTTATGAAAAAAAAACTTAGATACGAAGGTTTTTTATCAACAGTTTCCAAGATATCTGCGTTCCTTGGAAAAATGGTCATATTAAAAAAAAAAAGGGGCAGTGTATAAATTTGTTTATTACTTATGTTGAAAATTGTTGGTCAAAAAACGTTTGCGCCTATATAATTTTTCGCCCTTCGTAACGAGGAGTCTAAATTTGTGAAAATATATAGGATGTTATGTGTAAGAAATCCAATTATGATGTGTAATTTTCGAACGAAACACCTGTATATAAAATTGTAGTTGTAATGAGATGTATCAGACTACGTAAATATTTTTTGCGGTAATTCATGGGGGATGTGTACAATCTCTAGACCGTTGGGACATCCTGTATATCTACATTTACATATTTTTTGAAAAAGTATTTACATATTATGTAGTTTAATCACAGTTTTCAAACATGTTTCAGGATTTACAGACGATTGTCTGCGGAATTTTTGCTCTCGTTGATGGTAAATGTCAATACTCTAAAATGATAAGCCAGACAATGATCGATGATTCATTCCAGTTTTTATATATTTTTAACATCTAGTTTGTTTGCTGAATTTATGTGTGTGCTTTATCTAGGATGCTCCAAAAAGTTAATTTTCAGACTTGTAGTTATGATTGCCAATCTGTTTTTAAAATATCAGAGATACAAAAATGAGGAAAGAACAAGTTACGGAAAAATTCTAAAACAAGTTGATTTTGTTTTTTAAAAATATACACATTTGTAGGTCAAGTCAGTTATCAGTATAATTATTATTAGCAATCACTGATTTTTTTGGTGATACCTGAATAATATAAATAGCGCAGTAAGTAAACCTTACAAAATTTTCGAAATAAACTTATTGGATGATAATTGATAAGAGAATAACAATCAGATATTTTTTCATTGTTATCCAAAAATATTTCGGTTATTAATTTAATTTAGATGTGACTTTAGTAAATTTAAAAAAGCGAATAATTTTTATGATAAGATACTATTTCTTTTTGTTGAATGACGATCTTTTGTCTTTAAAACAATTATTTTTTCATTTTTCCGGGACTTTCTTATTCAAACTTTTTACAGAACGATTTAGAAAATAGAAAAATTATTAAAACTACGAAACCATTTTGTTATTTTCAGAAATATAAATGCTTGTGACGTCAATAGCTTATTATTTAAAAGGAAATCATGTGTATAATTTATTTTGATATATTTGTAAAAACATAATATTGATCTGTTCCACGATTTATTCTAACTGTTTATTTTGTGTATATTTCATACCTTTCATATCATACCAAAAGCGGAGCATATTTTCTTTGATGTTCTCTTTTGTAGAAATGTTTTCAAAATTATGATAATTAAATTGTGCGCAAAAACGTGTTTCATCGGTCTTTTTAGGTGTTTGTTCGTGTGTCTCAATTTATTCTCTTCTATTTTTAGCACTGTTTTCGAATAAAGAGCTAAATTAGTTTTATAAAACTCTGTGGAGACTTAAATATACATGCGATTACTATGACAAGAAAGATTTGCTCATAGAACTCTCTGTTAAGTTCTGTTTTTATTATCTTATTTTGCTTTTGAGCGTATCAGTCTAGAACCATCGACCTTAAATAAAAGGAAACTGTACATTAATAATTATTTAATTGTTGGTTATTGTATTATAACAACTATCAGGATCAGAGTTATCTAAATCAAATAACCAATAGATATCTGTGTAAACTGATTAACGTTAAAATGTTGTTATATCATTAAAGTGTAGTGGATCCACAGTTTCGAGTGTAAACTAGAATTAGAATTGGTTTCCTTGTGTTTAAATCAGACGCAGCATTCATTTAAATAAAGGCTAGTGTTTTAGAAATGATAAAGAAATCCAGCGATAACAAAGTTGAATACAATTCTGACAGATAAGTGTTTTTTTCTTACAATATGATTGCTCACCTGTCTGCGAGAACTACCAAAAAGTGTTAATATTATGTTGAAGTGCACCGACTGAAAGATATGCTCAAGTCCGACAGTTCAAGTATTGAAGGTAAATCTATTTTGTTTTATTCACATCATGTTTAATGTTATTGGTTGAAATTCTTATCCTCGTAATTAATATTAAACAAACGATTGTATAAATGTTTTAATTAAAATTGGGTCAGTAGATGCAACTGGGGTCTCTTCGACACATTACTTTGTGTAGTGCTTGACATGGAACTATGTATTGATAATGTAGTTCGAAGAACGTTCACCTTTGTTGAAGGTAAAACAGTAAAACTAAATAAATTGTGATAGCGCAGTTTATTTGTCACAGTTTTGGCAAAAATTCAGAATGCTTGATATTGTTGAAGTTCGTTTAAGTGAAGATTATTTGAGTTTAATTTAACCTGACCCAAAAATGCAATTTAACGATCAAACATTTTGTTTTTATTGTGTGTCATTTAATTTTGTTGCATTTCGTTAAATTTTATAGTTCTAATACATACATACTTTAAAATGTCTTTAAATTAGAAATTATACTTCTTGATAAAGTCATTATAAGACTTTAATTTCCTCTTGTGAAAATACATTCGCCAGAAAACGACTGATAAACAAAATGTGTATGTTCTGAGTGAATCGTTAATTGCAATTTAAAATAAGTAAATAGAAAAATGTATACAAATTACTTTTCAAACTGTAGTAATTTTCCTTTGCAAAATTAAATACTGAATTGACATATTTAGCGATTAGCATTTATGGAGCCCTCTAATTATCTGTAACTGATAATAAAATATAGTTCAAATAACTCATCTTTATGGAATACACTTCCATTATTTTATTAAAGGTTCTACAGACAAAATAATCTTATCACTTTATTTTAAATCTGCATTAATCACAAAAGTGTTACACAAACTGTTTGGGTTGATAAAACAATTAGTTTATAGTATTTGTTTTTTATGGCTAAATAATAGGACAATAATGAATCTATGATTTTACAGTCCATTAGAATTTTTGTTTAAGATATCTTTTAAGCCGTTTTCCCAACTATAGTGGGATAACTTCACTATATACATACTTAAGTTCATTCTTTGATTAAAGACCCACTTATCTCACATGATTGATTATTGAGATACTAAAATAATTCAATTTATTTTCCGTGGAACAAATAAGAAATTCATTATCAGGTATTTTTGAATGTTAAATATTTCAGATTTCACTTATTTATTCACTTTTCTTCTAGCTTAATTGTGGTAAAAGCTAAGTTGAGTGAAAAGTTGAACACACACAGTAACCAAATTTATGCTTTTAAATCTTATGCCCACTTCTAAGTTTTCTTTTTTTTGTATTTAGGTGGAACAACAAGATGTATACGGCATATTGCTGAAGTCAAAAAATGGTGAATTAATGTCTAACAGCATTAAAAATTTCAATCTGCTCTTCAAATTGCATCCACAAAACAAAGAAATATATACCTACTTTAAATTTTTAATTTCACAAATCTAAGTTTTCATTTTTGTGAATGTTCCCGTCTAACAGAAAAAAGTGTTTCCAACTTGAAGATTATGTATCTTCCCACATTTAATCAGTGACTAAATTTAACTTTTGCCAAATCGTGTTCGCAAAATGTTGGTTTAAAAACATTATGTTAGAATTTGATATCATCAAACATTGGAAAGCTGATCTTTTTAAAGAAGTTTCCTATGCCAGAGTACAGGCCACTCGTCAGAAAATGCAAAAAAAATACCTTTACTTTAACTAGTTTATATATTTGTGAATATAATATTTTTATAATAAATAATCGACGGTGAGAGTCCCGTTTATTATTCAACTTTGTTAACTCAGATAAACATTTTTTCAATCAATAAATCTTCTATTTTTAAAATATCACTGGTACCAGAGCAGCCGCTGGTCACAGCTAATGTTTTTTACACTATCAGTGTTACTTCTTTCATGTTCTCATGGAATACACAGTTTGACATAATTTTATTAAATAAATAACCTGCAACACCAGACAACTTATTCCTTTGAAATTTTAGATGTATTTTAAAATTATAGGCAAGATAGTGAACCGCTAGTTAAAAATTTATTTTAGTAAATCTTGAATAAAATTTGTTTAAATGTACCGGACAACATGCAGTTCTCTTGTGGTTTAATCCTTTCTTATAAAATGAAAAAATGTAAATCTTAACATAAGTTTGGAGTACCAAACTGTACAGCTTATCTCAGGATTTTTTTCGAAATTTTGGTATGACACCAGCATTTCAAGACAGTAACTAATTTTTGTTATTAATCTCAGGAAATTGATGACAAGTGGTAATCCTAATTTGTTTTTTAAGAAATTGTCATACAGAATATCTGAGAAAAATGAATGAATGAATCGAATTATTTTGTAGATTATCTGGGATCATAATAACATTAGGGTTAGTGTTACATTATGCTATCAAATTTATATATTAAATCCCAATTAAAGTTAATTACGATGTCTGAAAATATTGGGTGTTTTTTTTTAAATTTCTGCTCAAGTTGCCCATGAGGTCAGTCGTTTCAATGCTGACGTACGCGTCATGATTAACTAGAACAGGAATTGAAAAAAAAATCACATGTTATAACCTTAGGTACATATTTTTTAATTGAAAATTAGAGAAATTATTAAAATAATCGCAATATACGACTCGACACGACTCAACAAGCGATTATACCGAGAGGACATATGTTCAAAATCTCGCAGTATTCTTTGATCTAAATAATTAATGAACGCACGGTATTATTAAATCAAAAATGAAACTTGTTATCAAAGGATTTTAATGACTGGTTATTGTTTTGGTAGTCGCAATCAAAATTTATATTTTTCACATACCGCAATTTTTAACCATAAATATCAAGGTTTATCTAAAATGCAATTTAAGATACTTGAAATTAAGAAAATCGTATTTTATTTTATTACTTACTAATAAAATTAGTCACGTGTGCTTAGTTTATTTTTTAGTAGCGTAAATTTTTTCATTTTATGGTAATTTGTAATTATTTTTATGAAATTATATCTGTGATAAAATGAAAATAATTAACAGATACACAGAAGGTAAAAAAAATGAAATAACGTTCCTAAGTCATACAATTATGAAGAGCATCAATTTCCAAATTCTTTTCAATTATAACTAAAAAAAAATGTTTTTAAACATTGGGTTTTACTGTTACTTGCTCGGTCAACCATGAGGAATAACAAAATTATAGTAGCAAATATATCTGCAAAATAATATTTATTACAACTAAACACTGGGTCATTGACCACAATTAAAGTAATCAGTTGGCATTTTTATTACAAGCACTTTAATTGTGTCGTTCTAATGGATTGAAATCTTCTATTGTCCCAGGCGAGGTGTAAAACTACTTTGTTTTAATTTCATTGTTCACATTTTGAACATGAATTATATATATAAAAAATATTTTAGTACAGTTCAGTGTGTGACAGGGAGATGCCTATTGTCACAATGAAACCAGATTGCCAGAGGCTTTAATTTTAATTCTGCATAATATATCTAACATAAAACTTTTGTATAGTCAATTTTGGCAGATCAGGTGATCTCATTAACTCTCTGGTGACCACGTATTTTTCTGTGCAAATTTATTTAATAAATTTAATTTTTTAAGACGTTATCAATTTTTTATCAAATAAAATTATATCAATTTTTATAGGACAATGGAGTGAATTGGTGAATCTCATTTAATTTTCTGCAACTGTTAAATCACTGTTAATTTGATTTACAAAGTTCAAAGTTGTGTAGTTTCTGAGATAAAATATAAAATTTGGTTGTAAACATTCTTATGTTTATACAATTCAAAACAAGAATGCAATTAAAGGAACATTTTAAATTAGATTTACTGATTTACGTAATAAAATAAGTAGTGAGATAGCTTCAGCAGTTTTAAAGTATTGAAATATCAAAATACCTGTAAACAGTTGCAACTATTAATTTACAAACAGAAAAAACACATCATTTAAGTAAATTTGAAATTGACTAGCAACATTTAAAAATGCTTGCACTAGTTTCCATAATTGTTGAATATGTTTTGGCAATGATTGTAATGATTTATTTATTTGTTAGTATTTTTTATTATGAATGTTATGTGCGAAAGAAAGATTTACTTCCAATCGTATCTAAAATGATACGAAATTGCGTCAGATGACCATCGATTTACGAAATATGGATAGTTTTTGATGCTATCGGTTTATTTACGAATCGCGGTTCTTTAATGTCGGTATTTGATCATTTGACGTATAGCTAATTCCTTAATCTGCTTTGACAGTACGATTGACGTAAGTATTCCTACGGGGTTTCATAGTCCATAAGTTTTCCATCAATCAAATATTAAAGTGATGAAAATAAACTACACGCTCTATATGTATAGTATGTAATCATTAGTTAATAAATAAGAAGCAGTTATGCCAGAAAATGTAACGATTCGAATATCATTATTAATGTTACATCAGTGTATGCCTACGTATTAATAAGCATTAAATCACAACCAGAGGCATGTTTAGGCATTTTCCAACCAAAGGTACATTTTTTTAATTTGGACTCATTCATAAACAGACAGGAAATCGACAAAACATATAACTTATTTGGTTTTACAAAAGGTAGAAACACAAAAATCGTCCTTTAGTTAACGCTAGATTTTTAGTCGTACTCTTTCCTCTGTAAAAGTGGACGATGAGAAAGAATGTACTTTCCAGTGGCAATGTGAAGATGTCTTTTGTTGATCGCACCTTATATCTACATTTGGTTAAGAATGTTCCTTACTGACTATACACTGAGTAATATTCATTCTGACTGGAAGAATGACACTGTTTTTTATTTTTAAAATAAAATGAAATCGCTTAACAAATTTTCATAAATACAAGTAGTCAAAAATGTGAAGTTGTAGATGTTCAGAAAGGTTTGTAAATCTGAAAATTTTCACTACATTAAAAAATAGTGAAATTAAAAAAATACCAGTAATAACAGAATAACATAGAATTTCGTATCATATCATTTGACCTAACTTTTACTTCATTATTACAGTTTGCTATAAAATCAGACACACAAAAAACTCCTATGCATCTTATTTAATTAACAAAAAATCATGGGTGATCGTAACATCAATGGCTGTCATAGCAAATTATTTTATATTGACAATATGGTATAGGCCAAGGAAAAGAATAATCAATTTTTCATTTCAATTTAATTTAAAGTAATAATTTGTGACTTTTTCTATTCTCGTGGTCCAAGTTCCACTCATTCCAACTTTGTAAGTACATATTTGATTTTGCGTCATACTAAACTAGCTTACGTAGGTATATGTATATCAAATGAATTGATGATAATGATGATGAACGATGACTTGTCTCGACTAACCTCTCAAATTAAATAATGTGAATGAAGATTAATTATTTTTGTACTAGAATCACAATTAAAAAATAAATTTTATTCAAAAAATTCGCATATATTTTTATCTGTACAGCTCCATTCTATTATAATACAATGAAAATAATTTACAGAGTGCCCTTTAAAAAATAATACTCAGTGCCAAAAGCGTCCAAGAACATTTAAAGGGCCTCTTCGAGTCGTCCGACTATGTGTTTTAGGAATATTTCTTCCCAGTGTGCTGATAGCCGTTCCTTTGTACATGAGATATCATGTGTATGGCCATCAACTCTACCCTTTGGCTATGTCTGATATGAGACTAATTGATAACAAAGTATCAACAACATGGTGTCAAGTAGGTTATTGTCCATCCGTTCACTAAATGACTAATCTTGAAATTACAGAGACAACTAGTAAAAGTCAATACAACATTCAATGCCTTCCTTTTGGAAAACTCTCCAGTTTTATCGCCACACTTAAAACCATTGACAATGGTCCGCCATTTGACTTTGGAAGACGATACAAAGGAATACTGGGGTTTTTATCTTTTGGAAGGTTCTAAAGTTACAGTATCCACTTGTGTAAGGTACATAATTTACAACACAATAAAACTTTGTATATTTACTAGTCTCTAGGTGGCCCGGTGCCTCCTTAATTGTCATAAGAGGCCACAAGCACTTACACGAATGTGCATACATTGGCGACAACTCATCAGAAGAATTAGATGAACTAATGGAAGCAATTCGTGAGAAAGGATATATTGAAACAAATGAAAATAAACGCAATGCCACAACTGACCATCGCGCTCCAGCTAACGAGCCAGATATGATGAAACGTCACAGGGAAGACGTGGAGTTTCATCACCCAATACATCAAAAAAATTCCAAGAACTATACCATAAAGGAAGCTGTTGACGACGCTGATATTACAGACCCCGAGATGTTGAAACCTATATTGGACTCGCTTCAAGTTAAAGCAAAGAAAAATCAAAAACAGAGTCTGGAAGAGAAGCACATGCATGTTCACAGAAATTCGACAATAGCGAAAGGCGAAGACAAAAATTTTAAGATTGAACCACCACATCTTGATTTAGCAAACTCGGCAGCTGCATATGATGATATTATTAGACGGCTGGAAAGTTTGGGTAATAAAAGTAATGCCGTTCTAGATCTAATTAACAGAAAATTTAGAAACAACACTGAAACTGGGAGAAATAATCAAACCAACGACAAAAATGAACAGAAATTTGACGTAAAAGGAAGACACTATTCAAAACCTTCGGTTCAGTTTGACGACAGTATTGACAGAGCTAGACGGAGAAGGCGAGAAATTGTTATTTCAAATGCTATGAGGTCCAATTTTACTGAAGATGATAGTGAGCATGATTTGGGACTAGAAGAGGTGAATTAACATTTTCGATTACAAAGAAAATTTCATACTTTTTAACAAACACGGCTGAAATGACAATTCATGCTGACTTTCAAAGGTATTATCTTTCAAGGATTCCAGAGTTTGCATGCTATGACACTGAACAAAGTTAAGCGTAGTGCAAATTAAGATCATTCTAAAAGTTAATTAAGTTTTTATCGGTCCAGCAAAAAATGTTAATTTTTCTTTCAAACTCGTTACCACCTCGTAGATCAAATCCCTTGTAGATTTTCACAAGTCAGTTTGAATTATCAAGTCAGTCATAGATTTTTGAGTTAGTGTTTTGGAAAAATGTTTATTGTAAATGGTGTCCTTAGTACATAAATAAACGTTATTCTTACTTTTTCAGGATTTCACTCCCGATGGCATTGCAGATCACAGGGGGACAATCAATGAAACCACACTGAACGATTACAGTAATAGTGAATTTTGGTCTTCGTTTTCAAGTTCTGAAGAGGCTTTATTAAATTGCGCTGGACTGATTTTAAATTTGCCACTGACTCCTCACCACAATTGTGGTCCCCATTTGACAGAAGAACAAGCTGAAGAAACATATCTTGCCAACACGATTACTTATAAGTATGGCCTACGCCAAGTGAATACAGATGAATCTACAAGTTTTGTTTTAGAGTGCCTGTGAATGGTTATTACTTCTTTGTTTTCAACAGTGAAAATGAGGTGCAACCAAACTATATCCGAGTACAGTTTCACTTGAAAAAATCTGTTTATAACGTTACTAACGCCGTATCAACCTGTTTAAACAGTTCTGAAGAATGCACAATGGACCTGAAATTTTTTTCATCGGAAAAATTAGTAATGGAATTACCACTCCGTGAAAACGGCACGCTTTGGAACGAGGAGTTTGTGGTTGTATCAGAATGTGAACCACGAACTATGATTTATGCAATTTGTGTGATAGCTGTACCTGTTCTTGTGATACTTTTTGCATTTTCGTGATATATTCAAACATGTGGATATTTTTATAAAAAAAAAAATAAATTATTCCAAATTCGCAAAGCTTTTAAATGCCTCTCTCAAACTGAAGTGCTTCCATGGGAAAGAGATAACTTTTACTTTAATCCTAAGCATAATTTGTATGACACGCGTTTTTAATCCCTCGGCCAAATTAATTAAGTCAAGCGACGAGAAGATCGGATTACTGATTAAAAATGTGGGGTGAATCTTCACTCTCTACGTCGATCCTCTCAGTTGTAATTTTGCGCGAAAACTTTATTTTTTGAAAGTCATTTATCGAAGAAAAATTTAGAAACCTATCTTACAAGCGAGCGGAAACAATGCGTTATCGTCTTAAGTGCTTGTACTATTGCTTTGTGTAGATAATCTGTTGGTTGTGATAACAATGAATTAGTTTGAAATCCTCAGGACCATTGACAGACTGACAAAAGCGTCATCCCCTTTCGACTTTCATCCCTCCCTTTTTCAGTTTGCCTTAGGGATGCGTCAAAACAACCTTTGTTATCACATTAGGCTCGAGTGATCATGAAAATTAAATTAAACAAACATTTATATTCACATTCCGATGCAACTGGCCACCGTGTTGAGAAACTCGTAATTAAATTATGAATCTTTTATAGCAGTGCAATAGTACTTTTATTTGAAAGGTGACTTTTACGCGTATGCTATTTTTAACGAATGATTGCTCCCTCATCTAAAAAAAGTTATGAATAAAAAGCCACCCGTAGGTGGTTCCCAGCACGTTTTCTTTATAAGGGTGTTTTGATCACGTGTGTTGCCACACGACCCTAATATGCCCATAAAAAGCATATTAGCTTTGAAATCTAGTCCTTTTAAATTGAGGAGTAGATGCTATTGATTCTAATCTTTTCTATATTTTTTAATAATAGTAAAGTTCATATATAGAATCATTAGTTTTTAACGTTATTTGGTGGTCTGAAACTTTTAATGTCCCTTTATATTCATGTAAAGTTAGTTCTCACGTAATGGATCGACGCTTGGTGACTGGGGGAGGGCGGCAGCGGATTTGGGGGCGGTTCCAACGTTATCTCGCAGTTGCAGGTATGTTTGAGTTTACACTTGGAAAAACATCAATTGTGTGCTTAGCGGAGAAAGAGCAGATATGTCTTCTCGTCTTTTTAAAAATATTGATTACTCATCGATAACGTATGAAGAAGTATACATAGTCTGAAGATTAATAGAAACACGTTAGTAGTCTTTCTGTTATTTGTACAAACGGAAGAACAATTCAAAAGTTTGGTTTTTGTTTAAGTAGAAACTGGATTTTTTGTTTGAGTATCGAAGCAGAAAGTATTTATTAAACACGTGCTAAAACTAGATTTTAATACTATTATTGTTGTTTATCGTGATTAATTAATTCGAATTTTACTGTTGTTCACAAGATTATACCACGAATCAGTCTCGTCAAAATATTTTTGTTTTGACTAAAGCATCTAATCCACGGATTAAATTTATTTTTATATGATTAATTGCTGATCAGATTAAGGCGGGTATTCGTAAAAAATGTATTCCTCTTTGCAAAAACAAGGAAATCAGAGAAAGTGATTAATTGGACAAGTTGGCTACCAAATTTCGAAGCAAATTCCTTTAAGTTAAAAATGTTATCATAGAAACGTGTTTCGTTCCATCAATGTACCTATTTATTATTGTCAGTTCGTAATTTTAGATCATTATTACTGTATAAATTCAACGTAGCTCGTAGGAAAAAAAGATTATATACTTAATAAATGTTTTTTCGCTCTAAATAAGAACAAATGTACAACAGGAAGAAAAAATGAAGGAAGAAACAGCTATAAATGAAACGTGCAGATCTAAAAATAAAAAAATGAAGGAATTTGGTGTAGAACAGTAATAAGAGATAAAGATATTGTTACGAAACAAACCCATACGCCGCCCCGGTACGACGCCTGTGAGTTCTTACTAGAACTTACATACTTGTACGGCGATGATGACTCATCGTCGATGACGTAGGCCAAGCGGCGTTCGCTAAAGAAAACCCTGGAAGCGGAACTCGCGATGGATATTCCAGAAAGACCCCTATCGCCGTACATCTAGAAGGAAGTATGGGTTTAAATAGAGGCCACCTTTGGGAACGATTTATTCATTTTGTACATAATCGCTTAATTAGTCGTGTAAATTTGAATTAGTAAGGAATAAATTGTTGAGTTTTAAATTACGGAGAATCGTAACAATATTTATTATAAAGCCAAAATTGAAGAAAATGTAAAATTCAAAAGCGAAGAACAGAAAGCAAAACAATTTTTTGAAGAAGACAAAACATCCGATGAGAAATGATGGAATATGAAGAATGGTAAGAGATGAGAGACTGCAAAATAGGTAAGGTAATTAATTCAATGAAAAGTGTGATAGAGGGACGTAACGGAGCCTAGTCTAATAGTTTTAGTTGGGATATGTACATACAGTGTTAATTCATAAGAATGGTGCATAAAATTATGTTTATAAAAAATATAAAAAAAAATAAGATTCATCAGAGAACACAATTCTCAATTCTCAATGTTTTAGTGTTGCATAAATTCGACCGTTAAATTTGTCATTACATAAGCTAAAAAAGTATCGCTTCTGATGTGTTTTCATTTCATTAGATTATGTAAAAGACTTTTTGCCTATTATTAATTTTGTTATTTCTTTTACATAGATATTGTGCTAGAAATTGAATGTTCTCACATTTCATCAAAGTAAATTTAGTTTATTGTTTTGTTTCGGTAAAAATTAATAAAAATTTGTATGCCCCTCATTTTTGGGAGAATTAAATACATAGTTTTGTCTTTTTGTAGGGATAATTACAATTTCGAAAAAAGTTTGCAATTATACTGTTTTTTTTATATTATATATATATATATATATATAAAATTCCAGAATTTGCCTTTTTTCACCATCTTCAGAATTTTGCTAGAATTTTGTGATGATTTATAACTAAATAGTTAACATTTTGGTGTTGACTGCATTATTAACAATTTCGATTTGCTCATGTGGTTTTAGGTGACTGTTTCATTTGTAGGATAGTTCCAATTTGGAACTTGAGGTTCTCCAAATCTCGCCGTTTTCTTACATAGTTTTTAATTTTTAAAATCGACGTAGGTATGAGCTTCACCCCGGGTCGGTTGACTCAATGATTGTGAAAACTTTTATTTTTAACATGGGTTTTCCAACATTGTGTGTCATAAGAGTCATCACAAATTAACTATTATGAAAACAAATTAATAACAACATAAATTTAATTGGAATCTTTTTTAATGGAAATTGCATTGAAAGTCAATCGTTTATCTCCTGCTCATGTTCACAAATAAAATTAATTTTGAAACTCTGTTAACGATTATCAGTTGGTAACAACTTTTTTAAGATGATTTTGCCCAGATGTAAGTTTGTACAGGCCATCTAAATTTTGAACCAAAAGGGACTACTGTAAATATGCATAAATATAAAAGGTTGCTGGTTCATTTCCAGTTGCGTATTTATTAAAAACATTACTGTTTAAGTACCCGAGAAAACAAAAAAATAACATTACTAATTATTTAATTAGTACCTTCCCTATATTAACCATATAAATTGAAATTTTCGTAGCGGGGCCAAGTGATTTGGGACGGTCGAACTAATTTTGAAGTGTCAAATATTTATTTTTCTTCTAGGCTTGTTCTGATATCTTTCGTTGTTCATGGTCCACCATCTGTGTCTGAATCTGCTAGAAATTTTAGTAAAACAGTAACCTTAAGATAGAAACCATAAAATATTAATTAAAATCTGTGATTCATTCCTTTCGTAAAGTAGATGACGTCATATATAAAATATATTGACAATATTATGTTTTCTTTTAATTATTGCTCACAGTTTCATAAAAAAAAAGAATGTATGAATCGATTTATTTAGAAAACGCTCAATTAATTTTCCTGAAACAACATAATTGTCTATAACTGAATCTATTTTTTTTTTATTTACTTAGACACCCTTCGAATAAAACTTAATCAAACCATATACTTCGATTTAAATAACTCTTTGGAAGTTAAACATTACCTAGTATTACTACACCGACAAATCTTGTCGAAAATAAAACAATATTAAAAAATTTGGTCGAAAGTGATTTCACCCCTGAGGGACACTCCAAAAATCCCGTTTCTTTGTTAAAAGTATATATAAAATTTTATTTTGTTATTTTTTGTGATAACTCATAAAATTTTGTACATTTTAGATGGGATGTATCGGGCAAAATTTGTCGACGGTGTCATCAATTTCGGGAAGAGGTTTACAATTTACAATTTGCTTACGATAACCTTAAAACCTTCGAGAGATTTTCAACTATTCGGTTTCCGCTTCCAAAGTTAAAAAGTTTTTACTTAATTTCACTTTTTTTTTCCAAAAATCTTTGTGTCTAGGGTAGAAACTGAACACGGATTCGTAAACCACAAGTGCAGGAGTATGCTATTTTATAAAATTTAAATAACATTTATTCGGCTAAATTGTAAGATGACGTCTTCAGTTTTTGGGAGGGTCATAAACGGATACATTTTCATTAACGATTTACCATGCTTACGATATCCTCAAAATGTTAGTACGATTTCAGATCATTCGGTTTTGTAATTTCAAAGTTAAATTGTAAAGATATAAATGTTGATTTTTTCCGAAAATCTAAATGTCTACGTAAAAACTCAACACGGATTCATGAACTACAAGTGTAGGAGTATGTTATTTTATTTTCACTTACTACTGTAATATTTGGAAATGATGTTATCCCATTGTTGGTGGGAACGATAAGATACATTTTGGTTGGCGTTTTAACATATTTACATATAAAATTTGACAACAACTGGTTCGGTAGTTTCGAAAATTATCTGACTAATAACAGTTAACATAGACAGCGGGCGGTAGAAGAAAGATGGAACTTTTTTGTACTCTAGGGGTCATGAAAGATCGAGGAAACATGAAAGTAGCTAGTCCGTTCGACCCTATTATAAAACACAGTATAAATTTTGAAAATACTGTAAAGCAGTCGTCATTCGTATTTTAGTTTTATTTTCTGTCAAATTTAGAAGATTATTGTGTACAAATGAGTTTTTTAGAGGTGAATGCTACATATACTAAAAATGTGTAATTTTTTTCACGAAAATTGAGCAAAATCATCCTGCGACTTCCTCGAATAAACAAGGAAATAAAGAATAAACTCTAAATAGTAATGCTGATAATGTAGGTATAATGCGATAAATTTACTGATGTTCCTAGCTGCAAGGATCAAAAAATTATATACGATTTTTGCTACTTCATAGCTTTCTCTTTTTTTTTATTTTGATGAGTCAACAATGTACAAGTTGCTTATCTAATAAAAATAAAAATATACTTAATAATAAATGACAATATACTTAGAAACGCATGCGGTTGGGTCGTTCCTCCGTCAATCTAAATTATGTGCTAATAACTTCGAAGGATTTTTATTTTTGAAGTTTCAGCTGATCCTGGTGATTATATCGTCAGTACATTATAATATTAACAATATTATAATGTACTGACGATTCACCAAGATATTTGTCACATTGCAGTAATTTCTGCATTGTTATTTAAGAAAGTATTTACTTTTAATTTTCCAGATCGCCAAACACATTTTGATGCCGTCCAAACATTTCCATAAAATGTTTGCTTTATTCTTATTTTACCCCGTAACAGAGCTTAAAACTTCCCCGTGGAAGCAAGGGGTGGAGTTTCGTTTGCTTTCCCGCCTATGCTGCATATTTGCTGAAGTCATTGGTCCAGCGGGGGTGGCTGCCAACTCGAGATAACAGTCCCGGCAAACAGGATATGTGGCTGATATTTCGATATTGTCGCTTTGATCACTTCCGTTTAAACTGGCATTACAGTTGCTGTTTCGCGGACACTTAGGGCAGCTGCTTTTTACGACGAAATAATGGAATAAAATTAGTGTTATTAAAATTTCGCGATTGTTTCTGGTCGAGTGCTAATGTAACAAAAATCGTGAGTCAAATGGTGAGTAATATGGAAGTGGTATTTTGTGATATGGAAGTATGCGTTACGGTGGTTTTGGTCAATGACGCTTATTGTTTTCGGTAGCCTATGATAACAGTTCCGGACATGGAATGGCCTGCAGATGGGGACAATACGGATTATAGCGCTTCTTCATCTCCAATTGTTAGACGTTCTCAGCAGAATCCAGATCCGGATTCTTTGTCAGATGAAGACGATTTTTCGGATGAATTTTCGGTTATTGATAGCGATGATGAAAAGCAAAGAGCTTTTTCGCAACATTCTGTTCTTCAGGTATTTAGTTATTACATACTTTAAAAAAAGATATACTAATTATATTTTGTCTGTCTTTACATCTAACATGAGTCACAGAATTGTACTCACAAACTTTAATATTAGAAGTTATTATATCTTAGCTATTTTTTTTTATTATTTCAACATGATAAATGTGTTGTTAGTAAGTTTTAACAAACACCTGAAAATATCAGTCACAAAATCTAAATGTTGTCGCAAGCTTTCAAGGTTGACTAATATAATGGACTTCCAGAAAATGCAACCAACTGTGAAAGACTGTTTAAAATGTGCAACAGTCGAATTGACTCCAGAAAATTAAATATTGTATTATACTAAACCAAAATTGTTTATTATAAAATTTTAACGCTTTTTAAATTTAACCGTGACATATTTTGTAGCTAAAGTGGTGCTAAACTTGGTAAACCAAAATAGATATTACAAACCAAGGCAATGCAATTCAGTTTTTACTGTGTCAGTGATAAAAATCATTATAGAGAACTTTTTGTTTAGCATTTCGGTAGCACTTACCTACAAACAGTTTAAATAATTGCGATGAGTGTGACGTTTGTACTGTTTGTAGATAAAGTGTACATTGTACCTACATTCGAGTTATTTATGCCCCGTTTAATTTACTCACCAATTGTAATTGTAAATACTACAATAATTAATTCGTTTGCTGAATTTGAAGAAACTTAATAGTACCCAGTTTCATCAATTAAACTTGATCTACAACAGAGAAAAAATAAAAATTTTATGAATTTACAAACGTATATAAATTTTCGTTTATTCAGCACAGATTTATTATGTAGAATCAGATCAAATGATGTCATCAATTTTTTAGGAGAGTTGTGTATTAACACTAATCATAAGGTTAATATGTTCCTAGAATTGCAGGGCAAATAGATGAGTCGTTCCAGACTATTGCAAAATGCAATCATTAAGTCAATGTTATACGAGTAGTGTTTAATTGAAATTTTGAGGAAATTCATCAAGTAATTTCCAAGATAACTTATAAAATTTTATTGCACAAATTTTATTTACTTGTGCCTAAACCAAAAATAGGTAAAATGTATCAACCCTTATTTTTGAGAAGACAGTTTTAATTTATATTTAAAATATTTGTTTAATTGACATATAATATTAGAGATTTCTTCAAAAAATTTAGCGCAGACGGATAGGCGACAACAAGCAGAAACTTTCATTTTCTTATTCTACGAGATAAGAAATGCAAAAAAAAACGAATCCATATTTTAAATGAAATCTAAGACTCTTTTAAAGATAGACTTTTTCCCCATTTCATGTGGTTCAAGAAAAACCTTACGACATGCAATTTTAAAAATTTCATTTTGTGTCAATTTTAGACTCCAGTGGAAATTCCAACCAGAGGAGTGGTGAAAAAAATTTTCACCAACAGCCGGGAACGCTGGAGGCAACAGAACGTCAGTGGAGCATTTGCAGAATTACGTAAACTTGTTCCAACACATCCGCCTGATAAGAAACTATCAAAAAATGAAATTTTACGCATGGCGATAAGGTACGCAGTTTATTAAAAATTGGAAAGTGCTAATTTTGTAATTTTTAGATATATTAGGTTATTGAGTAACGTGTTAGAATGGCAACAAACCCATGAAGGTCCTATACAGGTGAAATGTGAGGATTCCATTTTTATTAGCCGTCACTCATCTGTTATTTCCGGACAGCAATCGTTACGCATGAGGGCACGACTGAGAAGAAGTGGTTTACCATCTCAACCACTTCCTTTATGTGATAGAAATGGAAATAATTTATTAATGATTGCACCCAATAATCACCTGCCGCTCAGAAAAGTGAATGTTTTTGTCGATATCGGTCGAAGGAATGAGGGAAAAATCAAAATCGAGCAAGATGAAACCACGAAAGATAAAGACGAAGACAGGGAAGTGAACAGAGAAAAATATGCCAAAGATTAGAAACAAAAAAGAATACTATACGTTTTATAAAGCAATGTATTTATATATCTAAGTATAATGTGATGTAGTACCTGTTTTATCATTATTGTGTTGTTTTTACGACATGTTCAATGCATTTACTGTGGAATACCTAACTATACTATGTATTACAAAATTCCGTAAAAATAAACGTTTGTGCAATAGTCGTTCTTTCGCCGACAGCGTTGATGTCGAAAAATGTGTGAGTATTGTCAAGTGTTGAAAAAACAATACAACATCCTGTCATTTAAATGTTCTTATCGTAGATTCTTAATCAGTCGGAAGTAGATATGCAGTTCTTCCTTCCTCTCATCTTCACTTGGGTATGTACCTTCACTAGTAGTACCATGACGTCACACCTGTCGACCTTGTGACCAATGGGAGTGGGCTCTTAGGTCCGATGGCGTTCACTGCGTCGAAGAAATTGAGATAGGTACCACGTATCGTGTGCACACTCCTCGCCGACCTCATAATAATAATAATAATAATACCATCCTTTCTAATATAACAGTGTGTAAACTCAACAATACTGTGACATTGTGCGCCTGTGATCGTTAAAAAATGAAGTGATTGTGTGTTAAGTGTGATTAAGAACCTAAAAAAGTGAAAATTGGACTATTGGTGTAGTACCAAAGAGAAATCTTATAGATCGGATAAGAACGAAGAACAAGGTGAGGGTCAGTGAGAATATGCCTGTTGTTAATATATAGTTGGATTAGTTTATTAAAATTTAATTAACGTTATCATTATGATGCGAGTACCTAAATGTACATTTCAGTATTTGTAAAGAGTTAAAGTAATCTGTTTTATTTGAGGTTGAAATTTATTAAGATTAAAAACGAGAGTTTAATTTAACTAAGTTTTTAGTTGTGTCACGGCTGGATAATCAAATATGTTGTAGAATTTGTAGGTATATTAACTGCATTTGAAGTAAATATTAACTTGTACTATCAAAGATTCGCTGTACTAAAAAGTTCGCAATAATAAAGGGAGTAATATTTTCCAAGTAAGTATCGGTTATCGTGAAAGTGAAAATTCAAATTTTTGTTAAAGAAAACTGGCGCCGTTCAGTTCAATTTGTTGTCTATAAAAAGTCGATGTGTCAACTTCAAGTTAACGGAGGTCATTTAATGCGACATTAAATAGTAATAATTTCTAATGGGACTAGTTGTGTTAATAGAAGAATAAGGTTTTAACTTGAGTGGTTATTTAAATAAGTATTTTCTTTATTTTATGGTATTTAAAAGAAAGAATAGTTGTTTATTAATTAATTATTATAAATCTTGTCCATTCCGTTTACAATGGAATAAATTCATGAAAAAATTAGAAATGAATTTAGCAAAAGTTGTAGAACAAATTAATTTAGCTTTTGGTCTTGGTATTTTCTAAACTGAATGAACAATATAAACATTATGTCAGTCATAAAACTAGTCCGACTGCATCGAATTGTGTAGATTCTCTTGAAATATACAAAAAAAAAACTGGGTTTGTACTGAAAAATGTCAGTGACCTCACGATTTAGGCCGATTCAACCAAAAATTTGACATTTGCGTGACATCAAGTGGCGGTTTCTCATTGATTTGATTGTTTTTGTTCGATTTCTTAGAACGTGTTTCATATTTATTGACATACATACTAGTATAAATTTTCTAGCAGTTCTGAAAGTATAATTTTGAATATAAAAAGTATTTTTATGAAAATGTAATATTAAATAATTGTTGAATAATTTGCATAGAATGCGATTTAGTAGTTCATTAAACTAGACGACTCTGTGTATTATTTAAAAAAATCACAAATTACGCGATCATGTCATATGATAAAATCATATGGTGTTGCTAGTTGTCGTTCAAGTTCAAAATTTTTTAAAAAATCTTTATTATTTTATCACTGACACAAATTTTTTCCAGATGCTTTTGAAATTGTATTTCTGGGGTGTCTTCAATTTTTGGGCTGTAAGCTTTTTGTGAATAATCTTGTGCATTATTAATTAGGAAAAAATATTATCAAAATTCAAAATATTGTTGGGCAAAAGTGCGAATCAAGATTTGTCTTTAGGTTTAAATTCATCCTGGTATTTCCTTGATTCTGTTAAATAATCTTGTACGTTTTACAACAATTTAAATTAATAATTCGAATTAATGCTGACACACTTGTAAGTAGGTAGTGCAGTCGCCGCCTTTGGATAAAATTGTATAAGTGTGCTTCAACTTTCTCTAAATAAAAGATAGGTAGTGTATGAAGTAACACCATACGCAATTTTACGTAAAGTGAATAACAAATATTGATACACTATTTACCTGCGATAAGTTTTACCATTAATCAATGTTAATTGATTTATTCACGTTGACAATAAGTGTAAGCTTACAACAAGGGTTATTGTACTCAACGTATTAAATTATCATTACACGAATTAGGTAAAACGAATTTTTGCCGTCACAAATGCGTGAAGGTTACACGTATTTAACTGTTTTCTGTAATCTTTAATTGTTTTTAAACCGCGACAGTAGTATTTGAAAATGCATACTTATTGATAGCTTGCCTTGGCTTCATTATTACCCAGTCATGGGAAATAATTAGAATAATTGGCTGTCATTTCTTGATAAATTGCAAAAACAAAATAAAATTGGTCTGAGTCACACGAGTCACTTTTTTCACCGTAATTGTAGCGCTTTTTAAATGTCGGCTAAAATTAGGTTTCTGAGTAAAGTACGTTCTCCATAACGCCATGAATTTCTAATAATATTGATCATCTACTAATACCAACTACGGTGTTGGTGTTACAGCGAACGGTTACCTCCTTTTCACCCCAATAACTTTCACTATTGACACTACAAAACGTGGAATCCGCGCAACCAAGGCACCAAAATGAATTTTGATTCGTTTGTGAATTTTAATTACTTTTACAGCAGGCTCTTTTAAATTTATTTTATTTTGATGCAATAAAAATACAAAAGAGCATGTTTCTGTTAGAAGTAATGGTATTGAGCTTCTTACTTGACCTGAATTTATAAATCACCTGTCGGTCTTTGCTGGTCAGTGACGCCAGTTTAATTTTTATTCCGCCGTGCATTTGACGCTAGGAGCACGTGAGTTTTGTTTTTTTAATTATCATTACGGCAAGTTTATTAAAAGTAACTGCACATTTTTATGGACGATGCACAATATTTCTGCGTCTTTGTTCTTCATACAACACCCATTTGTAATAATAATAACTGAAAATTGATAACTGTAAATTGCAAGTATCGGTGTTTCTATACCGGCATATTTATGTTTATGAGTTACACCTGTTGTGTTAATATTATAAATCATTGGAGCGTAGTTCTATTTTTGTTAAGATTAATTAATTTTTTTATTTAATTATGCTCGTGTCTATTTTTTTTAAAGATTCTTAGACTTTTCTTGAAATGTGTTATCCGTTTTTTAACTGTCGGATTAAATCTTTTGTATTCTTTTTAACAGTTGATGTTAAAGCGATTTAAAGTATCATATGTATATTTCTAGTGTCGTAAAGTATGTGCAGTTATTATGCAAACGGATTGTCAATTTGCAAATTATGCTTCAAAGCTATTGTATGCATTATTCATAGAAAATTATCCCCATAAGGAGTGTCTTTACCATTTCTAATTGAGTTATTATTTGTAAGAAATGCGGTTTAAATTTTTATTTTTAGGTTAAAAGAATCTAATTTTCTGGGTTTATTTAGTTGCGTCTTGGAGCTTCACGCTCACTATCACCTTAATTGGAAAAAAAATTAACACAGACCACTCTAAAAGTTAAATGAATTGAAAACTTTTTATCAAATAAAATATCTAAAAGTGTAAGTGTCACTCAAATTTCGTTAAATCTGAATGTAGTTACTATCTCGTAAATGTTCAAATTTTCAAGTGTCCAATTTTCCACATAATGAATTTTTTGTATTGAATCACACAGAAAATATTTTCCTAAAGAAAATGAAATTAACTGCAAAATTGAAAAATCTGTGTTAAAATTAAGGAGCGTAAACGTTGATTGTAGTCCTAATATGAGGCCCGGTACTTTATTTTACAACTTATACACTTAGGTACATGCTGTTTTCTACTTGTTATCTTATCTAATTTTTTTGTAGCCGATAAGTGCAGGTACGTCGATTACTTTGATGTTTAAAATTTTAAAATTGCAGTTCAAAAATTTTCTTGAATTGATCTATGGATTTATGTTGTGGTTGACAATATAGTTTACTTTTTTTGAGCGCAGTCTCACATAGCAAAATTTTGCAATAATTGAATACAAAAATGTGCAATTTCCATTTTTCCGTTTGTCTATTTGTTTATTTAAATGATTGTATATTACATATTGTTTGTTCATGATTTAGAAATCCGTCTGTATTTTTAACTTTAAACAAAAAAAAGTCACAAAAAAAAAAAATTAGAACTATTAAAGTTTACACTGTCCCAGAAACAGCATAACAGACTTTTCAAGATTAAGTGCAAATACATAACTGCAGATTTTGAATGTAGAAACAAGTTTTCTAAGTATATCCTCGCTTTGAATACATTTTCATACGAAACCGATAACGACAACACAAGTGACCATGGGCATAACCTGACATGCGTACTTGTATTATTATTGCACCTAAACACCTTCTATAGTCAGGATCACGAAGCAATGCGTACACGTCACGGACTCTGTATGACGTCATGCGTCTACTACGTTTATCATACAAATGAATCGGTTTGAAAACTGTCAACAAACATGTCGGCTTGTTATTGTTTTGGTTTGTTCTATTTATGATTATAGCATGAGAAGACCGTTAGTGTGAAGCAACAGTTTAGAAATAAGCTACACTTGCAGTGTTTCAGCATACAAGGGCATGCTGCAGGCTGCATAGACGCTATGAATTACAAACTCAGGCACAGGAAAGATCACGACTGTAACCCCTTTCACGTGTTCCTAGTCACTGAAGCCTGCCACTCACGTTCCAACGCCGCGGTACAATTGTGTAGGATATGACAAAATTGAAGTGTTTTCGAACATCTGTGTATGCGATCAAGCAAATCGGTTGGATGTGGACGGTTGGTGAACAAGTCTGTCTGCAGCAGTACAATCGTGTTGTATTGGTTGGAAACTTAATCGTGTGGGGACAGTGTATGTTATACAAACCGTGAAAGCAGGTATAAAAGTCCATTTTCTTCGGACATGTTGCCACCACGATCGCAAATTTTTAACTGCAAGGTCGTAACGTGTGTGTACTGCTGCTTTTCAGCAGAATTGTACAGCAGTTGTATCCAATACAATCGTACCCCGGCGTTGGAACGTGAATGACTGGCTTTAAGAACGTTCATTTTTGCATTGACTGCTGGTAAAAACTGCTGACAATTGGGTGTTAAACACATACTTGGAGGGTGGTACAAGGCTTCATACTGTACTTAAAGCTACCAACGAGAATGTTAACATACGTCTCAAACAGACAGCATTGAACAGTTGTGACAGGCTTCAAGTTAGAGAAATATGCTTACCGTCTTCAATGCCACAATAGGCACGTCACATCTACAGAATAAGTTACTTTATTGACATGGAATAGATACAAAAGTAAAGTATAAACAATAATAAGTATGCATGTTGCACAACGTCGTCGTCTGACCAGTGATTTGTATATTTGGCCAGTGAAGTGATAGTGTGATTATAAAAGACATCAGCAGAACATGCCGCTAGTACAATCAATTAGGATGGTAATGGAAAATAACCTACATGTTACAGTGGCTGAATGCCCTCTGCAGTATTAGAATCTTCACTGTCATAATCACTAAAACTATAATGTGAATCTTCGTTAATGTCGATTATAAACGGCGCAATCTCTTCACGGTCAAATACTAATTCCCGTTCCCACCACTCCCGTATTATTTTATTCATATGGTCAACAGTATTTTTCCACATTGTGGGTGTGACATGTGCTAACGCTTCTTTCCACATTTCCACGGAATTTTTTGACCATAACCATCACGCCCAATGTGTTTGGAATAAAAATTTGTAGTAATTCCCCAAATATTTTCTATAGGGTTAAACACACAATGATATGGCGGCAATCGCAATACTCTATGGCCATTCTGTTGGCCCAATTCACGGCAACATACGTTTTTGGAGGTTTATTTCTGAAAAACATGATATTTTAAATGAAACGATAGAGAATAGTATATGCATTACTGTGCAACCAAATGAAGAAGTTCCGTTTTTAACAGCTGTGAATCTGAACTTATGTCATGTTGTTAAAGCCATTCACGAATTTCTGCTTTTTTCCATGAACCACTGGGACATTTGTTTGCAAAGGTACTGTGGTAGCTTGCATTGTCTATAATAATCTGTGATGGTTCTTCAAGGTTCATGAGCAATTGAAACCACTTGAGAAAATTCTGTTGATTCATTTCGCCATGATAGTCTGGATTTTTGGTATTAGAAGAAAATACTAGCGCTGCTTCATCAATAAATCCATTGCTTGTACCTGCATGTAATACAATATACCTAAAATATAGTGAGAAGAATAAATAACCAACGTGAAACTGACACATTACTAAATTTTCCCTTCTATTTTGAACATCCTGATACTTATGACACTATCGTCTTGCAATGACCTAACTACCGAACCATTTTCAAATATCCATGTTTCATCAAGACATACACATGGCAAAGAATTTGGGTTCTGCTGATTGTGCATGTATTCACGTAAGAATTTGGTTCTTGCATGAACAACATGTTGTAATTCCATAAGACGCTTCCGTACACTGGTTGGCGAATAACGAAACCCAATTGAGAATGTAAAATTTTTCTTAACGAGCTCACAGAACCCTCAAATATATGTTTCTCCTTCAAGCAATCAATTAATGGCGATCGTGTAACATGTATTTCTGTAAAATAGTCGTTAGTATCTATAAGGCGTGCGCATCAAATTCATACTTTCTTCGACCATTCCATATAAGCATTCTCGAATAGCACACTGCTCCGAAGTGCTAATATCACACACTTGCTTTGTTCGGGGGTCTCTATTTCTTGGGAGAATGTACACCTTCTCCGGTTTTTATTTGTTGTACCACGGAGTTCACTGTTCGCACACATACACCCAGAGCAGCAGCAACCCTCTGTACAATGTGACTGCATTAGTAATTGTAATAAAATACACCTACTTACGTCTTGAACAGCTGTTAGTGGTAAAAGAGGTTCCCCGCTATCGCGTTCTTTAGCAAAATAGTCCACTAAATTATCGTCCATTTGCTTTACATCTTTGTGCAAGGGCTTCGGCATGGTGGAATGTTTACGTTCAAGCAAGCGACACGTACCACGGTACAGGACAGTTAACTTGGAGTTCTATAAAGAACTGTTATAGTTCTGAAAAGAACTGATAAGATTACACGAGCAGAAAAGTAGAAAAACGCGAAAAATCAAACAATAACACAACATAACCAAAGTTGACACCAATGACACTTGTGAAATCGATAAAACTTTAGCATATGTTTCGCTATCAGTCGTACCAATATAATTTCCCCCAAATTGATCGATTTTGATCCGTATTGCCACGTATTGCGGCGCGTATTTTTGATTTAGTGTTGGTAACGGATCTACGTCATCCATGACGTGTACGCATTGCTTCGTGATCCTGAGTATAGTGATGTGGTTATTTCCTTCAGAAAGTAATTTTTAGATTTTTTTTTTTTGACAAAATTACGATATTAGCGATTCCAACTGAATTGGCCTAGCTAAAAAATGTTTTTTAATTTATTGCAAAATCTTATATTGTATAAAGTTATCTGAATTAAAAACGATGTAAGTACTTATTTATTTCTAGTTATTTTCATATGTTAATTGTACTGAATTTTCTAAATTTTAAGTTTTACTTTTCTTAGTACTATTCTGCATATATTATACTTTTAAATTATTTTTCCGAGAAAAATTTGTTTTGCCGTGACATAAGCATTTCATTTGCTGCAAACAGATGAGTTTATTGTAATTAAAACACATCTGTCTGGGAATCGGAAACAAATAAATATATCCACAATTTTTGTTTACGACTTTTCGTAAATTAATAATAAACATACATCATTATATCATACTTTTCATTCATTATCTGGTCCCATCAGTGATTCATTCGGAAATCCAGCACACAACACTGTTTCAGTTTTTAAATGCGTTAGACTTTTCAGGGTCATGGTTTTTCCTTGGGTTTTTTAACAATTCATTGTTCATGATTCATATGTAGTCGGAGTATACGAAATGAAGGTTATATTTATTTCGTACAATTAAAAGTTTTTGAACGGATTACTAAAAAACAAAAAATATGTGGCCAGATTAAGAAACATTTTAAGGTTTTGCAGCAAATAATATCACCCGTTTTGAAAGTAATGATTTCGCTAACATTGGAACTCTCATAAAATTTTAATAATTTAATTACTATTGTTACAGGTTATGATCGTGGTTTTTCTCTTCCTCCTTTCTCTCGCCAGTATTAAAGCGTTACCTCAAGGTGCCCCTACAAAAGTATGCGGCACCATAAGACCTTTCCATGGGGGTGGAATACCTCCACAGACTGATACTTCTCCTTATTCTATATACATGAGACGGCAAGGAGGAAACGTGATTGTCACACTTAAATCAGACCTCAACATTCCATTCCAAGGTTTCATGTTACAAGCAAAAACACCCAACAGAGAACTTTTGGGAACCTTCCAACCTATCGGAAACGAAGCTCATACTATTGATTGCGTTCAGTCCGAAGACACACTAACACACAATGCTGCTCAAAATAAAGATATGATTGAGGTCGAGTGGCAACCACCTGAAGATTACGAAGGACCCGTGATATTCAAGTAGGTTTTTGACGTGATGGGTTTTTCTGCAATTACAATACAATTTTAGTACTACTTTCGCTCAGAATTACCAGACATTCTGGGTTGGAGTTGAGTCACAACCTCTGCGCGTGGGAAAAAGGTTTGCTGATGATCCCGTGCCTAACGTACCTAGTAGGAGCAAATCAACTACTCCTCCAAACTTTTTCCCTGACACCGTCAAACAGTCTGAAACTGTTTTTGATCCGTTTTACGAAGGATGTAGCGTAAGCAAGCTATGTTTTGGGGCTCCTGCTAACTGCGTTAACTCAAAAAATTGTAAAGCTGTGGCTGCTGTTACTGTAAGTGGTGACAGATACGAATTTGAGATGAAAGCCAATGTAAATCCGGGATGGGTAGGTGTAGGTTTATCAGACGATGCCAAAATGGGTGATGACTCTGTTATTGAGTGTGTGCGAGACGGAAATCGTCCTATTAAAGCCTTTATGTCGTGGACTAGTGGTTCACCAAATTTTGGGGCAGCTAGAGTTCGCAATGTAAGTGTAAAAATGTTTTGAGACTAATCTATATACTTACTTATGTTGTCACTGTAGCCTCAATTAGGAATTCGTCTATTAAATAGTAGCGTAGTAAACAACGTAATATACTGCAAAGTAGCGAGAGACCTAAAAACTAAAGTCAATGGTAAAGATTTTGACTTAGCTAATGATAAGTACCACTTGTTAGTAGCAGCTGGTTCGGACGTCACTGGTAGGTAGCAACCCAAAAATTTAGACCTTAGTTTACAGTAATTCATTGTAGCTACGTCAGTAGGATTCCACTCTTTAGCTTATCTAGCTAGTGGTGAAAAGAAATCACTTTCGGACGTGTCAGCCGTTGCTGCTGCGTCTAAACTTTTGATAAGATTACATGGTTCCTTTATGTTAGCAGCCTGGATTGGTACAGTTTCTGTTGGGACACTTTTAGCCCGGTATTATCGTACCACGTGGGTTGGAAGTTCCATTTGTGGTAAAGACATATGGTTTGCTGTAAGATTTTCACAATTCTTTGTCTCAGTGCCATTAATCGAATCTTTCTAGTGGCATAGAATGTTTATGGTTCTCACATGGGCACTAACGGTTACAGGATTTGTTTTAATTTTTGTCGAAGTGAGGGCATGGTCACCTGGTCCACACCCAATTTTAGGCACTATAACGACAGTTTTATGTTTCTTGCAACCTATAGGAGCATACTTTAGGCCACATCCTGGAACTCCAAGAAGACCTATTTTTAACTGGATTCATTGGTTTGGTGGAAACGCTGCTCACATTATTGGCAGTGAGTTGTACTAATTTTGATTTTATCTACTTACTATATAAATGACTGTTTCAGTTGTAACCATATTTTATGCTGTTAAATTAGCCAAAGCTGAATTACCAGAGTTTATGGATTGGATTTTAGTTGCCTATGTTGCTTTCCATGTCGTAGTTCATCTAGTGTTATCGGTAAGACATTCAGAAACTGGAATAAACAATTGTAAAAACACTTTTCTACTAGATTATAGGATGCATATCTGAAAAATCGTCAGAAAGGAGGGTGACCTCTTTCCCAATGAAAGATTTGGGTGGTTCCGGTAGGAGTTCTGCTTACGCAGATCGAAATGCGGATGCCCCGGTAACTTAAATTTTTATTTGCACTAACTAACCTGTAACTATATTATTTTTTCAGTACTCCGGATTCCGGAAGTTTATTTTAGCCATCTACATTGTAGTAATATTGGCGATTGTTGTCGCATTAATCGTAATCACAGCATTAGCGCCAATCGAAGAGTCGTGGCAAAACTTAAGAGATTCGGTGATGAAGTCGGAATAGTTAGTATCATACAAACGTATTGTTGGAAAGTACCAAATAAAATGACATCGTGCAACTCATAACATATGACTGACTTATTTTATAACAGTTGTTTTACATTACTAAGATTTTAACAAAATTGTACATCTTAAATCTGGTGCTTGCATGAAATATATGAATGAGTGCAATAGTGAAGATTTTGGAATTTTAAGTTTGTTATGTGTATAGCTGTGTTAAATATGTTTAAGTACCGTTTCATATTTAAGTTACCTATATGCACTGGACAATCAGTGAAAACACAATTAATTTATATATTATGTAATTTGTACGTAGATGTCGAACAGTAATTACTACCACGTAAATATTTTTTTAATATATTGTTAGTTCGAATACGTCAGATAATTGTTAGATTATAATAAATGTTAGATGTTATATACGGTTGTAAATAAAATTTATAATTTATGAATGTATGTTTTTCAAATTAACAGAACTAATTAGCGGAGACAATAAATATTTTGTCATGCCATCTTAGTATAAAATTGACAATAGAAGACATTTTTGTGATTTTAGTTGCTTTATATTCTTGCGAAGAAAATAACTCCATAGCATAAAATATGTATCTGGATGGAATATGGGCAACATTATCATAATTATGTTTTTCATTTTTCTGTAACTCTATTTACCTAATTTATCGCAAATTGCAATACGCACATCCCATCAGTTAATACTTATCAATGTTTTATAAAAACACTATAATATTAACTAAAATATGTATGTCTATTACATTTCCGTCCTTATTATATTTCTGTTGTCTGTCATTTTTAAAAACGAGGGAGCAGCAAATTTTTAAATGTACCTAAATTTTAAATAAAAGTTAAAAGAGAAGGATTCTTATTCATACAAACCTTGTGTTTTCTATAAATTTTGTATTCAAAAATCAAAAATGCAAAAATATGTAAAGAGCTGTGTGATGTAAGTTGTATGTCAAGGATTTCGTCAGTTTTTTCATAATATTATCAAAACATTTTCAAATAAATTAATTATCAAAAATTATATTCATTCAGTGTGCGAATTAGTTATTTATTAGATGTTATAAAATGTCTCCAGGTATTTTAGAAAAAGTGTTTTGTTTAGCAGTGTCCATTCGTTCCCAATTAAATGTGAACTGATAATAATAACTAGACATGCACTAGGCGGCTTTTAAATATCAGATCACTAAAATGTCGGTTCTCTCGTTTCACACAGAGTTTAAATATCTGCACTTGATGTTCAAGTAGTAAGTAGTATTGAGAGTTCAGACGTTTAGATTCATATCTTGGAATGAGTACGATAGGTTTTGAATTCTGATAACAAGTAGGTAAGCAGCGTGGAATTTGTTCGAAGAATTTTTACAGATAAAAGATTTTCTATAAATAAGATGCATTTTACAAGTACTAAGTTAGCATTTACTCGGACAATAAAACAGTGGCGGCTCGTGACCTTTTGAATTGGGGGTACACACTTTGATTGATGAGTTAAATATGAAAATATAAAACAGCTTGTTATTACTATAGAGCGGATTTCTAGATTTAATGCTTTTTTGTGAAAAATGTAAGCACTTCAAAACTTTTTTATATCTGTAACTATGATACAATTTGGAGTCATTTGACACATTTTTTTATGCTTATTTGCTTTTTTTTCAATTTTATGCATATTAAAACTTATATGCTTATTTAATGCTTTTTTCGACGAATATGAGTTTTAATGCATATTTTGTTCAAATGCCGGCCTTGTCGGGATGACAAATACTTGTTAGTTAGGCGTATCGTATCGTATGCATTTTACCTGGACTTGACCATTGAAGTACACTTACTCAAGACCCTTTCTGTGAATAGGTTCCGGTCGTTTGGGTAATAAAATTTTATTATAGGATTGGAAAAATACTCCATAGATTTTATGACTTTAAATCCTTACTTCCGTTGATAATGAATTAAAGCTTTTAACCAGATGTTCTTTTTCGGCATTTTGCGGCAAGACCGTTGAAGATTTTCTAGAAAAAAGGATTATTGTACCCAACTACTTACCTTAAATTTTTTCTAATGGAAACTTTTAAGTAAATGAACCGTTTATTTCACAACCATCAGTCTATCGCATCTGTCGTAGTACAGTGTTATACGTGGTTCTCCCTTGTTACATGTTGAATTCTTTTTGGTAATATTACTAATATTTTAAAAGAATGCCGAAAGTAAAATCGACGCCGGATGAGTGGATAAGGGATTTTCCAGAATTAAAATTAGAAAACAACAAAATATTCTGCAGAGCTTGTGTGAAAACCGTAAGCCCACTAATTTTTTTATGTATTTTCCTTTGTTAATCCTGTGTATGTACGTTGTTTTAGATTCAAAGTGATAAAAAATATAACGTGACGCAACATGTCAGAACGACTCTTCATGTAGAAAGGAAGAAAATGTTTCAAGTTTCTAAAATTAAACAGCAGACCATACATGAATCTGTTGCATCTACTTCCACAAAAGATGAGCAGTTTTAGTTTAATTTCGATTTATGTAAAATGATAATCCAGTCCAATATACCTTTAAAAAAATTGGAGAAAGGCCCTCTTCAAGAATTCCTTGAAAAACACCGCAATCGACATATTCCGGTTGAAAGTACTCTCCGAAAAAATTATGTAGGCCCAGTGTTTCAGCGAGTTTACAACGAAATTAAACATCGCATTGGAGATAATTATTTATGGTTCGCTGTCGATGAAACAACCGATAGTTGTGGAAGATACGTGGCAAGTTTAATTGTTGGAATCTTAAATGAAAATTTCTCCAATCGAGGGTAAGTGGTAAGTTTGAAAATGTTAGATAAAACAAATGGCAATACGATTATCAGATTTGTAAATGACAGTCTTACGTCACTATTTTTGCCAAATGCCGTACCGGCGAATAAAATTTTATTGATGATCTCGGATGCAGCTCGTTATATGTTGAAAGCAGGGAATAATCTAAAAATATTGTACCCCAATTTAATTCACTCTACTTGCATTGCCCACGGTTTAAACAGAGTGGCTGAAGGAATACGTTTGCAGTTTCCTACTGTTAATAAATTAGTGGCAAATGGTAAAAAGATTTTTGTTAAAGCTCCACTAAGAGTGCAGCATTTTAAGGAAAAGTTTCCAGACATACCATTGCCCCCAGAGCCGATTATAACGAGGTGGTGAACATGGTTTCAGGCGACATTTTATTATGGCAAATATATCAAAGAATTTGAGGAAGTAGTTACGGAGTTTAGCGAAGATTCTTCTCAATCGATTAAAGATTGCATAAATATTTTGGAAAACAAAGATTTGCGACAAAATCTAGCTTTTCTAAGAAGCAATTATCAATTCGTATGTGAGATAACAGAAAAGTTAGAAAAACCCAACATGTTGTTGGTAGATGCCATAAACTTAGTGAAAGAATTTAAACAACAAGCAAACGCAGTAAGGGGTGATATTGGTACTAGAGTATCTCAAAAACTTGACGAAGTGTTAAATAAAAATGCAGGTTTCGGTGTTCTTTCCGACGTTGCTCGTGTTTTACAAGGCCAGAAGGTGGAAAATTTGGAGTTAGATTCAACATTAGTTGCAAAATTCAAATTTGCGCCAACAACGAGTGTGGATGTTGAACGCACATTCTCCAATTTTAAATACCTACATTTTAAATGATCAGCGAAAAAATTTTACAGTGGACAACTTGGAACATATTACAATCATAAATTGTTTTAAAGAAAACTGAAATACTTGTGTAAAATATAAAGTCTAGGATTATTGTAATAACATTTTATCCAAAGTTCTAAGAAGTGTTCTTTGATTTGTAATATGATTATGTTTTTAATGCTTTTTTGCTTAAAATAAAACTTTTTTAATGAAAGTTTTATGCTTATTTAATGCTTTTTTGCTTAAAATAAAACTTTTTTATTGAAAATGTTGCGCTTATTTAAGCTCTTATTCTTAATTTTTTTGTGCTTATAAATCCGCTCTCTAGTTATTACCAATTAATAGACGAAATTGGGTGACGGAAATAAATACAAAAATACATTCAATAAAAGTAAAAAAGGATTTGTCCACATATCGTTTTGCCTTCAGTCAAAATTTTATGTTGATGGCATCTAAAAGTTCATGTTGGACAGTTTTAGGCGTTCCTTTAAAAACCGTTACTTCTTTCAAATGATCTGATCAAGCAGAGTCCAATTCAGCCGTAAAATCAATCGGACCTCGAAATATACGTGGATTTTGTGATTTCCTACTTTCGTCATGTCCACATATAGCAAGTTCAAACAGTCCACAAAATTAGTTTCTAAGTCTTTATTAACTGCAGAGGAAACAGAAGTATTGTTAAACTTATTTTCACCAGAAGAAGTTTCAGAGATCAATTTATTAATAATGATCTTATTATATCTATGCTAAAAACGTTATACTTGATTACCTGTATTATCTGACCTCTACCTGATTAAAAAAATAGAATTTAAAAAAAATGCTACGTCAAAGATGGTCTCTTTTCTCTGTACATATGTTATTTTTGTTAGCGAAGGACAGAAACAGAAACTAATTTTTATACTTATAATAAACAATAACAATTATGACACTCTGTTTAAACGAATGAAATAAAGAAATAAAAAGTTACGTAGAAATTACTTCATACTATATAGAAGATCTAATTACATATGTTGTTGAAATGTGAAATGCTCGTCTTGATGTTAATAACAATTATAACAGTAATCGATTATTGCTTAAAGAGTGTTTTGCCACTTCAGATTTAAAAACAAATAATTGAACTAATTGAACAATTATCTGCTAAAGCAGATTTTGTTGCGTTTAGCTAAATCCTGTATTTCATTCTACACTCCCAGACGAGCTTTGATGTGTTCCTGTTTAATTGTGAATCTCTGAGAGAAGCTTAGTTATCTGTGAATATGTAGATTCTATTGAAAGTTCTCACGACCCTTGCATGTTCCCTGGCATGGAGATCAAGATCTCGTATAAATCATTTGTCACCATAAGGAACATCTTACTACCGTACTCCATCTTGAAGATGGAGTTGATCTCCATTAGCCTACAGGTGCAGAGGAGATATTCAGAGGATCAGAAATATTTTAGCTATCGTTAAGCTCCACCGCAGAGAACCATCGAACTTATCACGGTGGTGTAGGCATAGACGTTCTGAGTGTTAGAGGTCAAGAATTTTCCCACGATTTTTACATCCATAGGATTGCTAAATTTCAAGTATGGCAAAAATAGTGCAACAGTAGTGGATAATGTTTCTTGCCATAACGCAAAGCATTTTTGTGTCCTGAAGATCAGAAAAAATAGACTGGTTTATGGAGAAAATTTACTTACTATTTAACGGAATTATAAAACAACAGTATATATGTATTAAACAAATCTTGGAATCTAGATGGAGGATACTAAAAGAAAGTTAGCACAACATTTTGATTAGCAAAACGAGATTGGAGATAGCTTGTTAAAACGAACAGATCATCTGAAAGAAGACATTCCAGCATATGTAGTTAGAACTCTCCAAGAACGAGAAGTAAATTAATTTTACTTATTGTGTTCTTCCAAATGTCAGTTTTTATTTATCTGTTATTTTCGTCTTTGATATAGTCATTTTTAAAGCCGCTTCTAAATTAACGGGAAAATTGATAGTGATAAATGATAATGTTGTAATATTTAAACAATGTTCTGTTCCCCCATAAGCGTAATTAATTATTAGTGGTTTTCTAATTTGAAATGTTACAAAATTTCACCAATGTTAACACGTGTTGTAAATTTGTGTTTATTGTTTGTAAAATCACCGTCCATGTTATAATTTTTAACTATTCCTGGTTCTAACAAAGTTTAATGGTTATGAAAATTGTTATTTTAACATATTTAACAGGTGTTTTTTATCTATGTGATGGGGAATTTAATTCACGATGTAGTCCATGAATTTTGGTTTATTGAATTCGGTTGGGGAGGACGGAGTTCGGCCTAAACCCATTCATATAACTGTTTATTGGCAAAATCGGATTCCACTATGGAGAGGAATTGAAAGGGTGTCCTGACAGAAGAGTCAATGATAGTAAATGGAATAAAATGTGTAGAAAATATGAAAAATGAAGACGTACAAGCCGGCATAATAAAGGAAAACAACATCGACACAAAGAGGGTTCTTATTTTAAGATAATCACAAAATGGTACAATAAAAGGTATGATGACTCGTCAATTGTGGAGGAAGTGGACCCTGTCACATATCAATACTTGAAAATGTGTGTTATATGTTCTCCAAGCACGAATATTGCAGAATTCTTGGAATATCTAGATGAAGCTTTATTAGAGTCTATAAATAAGGTGGTAATAGTAGGAGATTTTAATATTGATTGGGCTGACACTAATAATTTTTACAAAAACAAACTAAAGAGATTGAGGTATATGATATGCTACAACTTCTTGATAGACCTACACGTGTAAGTGAAAGTACCATTGATCTTGGTTGACCAATGAAGAATGCAATGTACACGTACTCGATGAACCAAAGATTACTGATTACAGTTTAATATTAATTGATAATTTAGATATTCTCAAAGTTAAATCGGAGGAAAAGAAAACGTTCAGCAATCGGGGAAAAATTAACTACCAAAGACTTGCTGGAAATCTTAGTTCAGTGAACTGGCAATCTATATATAAGTACAATGATATTGATACCAAATAATATCCGTTCGCAAAACTCCCGCACTGTCAGTGTCAGATTTGGAAAAAATGACCTGAGTGTACTCAGTGGTGAGATGCGAAAAACCTGTACAATATGTTGCAAAATTGCAATCTAGTGACAAATTAGTAACTAAAAATAACTTGTCAAATAAAAATGTCAAGAGCACATTAATTGAAGATTTTTATCAATTCAAGTAAAGAAAGACTATGACACACGAACGACAACGAAAGCTTTTTTTGAATAATATATATTTTTGACCTTACTGTCCACTTCTATGCTTCTGGTGCTCCAATTTGTTTGAATTACTGACAAGTTCTTTAAACACATTGAACACTTCAGCAACTCAAAAAAGTAAAATAGTTAATAAACATTTGATTTTTCATTCATTAATTTTGAAAATTTGAAATTCAAGGCGGTAATCACATAAACTTAAAAATCTTTTAGGGGATTATTTCTCATACCAACAGAATGTCATTCTGACAGTGCGGGAGTTTTGCGAACGGATATTATGAAAATTTGACTACGAACATTGAAAAAATATTAGAATTAGTTGCACCAATAAAACGCTTAAAACTTCTTAGTAAACCAACTCCTTGGTTTAGTGAAGATATTCATAAGGCTATCAAAGAAGGAGATACCAAATACAGAGTAATTTAAGACTACAAGAAATAAAGAAGACTGGACAGAATATAAAACACGTAGAAATAAGGTACTTAGCTTAATAAGAACAAAAAAGACTGAATATGATGAAATTGTGATAGAAGGAAATAAATATAGTCAAAAACCTAAACATAGGTTACCAACAATTGAAAAAATAATTGAGATGACAGTGTACAATCAGTTGCTAGAATTTATCGATCACAACAAAATCTTAGTTGCAAATCAGTCTGGCTTTAGAAAAAAACACAACTGTGAAACAGCACTACAAAATGTAATAGCAGATATGAAGGAACGCCGGAACCACAGTAGCAGTTTTCTTAGATTTCAATAGAGCTTTCGAATCAATAGACAGAAAAAGTTTATTGCAAAAGTTAAAAAAGGTAGGAATAGACGGAAACGTAATAAAATGGATAGAAAATTATTTGGCAAACAGAACACAAAGAGTAAAATGTGATAATATTCTTTCTGAATCAGTAGATGTAAAATACGGGGTCCCCCAAGGAAGCGTTCTAGGTCCAATATTATTCATATTATACATTAACGACATAATAAACGCTGTAAACAAATGGACTATCCATCTGTTTGCAGATGATAATTTACTCCTCCTGTCAGGCGAAGATTTAAATAAAATATTAGATACATTAGATGAGGAAATGTTAGTGTTAATGGATTGGTTGAATTATAATAGACTCAAGTTAAATATCGATAAAACAAAATATTTGATCATAAGCAACAAAAATTATTCATATGTAGGTATTATCAGAGAGGATCCAAAACAGAGAAATGCGAATTATCTTGCAGTGCAGTAGATATACAAGAATATCTGATATAAGGAGAGTCTTGGAGTGGTTGGATGTATCTAATATCATTAAGCTCCAGACCTTAATTTTAATACATAAATTAATTAGTAAAATGGGACCTGACTATTTGAACAAAAAAATTCAAAATATGAAGGCAAAACATAGTTATAATACGAGACAAGAAGGAAATTTATATCTAACGTCAAAAACCAAACAGTCTTCAATAAATTCACTGTTTTACAAGCGCATCACGCATCAGGCTATATAACACGTTAACAGAGAGTATAAAAAGTCAACCAACTTTAAAAAAATCCAAGCGTCAAGTTAAGGAATTATATTTAAGTACTATACAACAAATCCTTTGAGGAAATTAATAGCTTTTAACTTTGTATAATATTTTTAGTAATAATTTACATTTTATGTATAGTATAGTTCCTTAAATAGTATTAAGCTTCTATTTACAAAATTGTAGCTTTAGCTAAATTATTATTATGAGTCTGTTTTAATTTTTATTCCTAGACATCCACATTTTAGGAAAATCTTGCCAAATAAATCCCATCTTAAATATGCAAAATTTTTCGAAAAAACTGGTTAATTTTTCTATACTCGTACGGCAGGGACGAAGGAAGTTCTGACCTTAGATCATATAATATTTATTATATGATCTAAGGTTCTGACTACGTTTGACCAATGTTTTTTTTTCAGTTCCTTCTGAATACAGCGTCTAATTAATCACTACAGAACAGTTAACATTAAAAAATCTTTCAAAAGTCACATGTCACTTTTTCACAAAATTAAACTTTGCCGCCTTTCCGTCTACTGGACCTAAAAAAAAGTTCTACAAGAAATCTAAACGAAGTCCTGCAATTCCTGCAACTGTTGTCCTGTTACGAAACAGGAAATTTTCTGCAGACGAAACGAACTATAGAGTAAACTGTTTCCATGTAAAATAAGCCGAGGCGTACATCCTGCAGATGTCGCTTCACTTCGCTAGTCAACCCTACTCTTCCTGCGAAGCTTTTCCAGGCGTCGCCGGCGTCGTTCTACCCTTTCTTATTTACAAAGCTCACCGCGACTGGCGCTGCCGCCACTTCGATCGCACTACCACCAGAGTATTGAACGTCGTATAGAATTTCACCAGCCATAGTCAATTATAGGGCCGTGTAGTGCGCGCAGGTATGATTCCTTAACAGTCATCACAAGCCGACGACTCAAGCTCAGGCCACCACGTCAATTAAAATAAATATTACGGGGACATAACAAGGGTTAGACTTTAATAAAGGTGTCCGCACAGCGGCGGCATGCAACAGTTTGACGCTAAATGTTCATGAATAATAACTAGTTAATTAGTGGCATGTTGTGTAATGTGATTGTAAGTGGTTTACTGGTCTCCCGGGTGGCGTGTGTGTGATGACTGACGTGATGAAGAACCACTAGCCATGGAGGTGTTTTGGGGCGTCCTGTTGGGGCTGGCAGCCCTCCAGTTTCACGACTGCGGCGGACACGATGCCGACGACCCCAATAAAATACAGTTCGAGGCGGCTTTTCAAGGTAATTCACCGGCATCTGAGAGCTTTATAAACAGCTTTTGTTGCTCGGAGGCTCGTAAGCTTGAGTGTTTACACATTTTTTGAATAATGCGTTTTTGCGGCTTACTTTACTACTTGTGTCATTTAAAAGGACGGCATTTGCTGCTAGAAAACAAGAAGTTAGTTCACGTGGGGAAACTGAAGCGTGAAGGAAAACTGACCATCACATTTCCAATATTTGGGGTTGGTTGATAATGAACTTTCAAAGATTTATCAAATATTTAAGACAGTGGAAACCGGAATGATTTTATTTGACTGACTATGGACATGGATTTTTATTGAATATATTATCTAATTTATGTTTTTTTAAATTGTAATCTAGGGTGTATATTTAGCTAATTGTAGGTCTAACAACTAATTTTATATGTATATAAACTCTAGAACTAATTTATACTTTTAATATTTCTAATCAAGATACAATCTTATTTCCGTCAGGAACTGAATAGAACTTTGTACAAGAAATTTAAAATTTACAAACGGTAGCTTATTAAAGTAAATTAGATATACATGAGTTCTATATTAAACTAGTTAATAATAATATAATTATTATGACTTTTAAAGAAACATGAAATATTAATTTAATCTAGTAATTATAGTATTTTAGCCGGTGACCAGCCAAGTCATTTTTTATGTTCCTTACAGTTTACACTTTTTTAAAACTATTGATTTATATAGTGGAATAATTGATGAACAACACGACAAAGTGTTTCTCACGTTGTTAAAATAAATCATGCAGGCGTAAATTATAAGTTTTGAACTACTTTTATTTGCATGTTTTAGTACCTTTAGAACTAGATGAGTTTACAATTTTATAGGAATAATAAAAAACAAAATCAAATACTATTTAATTGAACAACAAAGAAAAGATTATGGATCAAATAATAGATCACAGAATATTAAGAAAGTTTGTTTATCATGTTCGAAATTGATGCTTTTATTTTGGAAAAATGATTAAACAAACATTTATCGGAGGTCCTGAGATGGGAATTTTATTTTTAGAAATACTTACACCTGATATCTAACAGTATCATCCCTGAAGCGTTTTATATTTCAGAAATATATTGGAAAATTCATATTGTTACAAAAAAGCACAAATGAATTTTAAATTCTATTTTTGAAACGACATAAATTATAATTTTTAAATTATGATAAAACTCTACACTAAAGTTAATAAAGAAGATATTAATCAATTCATTGTTTGCAGAAAGATGATGATGTCATGTAACAAATTAAATATGATAAATAAATTTATTAGTTGAAATGTACGTTAATTTTTTAGAGTGGACGATATAAGTTGCTTCAACAAATTAATGAACCTTTTTGTGTTATCGATTATCTAATTTGGTTAAAACTGTGAGAATACGGTCGCGTTATAATTAGCGTTACATTATTATGATTAAAAAATCTAATAATTATTATCATCAGAAAGTTGATGACGTCATCTTAAAATATTATCTGTTAAACAAAGCTTTCGAAAATTCGTTTTCTCATGTAATACGATATTTTACGTGCCTCGGAGGCCAGGAAAGCTTCAAGAACTCCCGTTTCCTAACAATATTGTACAAAGGTTGATTAAATCATTATACTATAATATGGATAAGAAACAAAAGACGAGAAGAAAAGACGTTTGAAACATACAAGTCTATTTCGTTTTTGTTTATTTCAAGATTACAAGTAAAAAAAATTCGGTCGAGTTGTTTCGATAGAACTTCCTTCGCTCTTGCGCTCCAACATTTTCAAGCTGAGTTTTTTATTTACACAAATTTGTGATACCTCATCAACATTTTTGCAAGGACACACGTATATCAACTTGGATGTTGGAGTGTAATATTAAAAATAACAGTTTTGTATTCCCAAAATTTTCTGGGAAAATGGAGTGAGCCGTTCCTGATTTAATCAATGAAATAAATTGATTCTTTCATTAATTTTTCTGAGCCACCTGTTTAAGCAAATCTCAAAAATATGAATGCACTCATAAATCACAAGTAAAAACTCATAATATTTTGCACATTTTGGGTAGAATTTATTCGGCAAAATTTTGAGATGACGTGATCAATTTTTTTGAAGGGATTAAATAGTTTGATTAACAATTTACCATGTTTACAATAACTTTAAAATGTCTGCAAGATTGTAAAGTATTCAGTTTTGCAATTCTTGATTTATTCAATAAAAGTAATTGACTGATTCATTAATTTTTTTGAATCACTCTGTATAAGTGGATCTAAAAAATATGAATGCAATGATAAATTACAAGTATAGACTGCTCAATGATCATATTTGGCACATTTTAGGTAGGATTTATTCAGCAAAATTTTGAGCTGACATCATCAATTTTTTCGAGGGGATAAGCAAATATATTTTGATTAAAAATTTATCATACTTATCATCATAACTTTAAAACATCTGTAAGATTTCTGAAGTATTCGGTTTTGCAGATTCAAAATTAACTGCAAAATGTTTTATATTTTTCATTTTTTTTTACAAAAATCTGGACGTTTCGGGTGAAAACTCAACATGAAGTCATAAACTACATATTACGACTGTTATTTTATACAATTTAAAATCTATTTCCTATGTAGAATTTTGGAGTCACATAATTGGTTTGAATGATTAGATACATTTTGGTTAGCGTTTTACCATCTACATGGTAAAACGCTACATGAGAAAATTTGACAACAATCGGCTTAGTACATTCGGAGATTATCTGAAAAAAATAACTCGAGACGGCAGACAGGCGGACAGACAGACAGTCGGAAACGGGAGACCTATTTCTTCGTACTCTAGGGGTCATGAAAGGTCGAGAAAACGTAAAAGTAGAGAGTCTGTTGACGGACTCCATTACAATACTTCCTTTGCTTACGCTCGTGAAGTAAAAGTAAAATTCGTCAAATATTAGAATTGTTCGAAAAATCTGGATTTATGTGGTACTGTCGAAATAAATTACTACCACTACTAGTGTCTTTCAATGACTTCAATTCTATAAAATAACATATTCCTGTACTTGTTGTGCATGAAACCGTCTTGAGATTTTCCCCGAATCGTTCAAATTTTAGCAAAGAAATCAAAATTGTACAATAACTTTTAATACTAGTATATTCGGAGTTCATACAAGGTTATTTGCTATTTTATAGCAGTGTTTGCCTTCGAATTAAAAAATCGCACACGTTCGATTTGGCATAGGGTTATTTATTTTTTACACTGTTATTTTTTACTCTATTATATTTTTTATTGATCAAATCTCAAGAACAATACACCGCAGTGTCTTATTATTAGTTTTATGCTGCACGTGTCGGAATTGACATACAGGTCTGACTACTTCAACATTCATCTCAGTTTAATTTTTTTTTAAGCGGCTTAACACGGCATTTAGTTCATGCCGTGTTAAGAGTATGATCAAGTAATATCATGTTCCTGCTTGATTTGAAGAATTTCTAATTTCATTTAAAGCGTAGTATCTGCAAAAAAGTATTTGAGTAAAAAATTCATCTAGCTTTGAGTTCTATTTTATCTATTTTGACTCCGTAAAGTGCACCTCGAATATAACAGTAGAACAAACTGTTTTGGAGTCTGAGTAAATTGGTAGCTCTCGAGGTTAAAGCGGTATTTATTAAGCTAAAGCCACATGAGTGTTTCTCTCCCAGATGTGTCAAAAACAAGGTGTAATCTCATTATTTAAACTAACAATTTGTAATGTAAAATAAACAGTTTACTGTGAAAGCAAGGTACATTCATGACAACATTCGATTCTTTCAGTTCAATGTAATAAAACTATGTAGTACTCCTGAATAAAACCAAACGTACGAGTACATTTTAAACATGCAACTTGTGGAATTCTACTACAAGTTTTTGTATGTCGGATTTCTTGTATTTTTATTTCTCATAAGCAAGCTAAAGAAGGTATTCTTGTAGGGTTACTTTGAGAAGACCAATTTCGTGTTTTTGTGAATTATTACGTAGATGGTAAAACTCTAAACATAAATTATTATCTATTCATCCATTTTCAAAGACTGCTAAAATTTTGTTAACTAAATTCCTGTTGTCTAATAACGTGCTCACATTATTAACGTTGGGTAAGTACACGGGTTGTCGTAAAAAATAAAATTTTACAAGTTTGCAACATTGGTTCAATGCGTACAAGTAACGCAATAAAAAAACTTGTGAGTAAATGTTCACTGAAAAATGTTTAAAAAAGTGTTAATTTTTTAAGATAATTCAAACCAGCTTTGAACACCTTTTTTGCTAAAAATCTAGAGCTGAAATTGCTTCTCTCCAGCAGGTGCAAGAATCGACGTCGTTCCATTTATTTTATTTCCTGACACGTAAGTGTTTTCTGTTCATTTAAAAGAAACATAATATTTCTGTAATATATTGAAAACGTCGTACAACTGCTGTGCGTTTAAATTTAAAAAACATGCCAGGCAAAGGCTTCTAATTTACAATATTCGAGTGAACTTGGAGTGAGATTTGTGTTGGATGTAAACATGTAATATTGACTTTGCTGTCAAAGCTGCTTGTGAGCAACAATAATTTGCATGAAATGACTTTTCTTTAATGTATATTTCTTAACAAGTTGTCTGAAGTTCCAAAGTAAGTACATATTTTAACGGATTTACAATGTAGATTTAGGCATTAAGCAGAAACTCATGAAAATTGTCAAACAATTTCCATTTTTAAGATTACTAAGTGTAATACTGCAGTGTTGTTGCAAGCTCAGAGCCTTTTTTCTCGGAGGTTAAATGTTATTCTTGGTTCGAGTAGACGTCTGAGCTGATAAAGAAATTTAACTTTGTCGCTAAAAGGGGAGCGGGAAAAATATATGGAGATAATTTATAAATACTTAATTGGTTTTGTATTTTTCTAATATCTAATAAAACTTTGAGTGTAAAAGCACTCTACCAAATCATTTTGATGTTCTTATCTCTGTCCGAAGAAAAATTCCAAGTCGAAACACAAAACATGTTT